CCCTCCACGGCCCTATATCAAATTCCCCGGTAATGAGGACGATGGGACTGTTGGGAACAGGGGTTTTTATGGATATGAATTATGGAGATTCGGTAGCTTGTTATCAGTGAGTAAGACAGTGTGGCAATATCGGGAATATATATTCGGGCATTACTGGCGATTCGTATGCATGACCTTTTCTAACTGCGTCTCTTTCTACTTAGGGGTTTCATTGCATCTTCTATTACGTACCGTTTCCGTTCGAATCGGGTTTGTTTTTGCGACCGGTTTTCTGATTTACTCGAATTCGCCACGTTACTACGAGGGTTGTTCAACAACTAAGCGTATAAATTAGTTAACCGTTTCACGTTGTGTGTTTGTATGGTTTTTTATATGTATAGATTCTGTCCCGGATAAGGATGAACAGTATCTAAAAGGATCTTTGAATAACGGGTCGGTTTGCGATTATATGGGAGCAGGACAAACACGTTTAGATTACAGGATTTCAGCATTAAATTATAAGTTTATTGTATTAGATTTTTTAAATTTTTTAGCAATTGGGTTTAGAATCATCGTAAGCTATTTAAAATTGTCAAGAACCATTAATAATCATATTAGAACTGGCTAGGACCGTTTAAAATAGTCCAGGACGATCTCAGAACTATTTAGAACAGATTCAGAACTATTTGTGAAACTAATCATAATAAACTTGAAACGTCCTGAACCATTTAAAACTATTTAAAATCATTAAGAATAGATTCGGAACTATTTGGGACGGATCAGAATAAACTAGAAAAGTCCAGGTCCATTTAGAAATGTCTAAAATCATTTAGGACAGATTCAGAACTATTTGGATCAGATCATAATAAACTAGGCAAGTTCAGAACCATTTGGAACGCTTTGAGGACTAGTCAGAACTTATTTTAGAACATAGAAGACTATTTAGAATTTTTCTTATGAATAAGCTAATTTAGTGAAATATTTAAAATCTTATTAATCATGTAATAATTCAGTTTTAGAATCATAAAACTGTCCAGAATTCATTTTAGAACTTACTAGTACCATTTGAAACAGTTCTGCACGATCTTAGAACCATTTAGAACTGCCTAAAATCATTTAGAACAGTTTCAGGACTATTTATGTTGGCTTCAAGAATATTTATACATTTTTTAGAACTTTCAGAAAATTATTTAGATACTGTTTCAACTGAAAAATCGACATATTTGTGAAATATTGTAATAAAATCGTCAAATTTACTTCAAAAATCTAGTAATTTAATGAAATTTTCTTATGAAATCAGTCAAATCAATTAATTATAATACGTTTTCCCCCCATATCTACATATCTATATCTCCTCAATTCGACCCGGTATAATTTATTATAATTATTAGAATTATTACGAACGAGGTGGGTACTAGGTAAATTTGAAGTTTTTACAACTTTTTATGAAATTTTAGTAACTTTTAAGAGTTTTTAATGATCGTTTAATGTAGGTATACGAATAATAACTATCACGATTCACGAGGGAAGAAGGCGAGAGTGTTATTGTCATTCAAAATTCGCAAGGGTCAGTGTTATTGTACACACACACGAATTCAAAACAAGCCACAACGGTTAGTAAGAAAACCCGGACTGGTTTCGACGAGTCCCAGTTACCCGACGCGCCGCTATCCAGCACAATATCCGAAGCGATAACGAAATTATCTCGCCAACAGCCCCCCCGAATTTAATTATAATCGACCCAAGTTTAGACAGTTTATAGCTTTCCTCGAGGTCGTTGCGCCCCGCCCGCGGAACGTACACCCCCCGAAGCTCGCAGGTGGCGGGGGCTTCATTAAAGTTTGGGGCGCGCGGGCCCCGCCGAAAATCTGTCGACGGGGAGCCCTTTCGCCCGGCGGGTCCTTCACGGCGCGCTTACAACTTTCCGGGACATTACGGGGCCGTTTGCGGGCGATACAAGTTACTTAAAGCGGCCCACTCGAGGGTATTGACTCTCGCCCTCGACGGCCCGCCGAAGGACCAATAACCGCAATCAAACGACCCGGGCGGGAATAAATTTCACCCCGAATGGGTATCGTCTGTTTTTATTTCGAGTGTGTACTTACCGTGGCTGGATATACGTGTACGAAATGTTGTTATGGTTGTCGAATAAACTCGAATATAAGAGCGGTGGAATGAGGGAGGTTTTCAGCGAGAGGGTGTTGGTATAAGAACAATGAAATGGGTTTTAAAGGTGTATGTGTTTGTATAAATGTGGAGATCGAGTGTTTTGGTATTAAATTTATTGTATAATAATAATAAATTTGGGATCGTTATTGAGTGACGAAGTGCGTTTCAAATTTGTTTGAATATTTTGAAAATTAGGTGATTTTGGTAATATTTTCGGTTTATCAGAGATTGTAGGAGAAAGTTTTAGTTGCAAAATAACACAAACGTGAAAATGCTATCTCGATCAGTTTTCGAGATAATTGCGATTTTCCATCGAATTGCTCTGAAATTAGTAACTTCGATACGATCCATAAAAAACGCGAAATATTTCAAATATTAGGCGATTTTCGATAATTTTCTATTCTTCAAAAATTCTAGAGGGATGTTTTCTCTACATGGTAATATAAACGATGTGTTTTTATCCCGATTAGTTTTCAAGTTAATTGCGATGTTTCATCGAATTGTAGGTACCTACTGAAATTAGTAAGTTAGATACGACCCTTAAAAACTCGAAATATTTCAAAAACTAAGCGATTTTTGATAATTTTCTATTCTTCAAAAATTCTAGAGGAATATTTTCTCTACATGGTAATATAAACGAGATGTATTTATCCCGATTAGTTTTCAAGTTAATTGCAATGTTTCATCGAATTGTAGGTACTGATTTTAGTAACTTCGATACGACCCTTAAAAACTCGAAATATTTCAAAAACTAAGCGATTTTTGAAAATTTTCTATTCTCTAAAAATTCTAGAGGAATGTTTTCTCTATAATATAACATAAATGAAATGTATTTATCTCAATTAATTTTCGTGATAAATACAATTTTATTTTCTTCAACGATAAAATCATCAATAGCAAAAACAATTTAGTATCTACTATTATTGATATCATCGCATTTCTCTACGTGATGTTTAAATAATTATGTAATAAACGAAATAATGTAGGTAGGTATGTACTTGTACATCGAAATGGAACAAATCCGTCACTCTAAAAATAGCTAGAAAAAAAGTAGTGATACGCAAATATGTGTGTAATTTGTTTCGAAATTATTCTAATCACGGAAAATTTATCTGTAATGAATGCAAATATTTCACAGTTACACAATCGCGCCGAATTTGACGATTCGAGTTTATCCGAAAGCCAAATATGTTGTATTATCTATACGCTTCTTATTCATCCGAAAATGTGTTTTCTTTTCAAAAAAAAAGATATTCTCACTATCTCGTAGAAAAAAAAATATATTATTTTTTCCTTTTCGCCGGTTTTTTCTGTTCCCTAATTAACGTAATCTTGAAATGTTTATTATTCACCGAATTATCAACAGAGATTGCCTTTATCTGCATAACTAGCAAAACAATCTTCTGTTTACATATTTAGAATTTACAATTGAAATATTTTGTAGTAGTACATACTACATACAAGGAGACGTTTATAGAGATACAGAAAGTCGAAGAGTTTCCACAAATCCATGCCATGCCGGTAATTAATATTCGAGATAGACCGGATCGAGTGTATTCGTAATGAACGCAATACTTCGTTAAAAATAATGGAATAATAAATTAAATTAGTGCACGATGGTGGAAAACAAAAACCTTCAAAGCTCCAGCCCGGCAGGAGCGCCACCTATATATTTACGCCGCTTTCATTCATAATAGACATTCCATTAAATTCTTAATCCGACTTCGGTTGTGCTTGATTAACTTTTGTCCCTTCTAATTTCGACGACAATGGCGCCTAGAAATAGGCAATTTTTCCGCGGTGTCATGTGTCAACGACACGCGACCGGTTTTAAATTCAATTTGGAAATTTCAAATTGCGAATTCTGAATGCTGAAGATGATGTTTGCCTAAGCCGAAACGTCGACTTGTGCTAAAATTAGTAAATTTGATGCAAGGTTTAAAAAACACGAAATGTCTCGAAAATTAGGCGATTTTCGTATGTTTTCTGTTCTTAAAAATTCTAGAGGAATGTTTTCTCTATAAGATATTATAAACAGGACGTTTATATCTCGATTAGTTTTCGAGATAATTGCGATGTTTCATTGAATTGTACGGAAATTAGTGACTTCGATATGATCTTTAAAAAACTCAAATTATCTCGAAAATTAAGAGATTTTTGACAATTTTCGATTCCACAAAAATTCTAGAGAGACATTTTCTCTATAAAATAACTTAAACAGGACGTTTTTATCTCAATTATTTTTCGAGATAATTGCGATTTTTCATTAAGTTGCACTAAAATTAACAACTTCGATACGATCCTAAAAAATTACGAAATTCTCGAATTCAACTTTATCGATTTTCACCAAAAACTGTAGAAAAACATTTATTCTACAGGTCGTGTAATATAAAATAAAATCGCCAATCAGCGAATCAGTCAATCAACGCCCACTTGCCGCTTTATTATTATAGTAAAAAGGAATTGTTTCACCGCAATCTAACCCAATAAAAAATCAACAACAATCCCCCTGAATAGACACATTTTTAACATCAACTCGAGTTTATTTCATGAAACGTTTTCTTCCTGCACGAGCCGAAAGAAAAGTGTATTTTCAGCCGTATTTTCAGTACGTGACGCGACGCCCGTACAAACAATATGAAAGAGTAATTTATATCGGGCCACTTTCGATTATATAAATAAGACACGTATATCGCATACATCACAGAAAAGTATAAAAAATTTGAAATTTAAAAATTTTACTCTCATCAAGAAAATTCCGAAAATCCCACTTCTGAATTCCAAAAATCCCACTTCTGATTTCCAAAAAATCACCCGTTTCAAAGCGCAAACGAATCGCAAGGTTTACTTACTCGATGAACATATTCTTCAGCCTCCCTATGCTGGGCGCCTCCTTCTTGGCCCGCCTCCTGGCCTCGTCGATCACGACGGCGCTCGGCCGCTCCTCGGCGCTGCGAAACCTCTTCCTTTCGACCGCGTCCAGCGCCACGTAGTCCATCACGTCGGAGAAATCGTCGTGCTGGCGCGGCGGCGGCGGCGGGCCCACCGCCGCCTCTCGCCGCCCTTCCTTCATGCCTTTGATCACCGACTGCTCGTTCGGCAGGCTCTCCTTCGACATATTGGCGCCCGAGCCGCTGCGAAACACAGAAACGTTTTTTCATTCATTTTGATCGACGCTGGGAAATCGACTCTATCGTATAGATAATTGACTCTCTCATTTAGACAATCGACTCTCTCATATAGATAATTGACTCTATCGTTTAGACAATTGACTCTCTCATATAGACAATCGACTCTCATTTAGACCATTGACTCTCTCATTTAGACAATCGACTCTCTCTTATGGATAATTGACTGTCTTGGGGGGGGAAATTTTGAAGATGATTGAGTATCCTATAGAGATACTTGACTTTCTGGAGGAAATAATGTAGATAATTGATTCTAACAGGCAGAAACTCATCCTTTATTACCCCTAATTACTGTTTTTTACTGATTTTTCACTATTTTTTATCGAATTTGACAATTTTTTTCGTATAAAATTGATCGAGCAGAGACTTCTCGTGGAAGAATTTGAACGAGCTATAGGGAGTTGTATGCGGGGCGGGCATTGAACAAGGGATCAGGTATTCCAGTGTAGATAATTAGGGCCGGAATTAAAGCCCCCGTTCGGTTGGAATAACAAAATGATTGATTGGCAAACATCGGGCATTCTCATCCGATAGAATCTCGGCTAGGGAAAAAAATACACCCGCCCGAATGAAAAAGTTTGGCTTTCTACATACGCGGATAGTTAGATTTTGGGGCGGAAAAAAATTCCGAGAGTCTCTGGAAAAAAAGGGCTGGGAACGCTTTATGGTTGATATGAATTGCCCTTGTGGAGAGAGGTTTTGCTTATCTTCGGGCGGCTCGGTGAGGAAATATGTAAGTAATTGGGTACTTTCAGAAATGAAAATGCCGGGAAAACTGCCGGATAAATGTCACAACAATAAGATTTTGGCGGTATAAAAAACGAATATCGTTGTAAATTCCGAATGTATAGGGTGTCCCAACCTTTTCCTGTGAAAAAGTTTCTATAACAAAGGTGTTGTTACAATTTTTTTTAAAGATAATAACAGGAAGGATTCAATACTTGTGTGGTACAATTAAAGTGTGCAATGAATCGAACTGATCTTTTATTCATAAACTTTAATTTTTTTAAATGTTATCGCAACATTTTATAATTTCGTTTATCTACGTATTGATGAATATTATAACGGAATTTTCCGACCTACTGGGACCTTGTTATAAAAATAATAAATGTCTCCCTTAACTATTGAATATTCTATTGCGATTAATAAGTTCGCAAATAAACATTTTTGCTCCCATTTGGGTAATTCGCCAAAAATTCTTGCCAGTAACATTATTCATTCAACTTCTAGCTCAAGAAATTTAATGAATAAATGAATGGAATTGAAGAAAACCCTTTTTGTTCAGCAAAAATTAGTAAGAATTAGTTTAAAAACCGGTGAAATCATGAGTATGGAAAATGAGTAGAAAAAAATGTAAAGATCAGTAGATATCTAAATATTGGTCAAAATCAGTAAAAATTTGTAAAAAAAATTATGCGTTAATGTATTTTTGATCACGTTATTGATCCTCTTCGGACAATTCACACATAATTGAATGCCGGAAATTGAGGAAAGAAATTGAAGAAATCTGAACCATTTATGGCTATTGAACCATTTTTATACTATCAAAATCTACGAAAAATCAGTAAAAAACAGTAAAGAAAATCAGTGAAAATCAGTGAAAATCAATGAAAATCAGTAAAAAAATCAGTGAAAATCAGTAAAAAAGCCAGTGAAAATCAGTAAGAAACCAGTAAAAAACAGTAACATCAATGACGATTGCTTGATTCTACTTGCATAAGGAATTGGCTAGTGAACCATTTTTATACTGGCAAAATTAATGAAAAATCAGTAAATATTTGTAAAAATTAATAAAAAAACCAATAAGAAATCAGTAAGAAACCAGTAAAAAAACAGTAAATAAAATCAGTAAAAATTAGTAAAAAAAACAGTAACATCAATGACCATTGCTTGATTCTACTTGCATAAGGAATTGGCTATTAGTGAACCATTTACTGTCAAAATTAACGAAAAATCAGTAAAAATTAGCAAAAATTAATACAATACAAACCAATAAAAAAATCAGTAAGAAATCAGTAAAAATCAGTAAAATTAATGACCATTTTCAGATCCTATCTCTCCCAAATTTCTTACTCAAGAAATTCGCCACCGGACCATTTTCAAACAGTCAAAAACCAACGAAAAATCAGCAACAAACAACCCCAAAACAAATTTTCCCCAAATCCCACCTACGATTACCTTTGAGTCTTCTGCAACAACCTATTCCTGAACCTCCCGTACACACCGTCGGCCCTCTCCTCGGGCGACAGATACCTCACCCTCCCGTGGCCGGCCACCAAAGCGGGCCGCCCGGCCAGCCCCAAGTCCATCTGCACGTCGACCAGCACCAACAGGGTGAACAGCACCACGGCCGCGCACAGGCCCACCACGGCGCGCTCCTTCCACTTCAGTCCGCCGCGGATCATCTTCAGCCGGCGAAGCGGTGCGACGCGCGAATGCCGGTCGCCGGTCGCGGCGCAATCGGGCCCCGGCGGCGGCGAGTACTTGCTCTTGCTCTGGCTCTTCGAGCGGGGCGCGGGACGCTGGTCGATTCGGCCTGTCGCAGAATCGTCTACATGCCGGACGCGGCGCGGAGCGTGCTCGACGAACGGTCGCTGGGTACTAGTACTGCCGGCATCGTCGGCTGCGCGATAAGCCGCTGATAAGGCGGCTGGTGCTGGTCGTAAGGAGCCGGCTGGCGGAGTCTCCGGTTTCGGTTTCTTGGCGCGATGGGTGGCTACATTATCGCGCGGCGACCGGAAACGATCGGGTTCAGGGTTGGTGGTGGTGGGCGAGGGGTCCGGGCATCGGACGTGGTGGAGTTGGTGATGGCGAATCGGAGATGGTTCTCGGAATGTACGGTCGAAGGCTGCAGGGTTTTGACATTGCAGCCCGTTCGATGGGGGTGTATCCAGAGTTTCGGGTCAGTTCGGTGGGTTCTGGAACAACATGTGGCTATTAGTAGATCGAATGAAATTGAGGCAGTATAAGGCAAACATCAGTAAAATATCAGTAATAATTTAAACACTGTTTGGGTCATTCACCAATAATTGGAACTCCTTAGCTTAGCCCACAAACTTATTACTTGAGAAAATAGCTATTGTTTAAACCATTTTTATCACTATAAATAAGTGATTATATTCAGCTAACTTCTAGCTGAAGATGTTAGTCATTGAACCAATTTAATACACTCAAAATCCGTGAAAACCAGTAAAAAATCAATAAAACCAGTCAAATCATTAAAAATGAACGCAAAAGAATTAATAAAAATTAACAACTTATCCTCATGGAAAATCTGGTTCATCTTTATATCGATTTATTCCCTCTTTTACTATAAATTTTAACATAGTTATCTCGACCACTGTCTTGCTATTAGTCGCTAGTTTTTATTCACAAAAATCCCCGATACTTCTTCTTCTTCTTTATAAATTTTTGGCCTCAGCTGCCAGGGCTATTCGGCCAAATCCCTGATTCATGAGTCTTATATGACAAGTATTTACAGAAAGACAATAATAAATGGGAGCAATTGACCAATTGGGAAAATTTTAAACTAGTGCAAAACATTTTTTTTTAGTTACTATCTATTTAAATCAAATAGATATTTCGATGCCAGTCACTCCGTTCATTCATTCGGTATGTCATTGTCTGTACGTTGGGTCTGTTAAAACTTTATTAACGTCCCTGTTAGGTGGCGAGTACGTGTGCATGTAACTTATATGCGACAAACAGTGGCGTCGCACTGTGATATACAATACAATTAAATTGGGTGAATTAGATAAAAATTGGTGGAACTAACAGAGACCTCCTCTGCATGATCTTCCGCCGTGTTAGAGCGAGAGCCGAATAAACATTTTCTATTTTTCGAAAAACATTATATTTTATTAATTTGTACAATAATCGAGTATCTGCTGTTAAAGATTTCTTGAGATGACCCCCCTTTAAGGACGCCATTGGATGTAAATGATCTCGAAGGCGAGGGAAGCGGAATAGCGGAAGTTCACCATTCTCCTGTTGTAATATTTCGCGTCGTGAAAACCGTTAAATTGAATAATTTTACCAGACAAATATTTATGGCATTAAAAACTTACGGAATCTAGTAATTTTTAAAACAAAACGCTAAAAGCTCCAAATCATCCTATATCACACTTCAGATACGACGAGATCCATTTTAACACCACCATAATGTCAATGTCAATGAACTGTCAATTATCTGTCAATGTTCTATCACAAAGTTAATGAAACGTTCATTTATAAGAAAATGTTATTAAATAGTGCATTTTAAGCAGTTTACAAACAAATAAATGACAAATGTGTATACACATAGAAGGGTGAATGTCTGGATTGCACATAAACAGCAAAAATGAAAAATCCAAACAAAGGAAACAAAAATTGTCCCATTAATCTAGACCGATGTGCCTATTATCGAAAATCATCCTAATTGTAAGTATCCCTTCAGATACGTCAATGAACTGTCAATGAAATGTCAATCATCTGTTACAAAGTTATTGAAACATACATTTATAAGAAAATTTAATGTTTTAAATTGTGCATTTTAAACATTTTACAAATATAAGTACAAATGACAAATTAATATACATAGAAGGGTGAATGTCTGGATTGCACATAAAACAGTGGAAAGGTAAAGAACCATTAGCACCACCATATGTCAACGTCAATGAAATGTCAACAAAAAAATTATTTATAAGTAAAAAATGTTATTAAACAGTGCATTTTAAACATTTTCAAACAAATAAATGACCAATTTATAGACGGGTGAATGTCTGGATTGGACACAAAACAGCGAAAAGGTACAAAGCAAACGAAGAAAACAAAAATAATCCCATTAATCTAGAGCGTTATGTTAATTATCCAAACAACCGTTCTCGTGAAATTTTAATAAACATACGGCCAAATCAATATTTACACGTGCAAGTACAATGTTTCGTTGAATTAACAAAATACCCGACAATGGCCGGTGCACAATGGATAAAAACAAGTATAATTAAATAATGCTATTTGGGTAAGTGCTTCCGGCATGTATACGGCCATTTAATTTCACTTCCTGAAAACGACAACAGCCCGCCGACTTCGATCATTGAATAAATCAATTTTATCGGGACTGATTTATTCCAAGAAATCAAAGTTAACTAGGCTCACACTTACCTTGTATATTTCACTATAAGTTTTCTTAAACACATTTATTTGTATTATTATTATTAATAACAAATTTTGCTAATCTTGTACTGCAAAATTCGCGAAAATATTTACCTTGAATTTATCTTATAGCGATAAATCGAATGCAATAATTTTTATGGCCCCCGTGTATAATTCTATTAATTTTTAATGAAAAAAAAACATTTTTATAGGTGCAAATAAAACTTTTTCGCTCCATTAAATAAATAATGACGATTTTCATTACATTACCATCGTGCGTTGAACTTAATTTTTCAAAAATAAATAGTAAAATAATAACCGCGTTCGAATAGAAATATGACAAATTAAAATTTTACTGTTCCGCCATAACCAACTATCATTAAACCCGAAATAATTATTTTTACAATCTTTAAATAAATACGCCAACGATAAAGATCTAGATTAGTTATTGTATTGTTAGTTTTATATTACGCTTTTTTAATCACGTTTCGAAATATTAAATTAAAAGCGCCGTACTTTAACGTACTAAAAAAACCATTCCCAATTTACAATGGAAATTACGGCAATTACAAGGTGGAAGATATTAAATTACCAACATTTCAGTTTTCCAATCAAGCGCACCCGCATCATCACTTTTCTATATCTAATCTTCGGAGGTTAGTTCCATTTAAGTGGGTTAGTTTCGATCCATTAAAACCTTATCAATTATAAAATTGATACAATGGAAAGTTGCAAACCATCGGAATTACCGGCTATAATAATAATAATAATAATTCGTCTTATATTTTATGGAAAAAAAATTCATTGTGTGTATATTATGTAGAAGAAGCATGGGAAAGTGAAGTGTATTTTCTCTTTTTTTTTGTATTAAAAATGGTTGATATGTAACGATTATATAGGAGAGTAGATGAAGTGTTGTAAGGGACTCGCAGGTGGGATTTCTAAGTAAATAAATAATTCGAAATGCAATGTATTATAGCGTGAGCGTAAACGACTGTTACAGCCAGATACCATTTTTACAGTAATTGCTAGCAAAAATGTACCACTCGCGTGTCCTCCGCCCATACGTGAACCGAAAAATTAAGCCAATTTTATTATTAAGTTTTCCTATGAAGAAAAAAAAAGCATGTATAGAAAACCTCGATTAATTCGATTATTCAAATTCGAATCGAACTAAAACTAAATTTCGCAATTTATACAATATTCCCATGCTCGCCGATCGACTATAATACAATAATCGAGCATTACGCACACTTTCGTTACTTTCATTCGAAAATTATATAATAATTAAATTGGTAATTCGAAATGATAAGAGTCGTAATTAAATCGCTGTTGAATTCCCAACCTTCCCAGGCAAACAGCATATACAATAACGATTCTTTAAGAAACAATACGTCTTTATTCCCAAGTATTTATAGAGTGATACTCGAGTTGCAGCTCTTTGTGTACGTTCGCTGGAAGGAAAATAAAGCATAAATGGCCCCGAAACATCGAGGGGAAACTCCGTTTTCCGTGTATATACCGACGAAAATCCCCGCGACGTCGTTCTGTTGGGTAAACATTCAAGAGCCGGCTGCCGCACTTTTACGCTGCACTCCACGACTTTTCCACCCTGGAAAAATTCTTTCTAACTTTTTTTTTTGTATTGCCGCTAATCCTCGAGATACAACTATATACCGGGTCGGCCCGCGGCGATGTAAATACATGAATTAGACAAGTGTAAAAAAGTGTGTATCTGACCATTGTAATATCCCTCGAGAGGGGGAGAGATAAAACTAGACGTGTTTTCGAATTGTTTATTACTGTTTTATAATTACTTAGAACTGCTCTACAGCAAATTGGAACTGTTTTGTATCGTTTAGCACCATTTGAGTACTGAGTAGGACCGTAAACAGTTCAAAACGACTTTATGAACCAATTAGAACTGTGCAAAATAGTTTAGAAGAGATTCGGGACTATTAGGAACTTTCCAGGATTAACTAGAAAAGCCCAGAACGATTTTAAACGCTCCAGAGCGAGTTTGAACTTTTAGAAGACCATTTAGAATGTTTCATATGAATAAGTAGCTAATTTAATTAAATATTTCTGAATATCCTCTAATTTTCATTTAAAAGTTTATAAAATCATGTTAAAAAGCAGTTCATTATTATTTATTAGAACCATTTTAGCACTGACTAATACCATTTGAAACAGTTCAAAACAATTTCAGAATCGTTTAGAAGGATCCAAAATCATGTATAAGAGACTCAGCACTATTTAGAATTTTTCAACTAAGAAATCTACCAAATCAGTGAAATTTCCTTATAAAATCGTCCAATTTAGTTGTACTAAAATCTTATAAATTAAAAGTCCACCCTCTCAGGCCAACCCTTTACAAACGGTGTGTAACAAGATACTCTTTTATCGAGTTTCCAGCATCCAAAACAACCCTTAAATAAACTAGCTACAATTCGCAAAAAAAAACATAATTTTTCAGTACCATGCAAAACGAATTTTCGCGTCCGTCAGAACCGAACACGGCCGAAAATGTCGCGTTATTCGAACCGTATTATCCACTTAAAGTCATCGTGTTATCGGAATTAGCGCGGCGTTATTACATCGAAACGAGACCCGAATAATTAGAGTGCCAGAGCCCGAATTCACTTTGCCAATTTTGTTTATCTTTCTCCACCGTAAAAATTAAAATTTCATATTCAAATTACGACCCTGCAATTAAATGAAACGCTCTTTGTTTTTACATTAATTGCAACGTATACGTTATTATACCTACTGTAGCGAAGGTTTGTTTGATTGCACTTAGTTGAAAAAAGTGGATTTCGTAAGGGATAAATTGCGTTAGAATGTTATACAGTATATCCCTGAGTGGTGTTAAAAAAGTGTTATTTATAATTTTACAAAGACAAGTTATTTTTTATCATATAAGGCAAGTTTGCAGTATTAAACTTTGGAATTTGAAATATTTTTATACTAAGAGAGTAAACAGAACAAAAATACTGACAGACATTAAATAAAATCAGTGACGTCAATTGTCTAGAGTCTAGATTGTTTTTGAAAATTATATTATTTATTCTTTGCTTAAGTTATAAAAAAATTTCTATTATTAGAAATAAATCATAAAAATTTTCATTTGCAATTTTTTATTTATCTAGATAGGTACTTTTGTTTTATAAAATTTTGCTCTGAAAATGTTTTCCCTCTCGACTCAATTTAATCATTTCTTTATTTTATTCACACCCTAAATCAGGACTTTTTATAAAGAACAACATTTCTTCGCAAAATTAAAAACAACGATTAATTTTTCTCTCCTCTTCTCTCCTCTCTCTTCACACTGTATATTACATATTATTATATTTGAATAATTACACAAACATACAAGTGTTTAAAGAAATTGTATTGATATATTCATCCTGTATATGCTTAACAGTACATTCAAATAATTAGTAATTTTAAATAATTAACTGTCCACCCTTAATAGTTGTAAAATTTATAATTGCGGCAAATTTTTTCATTTCGAAAAACGTTGTTGTTTAACGCAATTTCCACCGTTATTTAAGCGTCTTAACCGCTTGGAAAATTGTTGTATTTTAGAGGCGAAATCCTCATGATCAATTTCCTGTATAACGTGAATTAATGATGATCTCGGTCGGAGGAAAGGCAAAACCTCCAACCTCATCAAAACGACTATTAAAATCCACGAGGGGCCCCTATTAATTTTACACTTCTTAAAAATCGCGCTTATTACTTAATTATTAGAAGATAAAAGGGCATATGGGGTAATATTTTGATGCTTTACAAGTTTTTTCGAAGCATTTCTTTACATTTCTAACGCTGATTAGCCGTCTCGGCGACACGCAATACTAAAATAACAACCTCATTACGCTCTTTTTATACATTTTAACAATGAAATTACACAGCGAAACAATAATTCTACATGTCGGTATGTACCGTAGTTTCACTCGGACGGTCATGTGGGTAAATTCATAATATTCATTAAAGTAATTAATTGCCGCTTAAACTAGGAAGCACAAGGTTTAATTAAATAAATGCGAATAAGAAAGAACTGTTTAGCGTATAATTTTCATTGTACTTAAAAGCTATCTAGTTAATGGCAATTTCAAAAACAAAACCAGCGTTTTGTTGTTTTTAGTACCTAATGTAGTGCATTAAAATAAAAATATATCGACTCGTCAATAATATAAAAAAAATAGTTCATGACTTTGCATAAAATAATTTTGAAACGTATGTAATTTTCGCCGGCGCGATTTTATTTGTATACGCCGCATTTTTTCCGCGCTCGACGGGCAAATAAACGAATTATTTTCGAACAGAAATAACGTTTTATTAAATATCGCGTAGCTCTCGACAGGAGCCGATAATTTACGTTCGAAGGTAAATTAGATTCAACAGGAAATTCGCTAATCAGGTGCTCGATTAGCTTTAATCATGCTAATTGAGCTAACTGGATGTAGTGTGTAATAAAATCGCGATTATCTCGAAAATTAATATTTGTTTTGTAATTTTTTGAGAAGCTAAAATGTTCAAAAATTTCAATAGTAACCAAACAGCAAACGAATGGAAGGTTATCAATCTCCATCAAACGTTTCTATTATTAGAGATAAATTATAAAAATTGAAATTTTCATTTGCAATTTTTTATTTTAACTAGATAGGTACTTTGAATAAGAACCACTTTTGTTTTATAAAATTTTGCTCTGAAAATGTTTTCCCTCTCGACTCAATTTAATCATTTCTTTATTTTATTCACACCCTTAATCAGGACTTTTTATAAAGAACAACATTTCTTCGCAAAATTAAAAACAACGATTAATTTTTCTCTCCTCTTCCCCATCAAGGGACACACTGTATATATTATATAGGATGAGTAATTATACAGACATACAAGGGTTTAAAGAAATTGTATTGATATATTCATCCTGTATATGCTCAACAGTACATTCAAATAATTAGTAATTTTAAATAATGTATAGTGTGTAATAAAATCGCGATTATCTCGAAAATTAATATTTGTTTTGTAATTTTTTGAGAAGCTAAAATGTTCAAAAATTTCAATATTAACCAAACAGCAGACGAGTAAAAGGCCATCAATCACCATCAATTATTTATTTACACAAACATAATACAATGAATAATACAATACCTGTAAAAATACCAATCCTTTATAGGTGATTAATAAAAAATACATAACTAAAGTTTTGAAAAGTAATGAAATTTTTTCGAATCGAATTTAAATAAAAACAAAACCAGTGATTCCCCTGATAAATGCGCGATATGTTTCGGATTACAAACGGATTGTTGGAGCCTTTATACATGTATGTATTACATTATAACAGAACATACAATGATGGTTTCGTCATCGAAATTACCGCAGCGATATCACATAATTTCGTTTTGTCGGAGAATAATATTAGTTCATGAAATTGCACAGGAAACGGCCCGCTGCGGATGTATCGACGAGGCATCGTCTCATCATAGCAGGTATAATAACAGAATGCATCGAAAATGAGACAGTTGCGGTTTGTTAAAGAAGCGATTACGCGCGACTAATTCGGAAATTTCAAGAAAAAATATCGCGAAAAGTTTAATGAATATGTTGGATTTCTAATATAAAGCTGGGACTGACATTGATTGATTGATTGGAGATTTTCTTGCGGTTATAATCCATTGTTTTGGGTGAGGAAAAGTGTCTTAAAATCCTGTGTAATTGGGTGAGATGGATTGGATATTAGACGTTTTGAATTCCGAAAATTTCATCTTCAGAGAATCGTAGAAAATCGTTTTTTCTACAAGATAGCATAAACGAGATGTATTTATCTCGATTAGTTTTCGAGATAATTGCGATTTTTAATCGAGTCGCACTAAAATTAGTAAGTTCGATAAGATGCTTAAAAAAATCAAAATATCTCGAAAATTAAGCAATTTTTGAAAATTTTCTATTCTCCAAAAATTCTAGAGGAACGTTTTCTCTTCAAAACAACTTAAACGAGACGTTTCCATCTTGATCAGTTTTCGAGATAATTACGACTTTCCTTAGAATCGCATTGAAATTAGTAATTTCGATACGACCCTTAAAAAACTCAAAATATCTCGAAAACTAAGCGACTTTCCAACTTTTTCTATTCTCCAAAAATGATACAGCAACATTTTTTCTACAAATCAAACCAAACACCGCCTTCGTATCTCAATTACTTTTCGAGATACCGGCGCTCTTATTCCCCTCTATATTTTTCGTTTTTTCACACTCGTGCAGCAACCTTTTAACCCAGCAAACTTTATACATTTGACAAGCGAGTTTTATTTATAAATCAACGCGTTGTAGGCGAACACTAAACGCTCTATTATCTCCACTATAATTAGAGTCGTTTACGTTTTTGATTCATCCGATACCTACATTCGTGTACTTTGGCAAGTTTTCCAAAATTGTTTACTACCGCAAAATATACGACCGCCTATTATTAGCCCACTTCAACAGGTTTCTCGCTCCCGTTTCGATTTTTACTCTGCATTTATGTAACGAATGCCAAGAAAAATTCCTAAAACAGCACTTTGATATACCTTACCCACCTTAATACAATGCATAAAACACATTATTACCCAATTTACTTTCGCAATAATTACACACAACTTTTACACACAACAAAAGCGCTTCGTTGTATATTAATTAACAAAGCGAGAATTCGCAATAGAATTTAACAGTCGCTAAATTAAACTATTACCTACCGAAATCCGGCGCATTTCCCACACAAACAAAACCACTTCTAAAAAATTCAAACCTCACGTGGTGCGTGTCCGATTATCGGAGATTAGAAACTCCCGCCCCACGCAAACGCTGCCCGCAGACTAAACCAAACTAAACGCTAAACTCCGCAAAACGCGCTCCTAAAAAAAAACCAGAAGCGCGAGCGTCGGCGCCCGAAGAGAACGGGACGCCTCTTCCCGGCCGATGAGGAGAGCCGGTTCCGGCCCGGCGCTCGCTCTTCTCGCCGGGTTTTCTTTTTTTCGGTTAAATAGAGTTTGAAATGTCGGTCGAGTACCGTTTGACCGGCCATGGGTTCGATGATGACACATCTATGTGATGGGCCGTTCGATTGGCGTGTGTCAGTGATGCGTTTCCACGGCTGATGATGGAGACTTTCTCTAGCAGCTAAATGATGAATTTTATACTGATTTGTAAGTGGTTTGTTCGTAGACGATGGGTCTCTTGTGAATGTTCTTTTTTATGAGAGGTTTCTTTATAGATATTGTCTCTTATAAATGGTCTCTTCTCTATGAATGCTGCGTTACAAATGTTCTCTTATAAAATGTTTTATATAAATGCTTTCTCTCTTCTCTATGAATGCTGCTTTATAAATGGTCTCTAATAGGTAGTTTCTCCTGGAATACTGTTTTATAAATGGGCCCGTTATACCTAAATATTGTCTTTTATAAATCCTCTTTCTCTATACTGATTTATAAATGCTACTGTTGAATAATGCTCTCTCTTCTTTATGTATAAAGCTTTATAAAAATGCTCTCCTATAAGTGTGGTTTCTTCTAAGAATACTGTCTTATAAAAATTGTTATTGGACACTTTCTCAACGATTTACTATCTTATTATAAATGCTCTCTTCTAATTATTGTTCTCTTCTAATTGTTCTCTTCTAATTGTTTTCTTCTAATTGTTCTCTTCTAATTGTACTCTTCTAATTGTTCTCTTCTAATTGTTCTCTTCTAAATTGTTCTCTTCTAAATTGTTCTCTTCTAATTGTTCTCTTCTAATGGCTCTCTGATAATTCGTCTTTTCTAACTCATTTCTTATAATTCTCCTCTTATAAAGACTCCTTTGCGATTTCTCTCGTATAATTACTCTCTCTTATAACTGCTCTATTTATAAGCACTCTCTTATAAGAACTTTTCCAACGATACCTCCAATCAATGTAAAGATAAATCGTGATGTTATTCGTGTATATCATACACGCGATTTAACTGTACATTCAGCTATAGTTTATAGTTTTAATTTTAACCGAGCGAATGTTGTTTTATTGTCGTTGAAATATTTAAGGCGGCGATTTTATTATTCGAGCGTCCAGTTAATTATGTATCTCGCCCACTGTCGTCGGCGATTCGGTTTCCTTTTTCTGTTATCGCTCGTGATAAGAGGCTAACTAGGGATTAACGTTCTTTGGAGACGCGTCGTAAAGAGTGAATTATATCGAGGTTGTAAAGGAAACGGGCCGGTGTCGGATTACAAGGGAGAATGGAGGACGATGTCGGCGTTTTTATATTCGTAATTTGCGGGACGTTCGTAACGGCGAATTTTCTGAATTTTCATATCAACGTTTTCAATCATTAATAACGCCGTATATTTTCCGTCCGGGGCCGGCGCGGCGGCAATGAAAAATATTATTTTTTCGCATTTAAAACTCGTTAAAAATGGATTCGCCTGTCGCTGATAATTCGGGAAAAGTTTTCGCGGAAATATGTCAAGTGGGGAAGTATTTTCGCTCATGAAAAATTCATCTTTACGTTCCCGTTAAAACCGACGCGGCTACCGAACGGTTCTAATCAACCAAATGCAAAGAGCATTCTAATCGAATTAACCACTTTTTAATTACACTTACAATGTCGTTTGTGGAACTGGTTAATTTTATTTGGAATTCGTTCTCATTGACTCATTGAATATTAAATTTATTCTACAAAAATTTGTTCTAATTACAACGAATTTTCGAAATTATTCAAAAAAACTTATTGAAAACTCGCGGTCTCTTACAAAATGCTACACCAACCACCTTACTTTGTTTGACGCTTTCATATTAACTAATAAAAAAAGAAGAATTAAACAGACATATGACATTTGACATATTAAAATTAGCCATTGTAAGCAAAAGAAAAATAAACAATTCTATCGTAGCGTTCGCAGTGCAATGTGTCCCATTTCCAGGCAATCAAACGCTAATTAACTACGCAAATGATGAAGATACGCGAAGCCGTTACTAAACGATCTAAAATGGTCGATTTAACGACGAAATGGTAGCAGGCCTTTAATTGGTAGGTGCAATAATGACGGGTCACGCAGTGGTCGTGTGGGAATACGAAATTAGGTCGGGCTACTGGAAGCCCTACAGCCCCGCCGTTAGCCAGCATTTGGAGCGGGCCAAAGCCAAGCAATTGACGCGCGTGCTGCTCTCCGACGCCGATCCCACGCTGCTCAATTACTTTATCAATCTGCGAACGCTGACTCAAGAACTGGAAGATTCCGGTACGTAATTAGTATCACTGCTTTGTTTTAACTGTAATTAATGATTCGTTTGGGTTTCTTGTAGATGTGATAGTACCGGTTAGAAGGAAGTGCTATTCTCCGAATTCTCCGGCCGGAAAAGGGGCCAGATGGGAATGTAATGGATCGGAACACAGCCAAGAGTGGCATCCTTTCGATATGGATATACAGTGTTTAATCGAAGAAGCATGGGCGAAGGTGTGATTTGTTGTTTAGTTATTTTAATACAACATTAAATGTAATTATTTTGTTTTTAGGGTGACCAAATGTTGGATATGAGCAAGACTCATTTAGGATTTCCGTATTTAATAAATTTTAGTAATCTAACGCAAAAATGGATGACTAACGGGTACGTGCGAAACGTCAGAAGAATCAAGCAGGCGCCCTATCCTTTAGTCAAAGTGAAATTGGAGGAATTAGCTCCGGTGACTGGTACATAAAGCCCACTTTTTTGCAATGCAATTTTTAATGTTTACCATTTTCAGGGCGCAGGCATACCAACAGCAGGAACTCCTGCAGAACGCCCAACACGAATACCAACTCGCACTGCGCCAAAGTCATAGGAAGCAGCGCCATTTTGAACCAATCGGACGCCAACAAGAAATCCACGAGCAAGAAAAAAACCAACGGCAAATCGAAATCGACCAACGATTCGACCCCAGCCAATCTAGCCCGGCAAATACTGAATAACCTCAACATATTCGGCCACAAATCCAGCGCGACGCCCTTGTTCAATTGCACGGAAAACAAAACTCTCTTGGACGCCGACAGCAGCAGCACCAAATCCGGCCGAAGGCCCAGCCTCGACACCGTCTCGACTTATTTGAGCCAGGAGAGCAGAGACAGCCAAGCGACCGCCTCCACCGCCGATCTGATCAACTGCAACGCCAGCGACGACGGCGCCGTCGACGATTTACCTTCGATAGTCGGCCTGGATCCGGCCAGCGCTTCGATATCGCGCTTCGTGCGATTGTCGAAGCCCAGCGAATGGGCCCCCAGGCAACCGTGTCCGGTGTGCAGGCAGCAACTGAGGCCCGAGACGGCGGTGATTGCCCTGCCGTGTACGCACGTCTTGCATTTGGATTGCTTGAATTACGCGCTGACCGAGCAGCAAGAGGCCGGGGCGCATTTGCACATCCAATGCGCCGTCTGCGGGTGCGTGTACGGCGAGAAGCACGGCAACCAGCCGCCCGGCACGATGGAGTGGAAGAGGATCGATAGGAGTTTGCCCGGCCATCCGGGGTGTAGGACAATTCAAATAATTTACAAGTACGTATTAAGGGTTCTCGCACCAATTGGATATGGTTATGGAGTAGCTATTGTTTGATTTGACAGCTTTACATTGTTGTTATGGAGTAACTAAGGACATTGTTTAACTTGACAGTTCTACATTGTTGTTATGAAGTAACTTTGGACACTACTTACGTTAAAGAAACTCTTTAAACGATGTACATATATATTAGCGTTAAAAAGGGTTGAATACGAAGCTGAATTTCTAGTAATTTAATTTTAACAAACATGTTTTATAACGCTTTGGTTTATTTTTTAGTATTCAATCGGGTATACAAACTCCGGATCATCCGAATCCGGGTAGGGAGTACTACGCCGTGGGTTTTCCTCGGTACGCTTATCTTCCGGATAACCCGGGTGGTAGGAAAGTGTTGAGGTTGTTGCACGCGGCGTGGCAGAGGAAGCTGATATTCACGGTGAGTAAATCCCATACGACGGGGTGCGAAGACGTCGTCTCGTGGAACATTCCGCATAAGACTGAAGTGGGACCGAGCATGAATACGTACAGTTACCCCGATCCGGCGTATTTGAATAACGTCATTAGAGAATTGGAGGCGTTGGGGGTGGTGGAGGAGAACGTGTCTAGGAGTTAGTGATGTACTAGATGTGCCAATTGTAGGTTTATCGAATTGAATCGTTTAAAGAGTGAACGATCCAGTACTAGATTTTTTTTTGTATTTATATTATCGAAACGGTATTTTATTTGCATTAGCATTCCTTCTAAGACTGAATTTAATTTACTTAAAGTAACGTAAATTGCACTGGTAAATCGGGTCGTTTTGTTTGTATGATATTTCCTAATAATAGGCCAGTTTTGTTTGAATTGAATTTCGATAGATAAGTATTACAAAGAGACTTGAACTGAAATGACCCGAATATTTATTTTCGCTTTTCGTTATCTTTTGAAGTGCAGCTCGCTAATTTCGCTCGAGAATCGATTTCCCACGTCGAATAATAAGTTATTGTTTCGTATCAGTATTAATTATTTCGGTAATAATAATTTTAATTAAACTGGAATTTGTTTGGGGTTAGTATTGTCGAGATTTAAATGAAATTACTGTTGTTTTTTTTTCGTGTATTTGCAATACAGAATTGATGGGCTGTTTAGTCTTCCACGATTTTACTTTTACAATTATTATTTTTTTTAATAATTTCGGACATACAAAGCTATTATTTTAGACTTAACTATGCGATTGTAAATTTTGCTTAATAAGTGAATAGTATTTTTAAGATTTTTATTTTGTAAAACCTTCTACCATTTGATGGTGTGAGGTGCCAGAGATTTTAGCTATTATCCCAAGTGTTCCTTTATTTCGAATTCTCGCCTCCTGTATTATTTTATTCTTTTTCAAGTGTCCTTCCCTTCTGGTCCTTCCGTCGATTTCCCGGCTAAAGTTACAAATCCTCCTATAGGATTAATTAGTATTATTTACTTTGTGCAATTGATTGCAATTGAAATTAGATGATTACTTTTCATTTGGGCAATTTTTAGTTTGTGATATGTTTTTATAGATATTATCATTCGGAGTTTATATTTTATGTGTAAATACTTAAATCCTTTATTGTTTAGTTATACAAACGTATTTGGTAGTTTATAATGGAAATTTATTGGAGGTAAACACATCGATTATTGTAATAAATAAATTTATCAGCAGGATAAATGGATTCCATTTAACCTGCTGGTAAACGTTTTAGCGATGCGTCACCCTTAAAATTAAAAAAAGATAAGAAATTTAGGAAGGAGGTTAGCCTTCGTATATTTTTTCGAATATATTTTTATGTACATTTGAATTATAAACCTTAAAATGGTGGGAATAATATTGTTTAGTACAAACTATTTTAAGAGTAAAAATATTTCAATAAAGGTCAATAATAACTTGTAATATTCTTTCCTGGTCACGTCCATTTGAAATCAAAACTTTTTGTTTTATTTTACAGAACAGTTTATTATGTATGATAATACACATGTTTATATTTTATCTATTTCATGTAACTTTAAAATACGCTATTTACTATAAATCCCCTTTTTTAGTGGCATATCTTATTGAAGCAACGGCATTATTATACTAAAAAATATTCATCAAAACGATTAGTGCAATATTATAGAACAGATATGTTCGAATAAGGTGATGAATATTTTTTTTCCTAATTATAAATCCTCTTATTTCGCTACAAAACAATTAACTGTTAACTATGTTCATGCTAATAGAATATTTAGTACCTTTTCTAATTTTACAAAACTTTCAGTCGACTCGTTTTATTCTGCTTAAAATACGTTTTCTTCGAACATTGATTAATAATTAGCGATTTTGAGCAAAAGAAATTTCTATTCAACCACGGAGATTCCGAATTTTTTATGGTTTAACAAAATGCAGAAACTACTAGATTTTTAAATATGCAAGTGCACAAATTTATCTGGAAGATAATTAAATCTTCATTTTAATCTTGCACGTTAAGTAACCGCTTTTTTTTAATTGAACGTTAATATTATAACATAGCACACATTGGTAATAGTGCAACATATTTGCCAAAATTTGACATTATAGAGATACCTTAAAATGCTCCACTAGCTAAAATTACATCATAAAAGTAAACGCTACATATAAAAAAATCCTACAAGTGTGTTTGTGTTAGAAGTTAACAAATTTATTTAGCGCTTTGAGACTCTTTTGCATCAGAATTACCTGTTTCATCCGCTTCATTTTCCTCCTGCTTCGGCTCGACAATAGCAACGGCAATTTCTTCTGTAGCTTCTTGAACAGATTCCGGTTGCTTGGCGACCGTTTCATTCAAAGGAGCAGCTTCTGATTCGGGAATCGGGGTCATACGAGAAGCTTCAGCTGATGTACTCGGTATCTAAGAAAAAAATCCAATGACAATTTATACATTTTTGAGTAGCAATTTATTTACCGGATGATCGATCGAATCTTGCACAAACATCCTGAATCTGTTGGGCGTTTCCTGGACGACTTGAGTGGTGCTTTGGTAAGGCGGCGGTTGTTCGTCCATAATATCCTGGTAAGATGGCGGAGGGGTTTGCTTGAGTCCGGCGAAAGCGGCTTCTTGGTCGCGGAATAACGACGGGTAATCGGCCTCGGTGAGTCCACGGTGCTCCGTTTCGGGTATTATGTAGTGGATAGCGTTGCCGTTGGAATGCTGACGGATATTCAGGTACTTGTAGCAACGCCAAATAACGCTAATCCAATAAGCCTGTGTGGAAATGTACGCGAATTAATAACACCTCTATGCAATGTGAAAATATAAACTTACTTTCCATAACATGGAAAATAAGAATGCCAGTAGTACGATCAATGTAAGCACTTGTGGACTGAGTTGAAGCAGCTCATGACGAAGGGGTAAGTTCCAATTTTCTGCGACCAATCGATGAGCAGATCTCAGATAACAAAAGTATCCTGTAGCTGTCAGTCTAAAAATACAAGTATTACACTATAATTATTACTAGATTGTTAACGAAATACTTACGCGGTAATGGCAAAATCGAACAATTGCAAGCAGAAAAACGGCAAAATGTGAGTAGGCTTCCCTTTAATCACCCCGTACACCATTAAAAGGGTCATCGATAGTGTACACACCGTCATCAGAGCTCCCATATCCACATCGGCTAAACAAAAAAAAATCATACGATATTAATCACGAAAACTATCGTATAAGCGGCACCCTTACAGGAATAAATTTTGCGACTGTCCTGCGTAGTGGGCAAATAGTAAGGATTATCATCATCTTTCTTACTCAAAGGAGTAGGTAGGAAATCGGTTTGGAGGTCTTCGTGCTTCTGTACCACGACGTGGTGGTTTCTCATCATCAGAGCCAGCACGGTGAGGGCCAGAACGTGGAGCACCTGGAAATCGATCGATTAGTCGTGTGCTGTTCTAGTTAATGAAATTCGAATAAAACTCACCAACTGCCATACTCCGAACAGTATGGTAGCCGTGCGAACGTGCATGCAAAAGCAGCAGGTCCATTCTTTGTTGCGATCGGATCCTAATTTGAGACGCATCGCAAACATCCTCCGATCTGCAATAAAATACAATTAAAAACTATGCTTATTGTCTGCGTATGTTCGCTACATAATATTGATAGGTATTTGTAGATAACCAGAAACGTACGGTATAGGTTTTGACTAAGCTTATAGGTATTTCTTACTAATAAAAACCATACTAACAAATTACCTACATCGAATATTTATGTAATGCAGATCATTCAAAATGAAATCGCGGAGGCAATATTCGTTCGCTATGATAAAAAAAAGTTGCTATATATTTTTGATTTTTACCTAATGACTAACATTAATATGGAACGCAAAAATTAATGGGCTATTTGGTTATTTACGTACCTTACTCAGGTTTAATTAGGTTGTTAAATGGCCTTCGCAAGGTCAATTCATTAGAAAATGATAAAACTAATGCAGATGCATGAACTTGGGCAACGAAATTAACAAAAATTCGTCCTCAAACTTTTTGTTTTGCTCTTTACTCGATAGAATGTACGTCAAGGTTTTATTTTGTTTCTCGTCCTTTTCTTCGGCTGGCTGTCTCCATGCCCGAGATCAGCTGTCAACTTACTGGACGTTGATTGGTAGATAAGCTGCCAGCATCTTCCTTCCCTGTTCAATAAAGGTTGCTTCACGACTGACTGTTGTAACGAAAAACAACGGGCCACACGATGACGTTTTTATGACACATAACGTTAGTGACAGTGACGTTACTTTGACGTTTAACGTCCTTGAATCTTGAAATTGCATGTGTTTTTTAAACTGTCACCAATATTATTTTAATTTTAATGCCGAACTATTAGTTTTTTGCGGAAAAAAATTATTTTAATGTGCGGAAAAATATAATTTAGTAAGACGTAAAGCCATGTGTTCAAACTATTTTCATATTTAAGTAAGTACTACAATTGATTGTATCATTTGCACTCGAATTGCGTCATAGCTAAAGTTAGGTTATTGTAAATAATTGTTTGGAATATATTACATGACAAACAGAGTCCCTTTTGCACAATTCCGTTGAAATACTTTGCTTGAATTCGTTACAAAACCTTCAAAAATTAATGGTTTAATCTGTACGTTTTTTGGAATTAAAATTGTTTTTTAAAATGCCTGTATAATTTAATTGTAGGTCTTATTTTTACGAAATGAACGAAAACATCACTTAAATGATTCCTCGAGGAGAGGAGCCCCATACGAGGGGCAACAAAAAGGGCCAATCTACTCTCCAAGAGAAAGTCGGAGGATTCTATTACACCTTAGGACTCTTCTGCATATCCTATCCCATTTCCGTACTGTGTTTTGCAATTTTCGTTATAATCGTGTCATGGTAAGTCTCATTCAACCCACACTGTGCTAATTTAACAATGGCAAATTTCAGGTTTCCACTTGTGAACGTATCGTTTCCCGGGAAAGCCCCACAAGTTCGTATAGCCAACTTCACAGTGATCGACAATGCACAACCTTTTTGTTACGTCCAACAAATAGTCTTAAGAATCGCCGTTTTACCGTGGAAAACGGAGCTTGCTCTGGGAGACGCTTTTCGGGCCCCTTTATACGAGGCTTTCAAACTCTTAGATGTTGTTAGAAATTATCAAGACAAAAATAGGTAGCAAGTAACAGTTTGTAAATCATCCGTACAAACTTCACAGTTGTTATGTTTCAGTTTTAAAAATTTAGGACACGTTTGTCTTCACATAGAGGCAATTAAGAAAGCCCACAATGATAGATCAAATATTTTACCTCAATACAGTTGTTTGCTGTTATCACCTGCAAATCTCTGGAATCAGGACGTTCAGCAATTTTCCCAGGATAGTGGAATCCTTAATACCATATTTAATCACCATGTGAGTCAAGTTCGAAGGACTTGTGAAATTTTAATCTAAAGTCGTGTATTTTAGAGTTTTCAAAAAGGGAAAACCTCAATATCTGATATGGTGTTTGGAATGCATCTTCTCGATACAGGAATAAAACGTTATCCTTTAAGAAACAGACCTCGGATAATCCAATATGCAGTGACTTTATTCTTCAAAGAATACGACATACAGTGAGTTAAAAATCCAACGGATTAATACCTATAACAAAATTATTTCGATTGCAGATTTATCGAAGGCTTGAAAGAAAAATTATCAACCGTTTACCCGTTGTATCAGGATACCAATCGGATAATCGAGAGTAAATTGAATGACACTATTCTTATAGAATACCCGGAGGAAATTAATTACATCGAAGTAGTACCGCTTTTTACCGCTTTCGTTCTTTTATTTCTGTATTACTACTTTTCCGTTCGGAAAATCGAAATCATCAAATCCAAACTCGGCATGGCTTTTACGGCAACGTTTACGGTTTTTTGCAACCTAACGATGACAATGGGAATATGTTTCTTCTTCGGTCTGACCCTCAATTACGAAGGGTGCAAAAGTATCATCCCTTATTTCACGCTCCTCGTGGGTTTAGAAAACGTTTTGGTACTCACCAAAAGCATCGTAGCGACGCCATTACATCTGGACGTTAAAATAAGGAATGCCCAAGGCTTGAGCAACGAAGGCTGGTCGATTACCAAAAACCTGCTCCTGGAAATTACAGTACTAACGTTCGGATTGTTCACATTCAATCCGGAGATCCAAGAATTCTGCATATTCTCCATAGTAGCACTGATAACCGATTATTTCCTACAAATGTTCTTCTATTTGACCATACTGGGCTTAGACATGAACCGGATGTCTCACACCATCGATAAAATGAGCCAAAAATTCCGGAATAATCTGTACCAACAGCAGAGTTTCTTCGACAAGCCGTTCACCGGAGTAGTCAAAGGCCTCGTCAGGTCGAAATCGCATCCGAGATTGACCTCGTTCCCAGCGAACATCGTAGCCGCCCAAAAGCAGGACTCGAAAGAGAAAATACCGAAGAGGGTGAAGTTGGTGAACATCTGGGCCCGCACGAGGTTCTTCCAGCGCTCCTTCATGCTCCTCATGATGATCTACATAAGCCTCATAGCGTACAACAGCGATTTAATCAAGCAGTACATCCTGCAGGAGAACCAGAGGAACGCCACGATGGACGTCGATACCCTATCGACTATAAATATATTTCCCGTGCTGAAGAACCGATCGCTCGAAGTGAACTACGTCACGTACAATCCTCTGGATAAATACGATCAGAACCAAACGGAGGGTCTGGAGAAACTGAAGCATCCCGAATACGCGCCTTGGTTGAAGTTGCCGGCCAGGCACTGGTCTTCGATACTGAGGAAATACAACATCTCGTTGAGCGGCCAATTAATCGCCGTATTACCCAACATAAAACTATCCCACGTCGTCAGGCCCGAGCAGGCCGTGCTGCTGAGAAACCCCCACGAGAAATACGGCGAGAAATTCCAATGGCAAGCGCTCGCCGTCGCTCTGGATCCCATCGAATTCAGCGGTAAACATTCGCAAATTAACAAACCTCATAGGTTTCGTAATAATTGTTTTACAGACGATTCGCCGGGCGCGAGCCTACCCCAATCCGAGCAACCGTTCTACCCCACGTCTCCCATGGAGATCTTCCTCACCACCATACTCTGCTTGATAAGCATCGTGGTGCTGGCGTACGCGTTCGTCGTCTTCTACAGGTGCGTCTGCTCGAGGAACTACGCCGAATGGCGCGCCTCCTGGTTCAACGAAAAGGTCGACTCCGAGCAGGAGGACCAAGTCCTGCTGGAGGCCATGCCCATCAGCCTGGACGGTCACAATCAGGAGATCGATTGCATCGCCACCGACGGAACGAATATCGTAAGCGCTTGTTTAGGTAAATTATCGTTGATAATTGTGTAGTTTGAAAGTACGGTCGTATATTTCTAAGGTCTGGAAACATTGGTCGAGAAAAAGTGTCCCCGTTATTTGAGGATAAAAGAGGGTTCCTAAAACGGCCGGTAGGAGGCGATGTTGTAAAGGATCAGGGTTTTTTGCGTACGAATTATACCGATTGCTTCAATTCAGACCGCAACTTGGTCGTTTCTATGAGTTGAACAAAGAAAGATTGATAAAATAACAGTTGTCGGAGTGAAAAGTTGCAATAACACAAATGTTATTCTTTCTTTTTCCTTCGTAAGTGTCTAATGGAAGTTGTCTTTATCGCACCTATAGCCTATATAACCTACGTTGCGACCTGGAATGAAGCACAGTGCAGAATTAGCATTAAGAAAGGTTTTATACAAGCTAAAAATAAATACAAAATATAAAAATATACTTAAATTAGCGATGATTTTGTTGTTAACATCGTGCCTCGCGTATCTTCGGTTAATGTATTTCTCCATTTTGTCCTCGAAACGTCAAAAAATATTTTTTGAAGTTTTGACAGCTCGAACTGTCATTTCACACAACCGCGATTTATATGTAGCGCGACGCTGATTGGCTGAGATAAGTTGATCCTCCGATCGTTCGCCACGGTGCGGCGCAAAAGTGAAGCTCAAAAAGTCTTCAAATAACGGGACACATTATCTAATGAAGGTTTCCAGACCTTAGCTTTTTTTGTTTCCCGTACTATTATTTCTAATCGCGTTCATTGCAGGCGGGCAGCTTAAAGTGTTCGACAACAACACGGCCGAGCTTATCGGCCAGATCGATCGGAAATCGTACTTTAGCGGCGCGAAATCGCCCGATCTGTCGCCCGACGTCGACGAGACGATATCGGATTACGAGTCGGGCTCGCCGCCGTCGCGGGACGATCCGTTTCCGAAGCTGCTGAACAAAATCAACACGGATTTCTCGCACGTCGGCGACGACGCCGATCAGTCCGCCTATTCGGACTCCAAGTACAACTTCAACAAGTACTTCAGGCACTTCTACTTCGATCACAACTTCGACGTGAGACAGCGAGGCAGGAGCGAAAACTGCAAAGACGACGGCGCTAAAAGACATAGCATTAACGACAACGCCAACAGAGATTTGTTGGAGGTGTTCGACGATCACTCGAAGGAGTTCGAGGCCTGTAAACTGTCGCCGATTTGGTGCATAGATTACCTGGATAACTTAATAGTAATAGGACGCGCGGACGGGCGATTGGAGTTCTGGGAAGCTTCCACCGGAACTCTCAAGGTAACTTCTTTATACTACTCGATAAGTTTAGGGATGAAATCGAAACGTTGCAGTGCATGTACGAGGACGGTACCGATTCGGGCGTAAACCACGTCAAGATGATCGGCGCCAAAGTGATCGCCGTAAGGCTGTGCGGTTCGCTGGAGCTACTCCAATTGCAGACCTACAATCAAGGTAGACCCATAGACTGGAATTTCACGATAGCCTACAGGAGGACGCACGTTAGAACCGGCTCGGCGGGCTCCATATCCGAACAAGATTTGAAAAATAAGGTACCGTATAAATACGTCAACAACGCGTCGAATTGTAAACGAACTCACTAATCAGGCGTACTCCGAAGAGGATCTGAAGTGCAGCAAGATCCAAACGGTGAAAGCTCATCAACAGCCTGTGACGTGCCTCGACTGCGAGGGCGGGAGAATCCTGACGGGCAGTCAAGATCACACGTTGAAAGTGTTTAGATTAGAAGACGGCAGTCCGTTGTACACGTTGCACGGCCATTGCGGCCCCATTACGTGCCTCTTCATCGATCGAGTGAACCCGGCTACATCGGGCAGCGGTTCCCAAGACGGTATGCTGTGCGTTTGGGATCTACTCACAGGTAAAACCGTTTGAACTATCGATGACGTAATCGAACCAACCGATTTATTTTTAGGTACTTGCATGTACAGCATACAAGCGCACGACGGTGGCATCACGTCGCTCGCGTACTCCGCCAGCTACGTCATATCGCAGGGCTCGGACGACAGATTGTGCGTCTGGGAGCGATTCCAGGGGCACTTGTTGAACACCATCAACGTGAGCCAGACGTTTTCGAGGTGCAACGTGGCGATGCTGGCCCAGCATCTGGTGGTCACCGGAAGGAGCGGCGGGCTGATCATCTGGGACGTTAGGACGGGCGATTGCGTGCGAACCGTTACGTTGGGTCGAGGGCCGTGCATCTTCATCAATCACCTGGTGTTGCTGAGGGACGCTGTGTTGTGCGACTACGGGAAGCAACTGGTGATCGTCAGGTTTCCGCTTATGGCGCATAAGTTCGATTAGCGAACGGCTGTGGGGCGGATTTGGATTTGTTCCGAGACTTTAGATATTGCCAAATTTTTTGATTAGTAACTTATTTCCTTTTCGACAAAAAAAATGATAATATATTTTGATAGATAGTTTCTAATATTAATGTTTTTACTTTTATAAGGATCACACGAGCACTAGAGGTAGAGATCAGTTTTAGACGGCTTCGAATAATTATGAGAGGTTACGCAATTTGAAGTAGACTTAATTAAATGTTTCTTTTTTTTGTCACAATCGATAACAGTATTTATCAATGATTATTGGAAATGAACAGATGAGGCTCGCTAATACGAATTTAATTTAGAAATTGAAATTGTTGATATTACTGTTGCTATATTTATAATTGTATATTTTTTTATTCTTATAAAATCATTCTGTCAAATTTTGACTTATTTATTGAAAATATTTTACAAATTTACATCCTGAAACGTAAAAGTCCGCATAGAATTACATCATTCATAAGTAAAAGACCAACGATACTTCAAACGTCAATGTCAAAGATCCTAATTAAAAAGAGGATAAATTTAACCTTACTTTAAATTCTAAAAACATTGAATCGAATAAACATTTAACACATTTAATGTAATGATTATACATTATGGTTCAATTAACCACAAGAATATTTGGTAAAATAAGGCAATCGACGAGACAATACTTAAAGCAAAGTTTTCGTGACAATTTACGAGTGTATGTCCAAGGGGGCGCCGGAGGAAACGGTTACCCCAAGTAAGTGCAATGTTTAACTAACTAAATTTACCATTAATACCTAATAATATGTACATCATTTTAGATTTGGTGGCGTGGGAGGTAAAGGAGGCGATGTAATCGGAGTAGCAAAAGAAAATTATAATTTAGAAGATGTGTACAAAGCTAACAAAAGCAAACGGTATATGGCCAAAGGGGGCCGTCATTCGACGCACAATTTCATTTTAGGCACGCCCGGGGAGGACCTCAAATTCGACTTGCCCGTTGGGGTTATCGTTGTGACTGACATGGGGAAAAAATTAGGTAAACATTGTACCAAATTGCATTAAAAAAGTCTTCTATTTGTTGCTGTTTTTAGGAGAACTCAACGAGGTCGGCGAGGAATTAGTATTGGCCAAAGGGGGCACAGGGGGTCACGAGAAAAACGGCTTTTTAGGTACCAAAGGTCAAGCCTACCCGGTGAGACTCGATTTGAAATTAATTGCCGATATAGGCCTAGTAGGCTTCCCGAACGCCGGCAAAAGTACCATTTTAAAAGCCGTATCCCACGCTAAACCTAAAGTAGCCAGTTACCCTTGTAAGTTGTAACATTTACCAATCGCATTAGTTTATTTTAAACTTATATATTCAAGTTACAACTATAAAACCTAACGTCGGAATTCTACAATACAAAGATCACAGGCATATATCTATGGCTGATTTACCGGGGCTCATCGAAGGGGCACACATTAACAAAGGAATGGGTCACGAATTTTTAAAACACGTCGAAAGAACTAAGATGATTCTTTTCGTAGTGGATATTAATGGTTTCCAATTGAGTCCTCAATATCCGCACAGGACGTGTTTAGAGAACGTTATTCTTTTAATAAAGGTGTGCAGTTTATTACATTAATAGTTTATAAAATTGTTTATAATTCGTTTTGCAGGAACTGGAATTGTATAATAAAGATTTACTAGCAAAACCTGTGATGCTGGTGGTTAATAAAATGGATACAGAAGGAGCACTTGATAAATACAATGCTGTTAAAGGGCAATTAAAAAATCTACAAAGTAATTCTTACCATTGCAAGTTGTAATGTAATAGCAATATAAAATTGCTCAATTTTTTAGGTATATTATCAGATTTCCCAGAGGAAGTAAGGCCAGAAACTCCAGTAAAATTCTACGAAATAATACCAATGTCCGCAAGGGACAGTCTGGAAAACGTAGATTATTTAAAACAAAGATTAAGAGACATGCTGGACGTGATAGCGGAGCAACAGAAAGAAAACGAACCGGAAATCGAAGATCTCAAACATTTAAAAGAGAAAGGACCCGTCAAAATATAATTCAAACAAATATATTATAGAATAAAATGTTTTACTTTATAGTCGTGCCTGTATAAATTCCTAACGGTAAATCGAGTACGCGTTAATAAGAGGATTTGTACCCTAAAGGGTGTAATTTAATATTAAAACACAAACGTATCGGTTTACATGCAGTTAGACGTAAAAAAATTTATGATTTCCACAGTTGACTAGGCGTTTCGCAAACGCTCGCAAGGCGGTTTGTAAATAAAATCTACAGATTAGTTTGTTAACACAATTTATCTCGTATTCATTAAGAAATTGTTTGGTTAGTGGCGTTACAACGGCGAGTCATGGACGAAAATCTTCCTCTATTGGCGACCAGGAGACCCGTAACGTTCGAGGAACAAGTAAGGGATTAACTGCAGTTTCTTTTATACTCCGTTCGCTATCGGGAGATAACAATAAAACCTAATTTTCGCATGCTAAAGAGTGACAACGAAAGAATCGTATTGTTACAAAACTTTAAGGCATATATTGTGTAATGTATTGGTAATGTTTATTTTAGTAGTGCCACTCTGTATATAAGGTATTTAAGAATAGACAGCCCTTTTTTAATCACAGATAAAGTGACCTGAAAACAGTGCAAAATTTTCTCTAATTAATAGATTCTAAAGAGTAATAACAAAATAAAATATCACTTTTATTGACATCAGAATCACTAGCCGGTTATTTATTAGATAAATGCAGTTATTTATCAAGTTAACTCAATTTTTTAATTATTTGTTTGCACGCCTATGGTTTATCGCTTCATAAATGTTTCACCATAATCTCCCGTTAGCGAACAGACTATAAATTATTAAACGAATCGAATACGTAGGAGAGCTCGTCGAATTCGGATTTGCAATCGATCAGTTTCCGTTCGTTCGAAGGGAAATCGTACGGCGCCCGGACGAATTTCCCCGCTAAACTCGTTCAACCCGAGGACAGGATAACCTACACGTGGAACAGCATCAATGTATCCACCGCCCGCCGAGAAACGACCACTTGTTTCGGAAAACGCACGAAAATCATCGCCGATCACCGGCACATCTTGAAAAACGGTATTTACTCTCTACTCCCGTTGAACTTTTCCCTATAGAACCCCTACAAAAGAAGCTAGCGAGTTAATTTACTGTTCTAGTAAATGGGGAGGCTTGTTCGGGCGAGTTACTGGCAATATTGGGATCGAGCGGTTGCGGCAAAACGACCTTATTAAACGCCCTGACGTATCGAACACAAAGCGATCTATCGGTAACGGGCTTGAGATGCATCAATGGCGTGGCCGTCGATCGCAGAAAATTGACCGGCCTGTCCGCTTACGTGCAACAGGAAGATCTATTCATACCCACGTTGACGGTGAAAGAACATCTGATATTTCAAGTACAATAGGCGTCGCTGTGCTCCTGATAAGGATGAAACGAGGATCAGGAGAAATGGTTTCCAGTTTCCACGATCCTCGTACTGTTCATCCTTATCCAGGACGAGTTACAGGATTTTAACGTACGCTATTTCAGGCTTTAGTTCGCATGGACAGTAACCTATCGTTCGAACACCGAATGATTCGAGTAGACGAAGTTATATCGGACGTAAGTTATACTCCGTTCGTCAGCGGGAAGTTCATAGTCAACGAAAAAGTTGAAGGCTTCTAGCCTGATGACGAACGGAGTATTAACATAATCTCCTTTATGATTGCTGCTTAGTTTTGAGATGTTTTAGCTGATAAATCTATTTTAGTTCGTATTGAGAAAGTGCGAAAACACCCGCATAGGCTCGACGGGCAACGGGGGACTCTCCGGGGGCGAGAAGAAACGCCTGTCTTTTGCTGCCGAGGTGCTCACCAATCCGGTGTTGATGTTCTGCGACGAGCCCACCTCAGGTTCGTGGCGAATTTTATATTTCATTTACTCGTTTGCGATTGTCGTTTTGCGAAGGTTTGGACTCCTTCATGGCGCTGAACGTGCTGCAGGCGTTGAAGAACATGGCCCAAACGGGGAAGACGGTCGTCTGCACGATCCACCAGCCCGGCTCCGAGCTGTACGCGCTCTTCGACAAGTTGCTGCTGATGTACGACGGTAGAGTCGCCTTTCTGGGGGCTCCCGAAGAAGCCGACGTGTTCTTCAGAAAGTGAATTTTACCATATCGTAATCGACTAGATGAATAAAATTGTTCGTTTGTAGTTTGCAAGCTCCTTGTCCGAGGAACTACAATCCGGCCGATTATTATATTCAGTTGTTGGCTGTGGTGCCGGGTCGGGAAGAGTCCTGCAGGCAAGCCGCTGCGTTTATATGCGAGAATTTCGAAAATTCACCGGCTGGATTGCGATTAGCCCAACCGGATATTAATGTAAGCTATGCACTTTTTAATACCAACGCTTTTTTATAGTGGTGTTAACAGGAAAACTCTGATTTGGAATCATCCACCAACGGCAGATCCTCCTCTCCTTACAAAGCCTCCTGTTGGGCGCAATTCAAAGCCTTGCTCTGGAGGTCCTGGATGAGCCTGATGAAGGATTCGTTGATCATCAAAGTTAGGACGCTCCAAACGATGGTACACATTCGCAAAATTCGTAAATTAGTGTTACAAAATTTTACTTTCAGATGACTTCTTTGTTGATAGGATTGATTTACTATGGACAGGAATTGAACCAGAACGGTGTAATGAACATCAACGGTGTGTTGTTCATTTTTCTGACCAATATGACGTTCCAGAACGTTTTCGCCGTTATTCATGTAATTATATTCCAGCTTTTTTCCTTTCTCTCCAGCTGCTAGTCAATTGGACTAGCTTCTTCTGGTCTCTGCATTTGCCAGTTAAAATTGATTTGCAGGTTTTCACATCGGAAACGCTGGTTTTCCTGAGAGAACACAGAAACGGAATGTACCGAACGGACGTCTATTTTCTGAGCAAGACCTTGGCGGAGCTTCCGTTCTTCATTCTTCTACCCGTTCTGTTCACGTCCGTTTGTTACTACATCATCGGCTTAAACGGGGACTTGTACAGATTTCTAACCGCCTGCGGAATCGTCACATTGGTCGCCAACGCTTCGTTAAGTTACGGTAAACGAGTGCAATCGTCCACGCCCGCTACTTACAATTTTCCCCTCGTTGATTTTAAAGGGCGCGGATCGATTGCACCGAACATTCAAATTTTAATCTTCCAGGTTACTTGGTATCGTGCGTATCCAGCAGCACCTCGATGGCCCTGGCGATCGGCGCGCCGATGATCATACCGTTCCTCCTCTTCGGCGGGTTCTTCATGAATTTGAAGTAAGTTACAGACGATAAATCGGCGTAAAAATTCGCGACGTTCGATCGTCCGCAGCTCCATTCCGGCGTACTTCGTGTGGCTGTCTTATTTGTCGTGGTTCAAATACGGCAACGAGGCTTTGATGGTCAATCAATGGAGCGGAGTCGTCGAGATTGATTGCGGAGGGAGCGCCGCTTGCCAGAGAACCGGTCGCATTGTACTCGAATCGTACAGCTTCGACGAGGTAATTCGATTTATAAAAGAAGGAATGGGGATTTAATATTATGCTCCGTTCATCATCAGGTAGCAACGAAGCTATGATAAAGTAGTAGACTCTGTATACAGAGGATTTAACTATTGGTGATCCTTTAATATAGGATATTAAATAGGTACTTAAAAGGATGTAATAAAATTCAATATCGCTTTCATTGACAACCTACCGGTAATTATTAGGAGTAGTTGTTAGTTATTTATTAAATTATTAATTTAATAGTGCTTACTTTGTGTATTTTACTGCTTCAGGAAGGTTTTATTACTGTTTTCTGATGGCGAATAGAGTATAAGGAGCTTTAAAAAGGGATATTTAAAGATCGTATATAAAGTTGATGGTAGTGAGTAATAGGTGATAATTGGTTTCTTTTAGGACAATTTCCTTGTGGATGTTATTTCGCTGTTTGGACTGATCATTTTTTTCAGATTATTAGCGTTTTTTGCTTTGTTAAAAAAGACTGTTAGAAAATAAAGAGCATTTTTATCAAGTTTTTTGGCGATTCTTTTCAAAATGACCAACCGTAAAAAATCTCCAATCAGAATCAATCACATCTTTATAAATTTCCACAGTATTCCAATTTAAAAAGAAAATTCTAATTTTAACCGCGACAATTACAAACCATCCACCCAATCAAAATCGACGCGAGCTTTCGAAATTTTTATTTTAAGCACATCCGTACGGACAAGCAAAGCGAAGAAAACACCCGAGATAGAAAAAAAAAAGCCAGAACCTTTAGGATCGTCGAATGGCAATTTCGAGCTGGAAATTCGACGGGTCGACCTTATTGCAATTTTAACGTCGCGTTTACCCGGCCCGATCGACCGCCCGCGCGCCCTCCGCGGGCCGTGGAAGGGCGCGAAGGGCCTCGCCGGTTTTCGGATCGAGACCAGCCCTGACCTCGACCCACTATCAGCCGGCGGCGGGTCAAAACTTCGGGCCCGAAATCGCTCCACATTTCGCCGAGCTCCGCTCAGAGCGCGCCTCTTACGTCACCCGATAACACCCCTACACCACAAAAAATTCAAATCTCCACCGCCATACGAGATATTAAATATAATGGTGGTAGATTCAGGAAATCCCACTTCTGATATCGACAAATCACCACAAGAATACAACTAAAAATAATCAAATCTCTAGGTACTACTTTATAAGTTAAATATAACGGTAAATAGTAATTACAAGAAGTCGTCCCACTTCTGATATCGAAAAATCCCACTTCTGAATTAGCAGGAATCCCACTTCTGAGACGTTCGTTTGGGAGTTATTAGGGAGAGGGGGTTTTTGCTCGGCGTGGTAATCGCCCACGCGGTTTTGTGGGCAGGAAGTCGGGCGTCGCGATGGAGGAAAGATGGGAAGAGGATGTATGAGGCCCAGGCCGCGTGGATGTTCCGGGGGCCCGCTTTATCGATTCGCCGCGGCCCCGAACTTTGACATTTCGCCCGAAACGGGGACGTCAACGCGGGGGAAATTTCAGCGAGTCCGGGCTGGGTGCGAATTCGAAAAGTCCGGAAAAAAATCGTAGAATTGTTAATTGGGAGGATATGAAGCTGGTTTGAAATGAGCTAGAATCTTACTAGAGTAAACGGGGAATTTAGATAAAATATTATTAGATATTAAAGCTAAAGAACTTGCTAAATTTCCTGTTTTTTTATTCCTGCAATTTAAGGTTTTACAAGTCGAACAAATCATCGTGTGTGCGAGTGTGAGAAATTTAAATAGAAAATTCGGAAAAGTTTGTGTACAATTCTATTTCCGGGCGGTTTCGTAGACACGCCGCTCGATAATAGCACTTTTGCTAGAGCGAATTCAGTAGAGGAGAAAATTCGGGCACGTGCCTGACCCGGCCCAATTTCAGACTTACCCAAACGAAAACTTGTTAAAAAATCAGCGACTTTAATATTTTTTTCTTGTGATATTTATCCCCAAGAAATTAAGTCACAAATGTTTCTCTGTAACTCATAAAATGCTTATCTTAGAATCATCAAGTTTGCACTAATTGATAGAGAAAATTTCACTCTATAACTTTCTCAATTAGGTTATTTTAGTAACTCTTGTATTTCCAGAGATACTTTAATTTTTTTCCCTACTACATTTTTCTTTTACCTAGTGTTAAATAAACTAACTTCATATTTTTCACTATAACTTCTAAGCTTCTGGTGCCTCAAACTTCAAGTTTGTACTAATTTATAAAGAAAACTGCTGTCTACAATACAACTTTACCATTTATAGATTATTTCCCTGTTAACTTTTGTACTTCTAGAGTTATTTGGAAATTTCACTACATTTTCTATTCCTCTATAACTCGGGACACCTTTTAAAGCATCATATTATAATGATAAAATAACTTTGAAAATTAAGCCCTACTTTGACTTTGATTTCAAGCATTCCTCATATCGAATTTCGACATTCCTTGCCATTCACACGATATAAAGGTCGAAGAAAATAAGAAAATCTGACCCGTCTGAATGTCCCATTGTTGTCTGCGGACGGTCGCTTTAGTTTCAACGAGAAAATTGCATCGAGGAAAACGAGAAAAAACGGTCTATTAGTTTTCAAAATAGACAGCACTCTTGCCGCTCGCCTTTCTAAGAAACAACACTTTTTACGATCCTCTGACCGTAAAAGATTCCACCCCGATGGGGAGCATCGACTCATCTACAACCCCGTATTTTTTCCATTTTAACAAATATGATACTCGAGCGATTTATTTTTGTACTATAAAAAATACAACGCTTTTGTGAAACTACATAAGTTGTAGAGATGAGTTTTCTCTATAAATTAGTGCAGGCTAAAAGATTCTAGGATGAGTTGGTTTGGAAATATGGAGGAAAATGTATAGTAGGTACATGCTTTTTTGGTACTAGATAGGTAGAGAGAAAAATTAAAATATCTCTGGAAGTACAAGAGTTAATGAAATAACCTAAATGGTAAAGTTATATAGTGAAGTTTTCTCTATAAATAACAGTAAACTTGGAGATGTAGGGTTAACAGTTTGGAAGTTATAGTGAAAAATATAAAGTTAGTGATAATTATATTGAACGCTAGGTAAGCATAGAGAAAACTTGAAATATCTCTGTATAAGTACAGGAGTTATTAATACCTAAATAGAAAAGTTATTTAGCGAAGTTTTCTCTATAAATTAAAGTAAACTTGAAGTTTCTAGGGTAAACAATTTAGAAGTTATAGTAAAAATATATGAAGTAAGTGTATATTTTGATGAATGCTAGGTAAGCATAGAACAGAATCGAAATATCTCTGTAAATACAACAATTACTAAGATAACTGAGAAAGTTATAAAGCGAAGTTTTCTCTATAAATTAGAGCAAACTTGAAGTTTCTAAGTTCAACAGTTTAGAAGTTATAGTGAGAAATATGAAGTTAGTGCATATTTTTGTTGAATGCTAGGTAAGCATAGAGCTAAATCGAAATATCTCTGGAAATACAAGAATTACTAAGATAACCAAAATGAGAAAGTTACATAGCAAAGTTTTCTCTATAAATTTGAGCAAACTTAAGTTTCTAAGTTCAGCAGTTTAGAAGTTATAGTGAAATAAATGAAGTTAGTGCATATGTTGTTGAATGCTAGATAAGCATAGAGTAAAATCGAAATATCTCTGGAAGTACAACAGTTAAGTCAATTGACCGAAATAGAAAAGTTATATAGCGAAGTTTTCTCTACAAATTAGAACAAACTTGAAGTTTCAAAGTTCAACAGTTCAGAAGTTACAGCGAAAAATATGAACCGCTCCTCGAAATCGCCACATTTACAATTCCACCCCATATACAATCACTAACCCATAGAAACGACGCAACCAGCCGCCCCCGATCTAAAAACAACCCGGAACCGAAATTCGGTCGGGTAGGTCCGGAGCGCCGCCGTCGATCCGCATGCACGTCCATCCCCCGGGCTCCCGGGGGCCGGATGCACCCGCGATAGAACATCCACCATCCACATCTCCGCCCGAGAATCCGTGACGCAAACCGCCCCCCCCGCGCCCGCCGTTGCCCCGGCAACCGCTCGCCGTGACGTCACCGCGTTGACGTCAAAAAAGCGGCGTTGCCGGCCGCTCTAATTAGTATCTATACGTAGGATTTCGTCGGAGCGAAAGCGAACCGGCAACGGGGCGAGTTTATATATCGACGAGCGGAGACCCCGTTCGGTTATTGTATGCGCAGAGCGCGGTCCGCGAGTGCTACACATCAAAAATAAAAATAATAAAAAAATAAACAATACCGTGATCGTACTAGTCCAACATCTTTTATATTTTTCTACTTTTATAATATGTGTGTAAGGAAGAATCTATAACGAGAAGATAATACAATCGTATAAATAGTTTGGTTTATTTTTTTAATCGCTTAGGAATTTACATCTATATTTTCTCATCGTTTTTATACGCTTCTGGTGAGTATTGTAGGCATATAATGCGCATTGCAGCGATCTATCGCATATTATTTTTAATCCGTAAATGTGTCACATAATAGCTGGAGTTTCGCGTGCGTGCGACAGAGCATAGCGTATCACATGCTGCTCAGCTGATTTCGGGTTGCACGTTTTGAATTAGCGTTAGCGCCGTCCCGGTTATACCCGGTTATACGAATCCGTTCGGTACGTTTTCCGGGTAAATCCGGAGCGATTTTTTCCGCCCGCGAATCGATCGGGATCGGGTGATTTTTGCAATCGATTTAAGGATCGATCGCAAGATCACAAGTTCTCTCTCTATCGCAAACGCGAACGCATGATCTAATCGTGAAACGTAATTAATTTTTCGACAAACAGATTCGAACTCGCTCGTAAACGGCTCGATAATAATGTATTTTATTCGTACAGGGTGTTCGGAAAATACTGTCCAATTTTTTTTTAATTGTGATAAACTTTTACAGTGCTGCAAGATTTAGTAGTAGTAATAATAATAATGATAAAATAAAGACCCTATGATTATAGCATTGGTGAAGTAAGGTCAAAGTGTATAAGGGGAACAAGGCTGTGAATGGAATTACTGACCAAAATAACCATTGAAATGGCCAAAGTGTTAACTGAATTACTCATTAAATTGGCACGTAACGATCGAGTTATATTTACAGAACTGTCCGAATTTTAAATGCAATTTTGAATGCGCGCTAACGAGATCAAATGGGAGGCTAGCTAAAATTGCCATATTCGTTAAAATGGACAAAATTTAGTGAGAATTATTCAATAAAATTTTATAATACAATTGCGAACAAAATATTGAGTGAAATGGTTAAACCAAAAATTGTATCTTATTATTTAAAATATCCAAAATATTGGCTAAATAAATTGTCTCACAATAAACAAATTATTTACAAAACGATCTTAATAGCAAACAAGACCAAAATACACGGTTAAATTTCCTGTCCAAAAATTGCCATAATATTTACATAAACGACAAAAAAAAGATCAGAATAACACTCATCGAAATATCCAAAATTCTTCACAAAACAACCAAAATACTCTACTTTTCCTCTAGTAACAACTCTAACAACGAACATTTCGGATGCAGGAAATTTTTTTAAACATTTTTTACTTGCACTCTCCAAGCCATATTATAATCTCTATCGCGATGTCATATGTTTTCGGAGACAACGTAAATAAAAAAATCACAAACAGCACGAGTGAGGATCGTATATCAGAAACGCCCTCGACATGGGAACTTTATTGCAGGTGTAGATCAACAAACAGGCTCATTTACGGATTTTTTTTGATTTTAATGTAGCATCTAATATGTAAAATTCCGTTAATTAACGATCCATTCGACATCTAGCGTGTTAAATTTTGTTATTTAACAATTGATGGAGTATCTAATTCGTTAAGTTTAGGGATAATTTCGTTATTCAACATTCAACGGGGCCTCTAACGTGTTATGTTTACGGAAAATTTCGTTATTTAACAATTTATGGGACCTCTAATGTATTAAATTCAATCCAGTTAGCGCGGTGTTGATTCGAACGAATCGTTAAACTAATTCCAAACGGCTTACAAATGGATAAATTTCAAAAATTGGAAAAATTCTTGCGATGCTCGATTTCCTTTGTAACCGGCTTATCTGCTTATCGCGGAGATGGTGTAAAAATCGCGAAGATCGCATCGAATGTAACGACGCAAAATAAATAGATATCCAGTAATATCGAATTAGAATAAGACAACAAAAATGGATCAGTTTATTCGATTCGATTCGAATACGTTCATTCCATTCGGTTAATGAATTATTGCAGATAACGAAAAATAAAAAATCAATACACAATACCCTCCTACTTGCTCGTTACGCAGATAGTACGAACGAAATTAAACTAGATTTCGACAATCCAATTAATTGCGATTTTCAATCGATTCCAACGGACGACCGAAATCGATTGCAAACAATCGAACGAAAAAGGTCAATAGAGTGCAAATTGCAAAGCGCAATAAGTCACGTACCGGGGCGTTTGAACGGCCGCAATTCCGCGTTTTGTTTTGGAAATTACTCGTCATCCGATCGAAAACAAACCCTTCGGGTAAACAGACGGCGGGCACGCCGCTGGGGTGTCCCACAAGTGGTCTCGTATTTAAAATAAATTGGGTCAATTGCGATGTTCCGGTCAAAACCTTGTGTCGCATTTTATTATCTACTCTAACTCGGCGTTGTGCGTTTTGTTTTTTTTTTCGTATATATTTTTTTTTCGAATGGGTTTTACCTTGTTCGGTTGCGCAAAATTCGCAGCGAAACGCCCGCATCTCGCATTGTTTCTTCGCGAAACTTTAATTTAATCGCGGCAAACGAGCGATTTTAATATGCGCGTTTCGAATTTATCTGGGCGCAACATCAGCCGTAGGAAAAGGAGTGAATAAAATAAAATTAGGAAAAAAAATACAACGGTTGCGATTGTTGTTGGGTTTTGCGTAATTTCCCGCATTTACGTTATTATTTTTTTTATTAAATTGTTGCAATTAGATCCAATTAGTAAGATTTTAGTGTAAGGTTCTCTTTAAATTTAAGAGGTGAAGTAATTGCACTAGTTATATTTAATCCCTTAGAGCTATTTATTTGACATTTTTTATCAAACTATTGCGTTAAATTCTCTATTCAAAAATTCATTAAAAATTTAGTGCATGGTCTACTTTAAATCTAAATAGTCAATTGATTGCACCAGCTACACCAAGCTACTTTAATCCTGTAAAGTAATTCATAAATTTGATATTTTTTTATAAATTATATCATTACATTCTCTATACCAGTATTCATTAAAAATTAGTGTTGAACTATTAAGTCCAAGTATTATTTAAACTTGTATACCTATTTGAAACTTTTTTATTAAATTATTGCATTATGTCGAATGTTCATTAGAATTTTTGTGTGTGGTCTACTTTAAATCCTAGTAATTAATTAACTGCACCAGCTAGTCCAATTTTATTTCATCCTGTAAAATTACTTATTTACCAAAATTCACATTGTCTATAAATTATATCCTAATATTCCTTATACCATCAACATTCATTAGTGTATTGTCCCCCTAAAAAAACTAGGTAACTGCATAATTGCACCCCCTAGTATTTTTATTCAATTTTATACGCCGATATTCGTTAATAAATTTTATATACATACAATCAGGGAACGAAATAATTGCACCAACTACTCCAGAATTATTTTAATCCCGCAAACTTGATTTTTTTCCGGCATTCAGAGCCTCCCGTTCGAGCCCGGCCTTTTACAAAAGACCAAAGGGCAACCGTTCGAAAACGAGGTCGCCCGCGTGATCGATATTTATACGGTCGGCAACGCCCCGTTTATACACTAAAACGCCACTTTCGGCGCGGATTAATCGCCTTTTTATTTCCCTTTTTTTTAATTTTTCACCCCACCCAAAGCATGGGAAACTGGACATCTAAGCGCACTTGAACTAAATTTTACGGGTATAGCATGTTCGATGTAAGCCGGTCGTGACGTCGCTGTTTACGCGAATTTATTACAGGGATCAGAAGTGGGATCGAACGGACCGTGCATCAGCTTTTCCGAACGAAAATAACAATCGGCGTATGATATTTTTTTCGCGATTTTTATACGACGAACGCGATCGTTTTTAGTCAGGAATTTTGGCGAACGGCCATTATTCGTTTCGCAAGATTCGCTATAACCGCCTTGTGTTGTTGGCACGATCGACAGAAGATCGACCCAAGATCTCTATACTCTTATTATTTAATTTCGACGTTATACAACGAATCGGGGAGTTTATTTTAAACGCCCCGTATAAAGGTTTTTCACCGGTCTCCGAATTCATGCATCACGAAAATTATTAACTGATCCTCGTAGATGCGGGTTATTTGTCAATTGCGCTTGATACAAATCCATCAAGGCGAATTGTGTACGATATAAGGCATTCTTATTGGTCTCAAATTTAATTAAAAAAATATATCGACTGGTCCTCGTAGATTAGGGGTAACAGTAAATTGGACTAGACACAATCCAACGAGCTTTATTGTATACGTTATAAGTTATAAGATATTCTTATTGGTCTCAAATTGTTAAAAAAATATTGACTGCTCCTCGTATTTTCGGGATAACTGCAAATTGCGCCAAACACATACTTATTATCTGATTGAAATGTAACAGAAATGAGGGATTCGCATTGGTAGATTAAGCGGGTCGCGACGGGGGCGAATTGCACTCGATCCGTGAACGATTTAATCTCGGAATAATTTCGGCCTGGGTAAACTGACGCTGAAAAGTAAAAATTAAATTTCCCGTCTATTTTAAAACGGCCAAGGACGCGCGTAATTTTCCCGTCTCTCGAATTTGTTTGTTTTCACCGACGACGTAGGTATTTTTATTATTGCGCGAAAACGAGATGACGCCGCCAGTAAAAATGCGGACTAAAAACTAAATATAAAATCGACGGAGGCGAGAAAATATCGAACACCCCTCGTATGTACCATTAATTTTGCCTTTAAGCGACATTTAAGCGACAATGTGATGGCTTGTTTAGTGTTTGTTTTGGTTTTGGATGAAATTGATTATGTAGTTTTATTAAAAAAGTGTCTTGGAAACTCGGGTTATTCAGCCAAAAATATTACACGACAAGTGATATACATTTGATTTTTTGTCCCAAAACAACAAAAACATTTTATTTTAATCGATTTTATCGGCAATTTTATCTTCCCGTACAGGAACTGATAATAAATTTTATCGAATAAAATAAACTTATTGACGTAGTTTAACCAGAAAAAAAAAACCATCGTTTCATTACGGGTCGTTTCTACACGTTGCCTTCGAATTCGATTACAATACTTAATACAAATGTGCATATTGTGCTATTTAAAAATACAGTCAATTTATCGACAATTAAAGCTGACCCGATAACTTCGCTCGTCTGATAAAATTCATGCAAATTCTGGTCGGTTTATTTTTCTCCAAAATAAAATTTTAAAATAGACCAGTAACTGATGCAATTGATCCGTTCCCCGGCCATTAAGGTGACCATACACTATTCTCGTTTTATTGAAAACCAACGAACGAATCCCACAATAAGAGAACCGTAAAATCCCGAAAGGTTCTGTAACCAAGTAAAGCGCGAAATCGTCGAATTAACACATACATTTTACATAATACGCTTTTATCGGAATTGGTAAATAATCGATCGAAAAACGAATTAATGCATATTTAAAAACCTCGTAAAACTCACAATTCCACACGAGTTCGATTTTTTCACAGTTCGACACGTGCGGACCTTTTTTTAGACTGTACATGTCTCATTAAAACGAAAAATAACTTAATTAAATTCACGCACGATCGTAATATTTAGATTTTTATCGAGCGAACCTTTCTCTCACCCCTCGTATAAGTTTTTATCGATTTTTCCCCAACTCTCTTCTACGAGAATAAGCAACGAATGCTCACATTGTTCTTACCCCTCGTACATAAACAAACTTGTAGTAAATAAACTATTTTGTGCTCCCTCGTAGGCGAATAGGCAATGAATATAAAATTTAAACTTGCCCCTTATTCATGAATAAACTTCTAAAACTTTTCTGAGCTCACTCGTATGCGAGAAAAAGCAATGAATGAGTATATTTAACTTACCCCTCGTACATAAATAATCTTGTAACAATTTTCTAAACTCTAAGTAGGAGAATAAACATAATTGGCTAAATTTGTAGTACTTTTCTGTGCTCCCTCGTACGAGAACGTGCGACGAATGCATACATTGATCTTACCCCTCGTATAAGAATAAACTTGCAGTAATTCTCTGTGCTCCCTCGTACGAAAATAGGCGATGAATGCGTCTATTCCCTCGCGTAAGAGTAAACTTCTGGTACTTTTGGGTGCCCCCTCGTAGGAGAATAAACAATGAGTGCAAAAGTTGCAGCATTTTATTTTCACATAAATCGGACGGGTCGTCCTACAAAATAATTCCGTACAATCAACAAGGTCGCGTTTATGTGTTGAGTCACGCGAAACACGTGATAACGTGCTTGATACGTATTATCGTAGACGTAACGAAAGATCCCGTGAATGGTTTTACGAGCGGCAGCCAACGTGTTTAAACATTTTTTTTTTTTATTCGAGGGTGGGGAACGGGTCGATTGCACTGGATTTATTGGTCGAATTTAATCCGTCGTTTTTTTTTCTGTTTCAGATTTGTATATCGACTACATAAGTAACACAAGAACTGAACAAATTGTAAGTATCCGATGGCATTGCGAAAATTTAATTACAAAATGATCTGCGCGCCTAATTAGACGATCCGCAACGCTTTTTGCGCTTACGTAAATGAAATTGCGATTTTTTTTTGTATTTTCGCGTATATTGTTATAGAAAGCAAATTTCCCATCTGCCTCCGCGCTCGCGTTTTAAAAATAGTCGGGAATATTTCGCGAAATTGGGGAATTGCGGAGGAGAAAAATCACGCGAAATTTTTATCGAATCGCTAACAAACCGAGCGCTAACCAGCTTTAATTAATAGAGCAAATATTTTGTTTACTGTTTATACCTTGACTCTATTAATTAGACCTTCGGGAGCGACGAAAAAGACAACAAATTGGCAGCGTGTGATGTTGTTTTTTCGCGTTATCTGTTCGTCGCTGATGGAAAAAAATTCACCTCGAGAAAATAATAATGCTGCATGGTTACCTAAATTAAATGTTAAATTAAAAAAAATATTTTTTTAGTTCGATTAAATAATAGTCGAAAATGGAGAACATTTGAAATTTTTAATGCTTTATTAGTGTATTTTTTTTGGATATTATGTAATTTTTCTAATGAAAAAATTATCCATTTTTTTGAAATACCTAAAGCTGATAGAGACTTGATTCATTGTGATTCGAGTTGAGGAAATTTTAAACTTTCAACGTTTACTGTTATTTTTTTAATTTCTTATGCAAAAATCATCAAATAATTTTCAAAATAAAGCTGCATCAGGAGGCATTGATTGATTCATTGTGATGCAAATCGAGAAAATTTTAAATTTTTAATACTTTACTGTCGTTTTTTCCAAAATTGTCTAATGCAAAAATCTTCAAATTTATACTGTATACAAAGCTGGAAGAGACATTGATTGAGTGGTTCAGGTAGAGAGAATATTTAATTTTTAATGCTTTACTGTTGTTTTTTTCAAATTTTTCTCATGTACAAATCATCAAATTTCCGTAAAAATAAAGCAAGAAGAGACAATTTATTATGATTAAGGTGGAGAGGATTAATTTTTATTGCCTTACTGTTATTTTTTTTCAAATTTTTCTGATGCAAAAATCAAATTAACTGTAAAAATAAAGCTGAAAGAGACGTTGATTGATTCATCGATTGGAGAATTGTTTATTATACGACTCTTCTTGAATAGAAATAGCGAGTAAATCACCGATCTGTATAGAAAAATCGACGTTTCGATTCGCAGAAATTTCCATCTTCAAGCACAATATCTCAAACAGCTTAACCAAGTATACGACATAAAACTACAACAATCGCCCCTTTATCGACTCACTGCATTATTTATTAAAGGAAAAAAAAATAACAAGTTTGTTTTTCATCCGGGCCAGTATTTTCTCATCGCTATAGAGCTCGATTTAATTCCAGGAGAAAAAAAAATCCTCCGGTTTGATTACTTCTTGTTTACCCACCCGCGCGCTTCAGCCCCCACGAAATCCGAAATCGATTCTGCGGAGGGTCTCGTCTCGGGAAATCCTTCCTTCCCGTTTTCCTTTCGCCCGTAAAACATCCTCTCTCGTTTATACGAAATTTCGATAAACCGCATTTAAAAATCGCGTTTCGATGTGGAAAATCGTTACAGCTACGTATCGTGACCTCTAATTTCAATTTTATCATTTCGTTCGCGTCGCCCGTCGATAATAATTTTCGAAACGGGCTAATTGGCCAACAATTTACATAGATAAATATGCGTTTAATAAATGCAAACATTCTGTTTACCCGAAAATTAATTGAAGTCCATTAGGGTTTTATATTGTTTGTGTGGTATAAGAGAAAGGTGGTTGAAAATTTGAGGTGTTTACGGAAAAATTAGCCGCATTTTCCTGTTTGTTTCTCATCGACGGAACAATGTTTTTTTTTTCATTTCGATTATCAAGGTCCCATTTTCTATTTATACGTTTCCATCGATCGGGATGTTTTACTCGACCTTGCACGTGATCCATCGACTAAAAGTCCACCTTTTGAGGGTTTCCACCCTTTATTATCGCTTTATTTCCACTTACTATTTTCGTACAAATTTATTCTGCATGTTGTCAAGTCAAAAGAAGTGTTTTCGGGTAGAAAAAATAAATTATTCTATAGGTAATAACGTTGATTATAATATTTTTTTGTTTCATTCATAAAAAGAAAACCTTTCTAATGATGTATTACACGACCCTTACTGCCTATTCAATGTGACACCCTGTATAACAGCGCCCTTTTACATTTGGAAATGGGAAAAGCGTTTGTTTTCGTAGGAAAAAAAAATGCAAATCTTTTTCGGTAAATGGGAGCTTTTATCGTCGTTTCCACCGCTTATCTATACCGAAAATAAATAATAATGCGTAAAAAAGATATGGAATATTTCATAACAATCGCCGACAAACAATAACTCGTGACGTGCGAGCTCGACAATACGTCGACTCATTTTCGATTTTATTAAAAAATTAAAAATAAAACGAGGGAATTTGGATTTTTTTTTCTTCTATGTTATTCGACGGATAAATGGATTAAATGATCGTTACGCGGAATTTACGTAATTCGTAGTACACGAGAATCTAAAGGAGAATCCTTGGTTGAAATTCCTCGCGAGACGAGCAAATAAATACCTACGCGCGAAAATAATTATTTACTTAACGCGCAGCGGGAAAAACGCTATTTCGGGATTTAATTTATATTTAGCGAATTTACTAAATCGATTACTTAACCCGGCGAATTGTCCGCGCTAGGTGGAAAAATCGCCGGCGCTAAATCCGTCCTCGTGAATCATTTTTTGTTTACCGAATTTTCACCGTTTTCCAAATCGCATTGTACGCCTAAAAATAATCGGAAAATCACCTACTCGCAAATTAAAATAGATCACGGCATTTATCTACCAACCCTCGTACACACGCGAACTTGAAATTATCCGAAAAATCCATCTCAACTACGCCTTTGGGCTGATGTAATGCAATGTAAAGTACACGCAATAAAAGTCCATCTAATATTTAGATAATTGAAGGAAGTGAGGAGCAACTATAATTGACGTATAAATTGTACCAGGTGTCCCAAAGAAAATTCCTAATGCGTGTTAGTGATTGAAATAATAACACTCTGTATACATATAATTGTTTGTACAAATAAGTGTAAATTCTGTTTGTATAAAGTTATGTGTGGGTACTTAAAATGAATGTAAATTCACATAAATAACCTATATTACTTTGAACAACAGGATGTTTTTCTGGACGCCCTGTATACGAAGTGTTTTTTTTTGCATCTACAAGTAGGTACAATAAAATTTATCTTATAACCCAAAACCGAATCAAATAATCTACTATATAAATCGTCCTTTTTAGGCATTAATTTCGATCCTATAATAAGGGCCCCGAGTTTGGGGCATCCCCGGCTCGAAGGGCCAACAGATACCCGGCAAAAACGGTCCCCATTCGCGCGTCGACGACGTCGTGGCCTAATTTCGCGTTTTCGCAGCGCCCGCGTGGCGTGGGCGGGTGGAAAACGGGCGAACGGCGGCGGCGGCGGCGGCGGCGGCGGCGGCGTTGGCGGGGCGTTCGACCCAGTTTTCGAATTTGTCACAAATCCGGCGCTGCGTGTTATTGATCGTCCCGGAGTACGCAAGCCTTTACAGTTCCGCAAGACGGACGGTCGGGCGAAAAGTGGAACGAATAATACGTCGAAAAAAAAATATATAGAAATAATAAAATAAATCGAGAACCTACCTATACAGTTAGATATCAAATGGAAACAATATAAAATAAAATATATTTAGATACAACTCTTTGACACGACCTTTTAAAACTGTTAATATATTCATAACGAAACGTTTGTAATTAGTACAAAACTCACGTTTGTAAAATGTAGCATTTTACATATTAAAGAAACTAATGAGGTTAGAGTAACAATGCCATTAGTTTACGTGATGCAGGGCCGATTTCGTAATATAATCAAGTGTCCTTTTTGATAAAAGGAAGTTTTAAGATAAGTGTCCTTTAAATCAAACGGTATCAAACGGTTTCATAATAGATGTAAAAGGTTAGGATTGAGGAAAAGGTTGAATAATTGAACTAATTCGGTACAAATATTTATACGGCGTTTGATTATGTCTGAGATTGTTTTTGATTATAAAATTTGTTAGAGAAATATGGATATTTCGAAGAATAAAAAGGTTCGCTCTTCAAATTTCAATACAAGAGGATTTTGTTTGATTTATCAAACGAGCAACAGTCCCTCTTCTCCTATAGACTTTTGGTCTAATATAAATAAATTCTTTATCATCAGATGAGCTTCAACTCAAACTTTCGAAATTATTCATCCCGCAAACCTATAGCAGAAAGTGTAACTTGGCAGTACAAACATTGATTCACATCTATATAAAAATAGATTAATCAATTGTAATTAAAGGTTAGCGAGTTAATATCTAAAAATCGACACTTTAACTTTAAATGCCACTTTAAAAGGATCCTAAATCTGAAATATCCTTTATATCTCTTTATAAAATCGATCGTTAGAATATGATATATTAAAATTCAAAATAATACTGATAAATCATTTCGTATTGTTACAGACACGTACCTTAATTTTCACAAAGAAACGGAAGAAGAAGCTACAGTAACTAAAAGCTAAAACCATCAACCAACCAATGTGTTTATGAAATTTGGAGAAAACAAACGAAACTGCACTACAAAAGGTATGTAAATAATACACAATTAAAAAGAAATATTCTCAACGAGACAAACTATTATTCCAGTAACATCATCAGAATGCATCTCGAAGTCCAAGTAGCTCTGAATTTCGTGATATCGTACCTGTACAACAAACTACCTAGAAGGCGAGTGAACATATTCGGCGAGGAATTGGAGAAGGCTCTCAAGGCGAAATTCCAAGGCCACTGGTATCCGGAGAAGCCGTTCAAAGGCTCGGCGTTTAGGTGCTTGAAAACCGGCGATCCCATCGATAAGGTGCTGGAAAGGGCGGCCACCGAAAGCGGCGTACCCATACAGGATATACTCGAAAATCTGCCGCAGGAACTGGCCGTTTGGGTCGATCCCGGAGAGGTAATTAATCCACAAAGAAGAGTTTTTTAAATGCTTAGTTTATTCGTATCGATTTTTAAACGATAACACGTTGTATATAGGTGAGCTATCGCATCGGCGAAAAAGGCGCCGTGAAGATCCTCTTCAGCGACAAAAGCGATCCGCAGGACGAGCGCTCCGCCGACAGGGAGGTCACCAAAACCTTCAACCCCGAAGCCCAATGCTTCAGGCCCATCGAGTGCGTCACCACATCCATGAACAACCTCAGCCTGTCGCCCAAGAACCACCCGACGCAGCCCTTCCAGCAGCCCAACCAACAGCAAACCGCGACCGCCGCCGCCGCCGCCGCCGCCGCAGCCGCAGCCGCCGCCAAACCGCTGCCCGACATCCACCACCAACAGCTGCCGATGGCGCCCGCCCAGCAACCGCAGCCGCCCCAACAGCAGCACCAGCACCAGCACCAGCACGCCGCGCCGCCCGGCGCCATTAACCACCTGGCGTCGCCGTCGCTGGCGCCGTCGCCGACGCTCAACGCCCCGTTCAAGGGCTCCCCGTCGCCGGTGCCGGCCTTCATACCGCGCACCACCACGCCCTTGACCTTCACCACGGCCACGTTCGCTCAAACCAAATTCGGCAGCACCAAGTTGAAGACCAGCAGCAAGAGGGCCAACAGGTGAGACTTCTCTTTTAAGACTACATTTCATAATGAAGCATTAAACAATCTTACAACGAAACGAAGATTAAGGATTAAGTGTCTTTTAAGGCTCTTTAAACGATTCGATTAGTGTTAATAAGGAGCGCTGAATGCGGTGCAAAAATACCCTTTATGTCCTCTTTAATAGCCGTTTGAGTAGTATTGAATTTGGTACTTCGTTTCCAGAATGTCGCCGACGGAATTTTCCAACTACATCAAGCAGAGGGCGCTGCAACAACAGCTGCACCAACCGCCGCCGGCGGCGGGCCGGGCGCTGTCGCCGGATCCGTCGTACTACTTCCCGCACGGGCACTACCCGCCGCAGCAGTTCCCGCCGCGCTCGCTCTACGAGTCTTCCAACCAATTCCTCAATCCGGAGGCGTACGCGGCAGGCGGCGCCGGCGCCGGCAAGCCGCCGTTCGAGCACTCGACGCCGCTCGGGCCGTACTACCAGGGCGGCGGCGGCGGGGCGGGCGCCGGTGGACCGGCGTCGGCGCCGGCCACGTCGCCGGACGGCAAGCTGATGGACAGCAACTGGTCGTACCCGAGCGCCGGCCAGTACCAGCACCTGCTCGTCGCCAACTAAACTGGCCCGGTCGTCTGCTTTTTTCTGATATTTTTTTGTTTTTTTAATTATTTTTCTAGGTGTATTCTGTCGTTTGGTTTTCTTTTTGATGTGACGCGTACGCGGCGCGGAATCGTTGCTCGAATTCTCTCGCTTGAAACTTGGTTATATGACTAGTACCTTCACCGGAGCGGATGATGCAATGGCGATTTTTATTTTCGTTAAACGTACGATTTTTGTTGCTGCACTACATACCCAAAGGCCATAATTGTCGACAGTTACGTCATTAAATCTAGCCAATGGTAGCGCTCGATTTTTATTCGATTCTATCACCAGCCAATAAGAACTCTGGCCTGAGTGGTGACGTCACTGACGAGAATTACTGCGATTTGATCGAAAAAAATTGCGGATAATATTATTCAAGGCGCTTTTAAAATAAAACTTACCGGTGCTGTGGAATCTAATTTGGAGGTATCGTCTTCTCACTGGCACTAATTTCACTAATTTGTTCGTGTCAATTTTGTTTTGGTTTTAAATAACACGGTAAAACACTCGCACTGGAATAAATTTACGAAGTTTGACGTTTTAGGGCAAGAGTTGATTTGACATTTGATTGACATAAAATCCAAGACATACCAGAATTAATTCTGAAACAAGCAAGTATCGTGAATAAATGATAAGATATATCAAAATACTACGACAATTGAATAATATTTAATGTTTTATCTACCATTATTATAAAATACTCCGTTTAAGAAATTTATAATTCGTTAATTTTTGACACTACATTGACACATGTCAATGAACAGATATCTTGATGAAGATAAGTTATAACACAAACACCTTTCAATAGTAAAAATGCAACTGAGTGAATAAATTCATTTAATTTTCATACAAAAAACGCGTGGAAAATAAATCGGCAGATAAAACAAACGGGTCCGCATTTTTTTTCGTTCGAGCGATATTCCGTAGAAATATAATTTAAAGTTCCTATATGATTTTATTTTAAATCTTAAAATTTAATCGCAGCATAAAATAGGGAATGTAATAAAAAATTTTTGTATATAATAGCGTAAGGATGCCGATATTTGGATAGCTTCCATTTATTCGTGGATTAGTTAGGATCTCTCTAATGATAAAAAGAAACTAATTTGTACATATGTATAACAATATAATTTATATTTTTTGTACCGACGTCTTAACTAATAGTTAGTCACTTTTCTATTTTTGATACGTGCATAATCTTAAGTCTGTTACGTTTCGTGTCTTTGGCGAACCGGCCGAAGCCCTAGGAATTTTTACTAAAAAGAAATATGTTGCAACAAAATCGTACGAGCCTTGCATTAGTCCAGCCGAATGCATGCTAAACCACCCTACTATAAAAAGCGACTTGATGGAATGGAATGAATCGAGCAACGATTTCGGTGAAGTACCTCGGGAAAAAGTAGATCTCATCGCGAATACAGAGTATTTTACAACACATACGCAATCACAAAACAACCAGAATTCATTAAGACACTCTGTATTGCGCTTTAACGGTTTTTTAGCTTATATATTATAAGTGTTTAGGACACAGATTCCCGGTTTCGTTGATTAAAAAAAAAAAGGAATTTGAAGATTTTTGATAAATCGTAGTCGTTTAGAATATTCGTAGGTGTTTCTTACTTCGTTAAAAAAATATGGTGTTTACAGTATTCTTGTAGACTAGAGTGTTTCTTAAATTTTTTATATCGTATGTATTTTTTTATTTTTGTATGAGAAGCTCAAGCTGTCATCTAGTCCCATGAGAACACGTTATATGAAAACAGTGTTGGCATATCAACCCGGATAAAACAGAACATTTTATTAAACAGTTAAACCTACAATATTCCGTTTATATTGCGAGGTCTCGTCGACACAAAAACAAACTGCTCACGATGAAAAAACTCTTCCATAATTATATTTATACGCAATAATCTATCTATTGTAGATATACTAACTTGTGATATTTCTTGTAAACGTAGTTTATTTTGTAGATGCAGTTTATTTGTAGATTACATTACCACCGCATGCCAAAAAAAAAATAATCAGTTATGTAAATTTCCTTCACCATCTAGCTAGTATCGTTTATCCTCTCCCAGTATGTACCTGTTGTTTGCCTAGTAATTGTTGTAGATATTACAGGGTGAATAGTGCAAATAAACGGGGCGAGTCTTTTGGCATAAAGTGTAGTGGCACAAATTTGTGTGGACGTGGCTTCTTATCGATTTATTTTCAGTATTTTGCATGCTGATGCGACACCTGCTGTGGGTTCTAGATGCTTCCTTCCCTTTCTCAATTAGAGGAGATACGTGCTATTTTTTATCGCTTGATTTTTGTTACTTTTTCACTGATATGTTTATTTTTTATTTGTATAAAATTGTTGACTTAATATAATATATATTTTGTTACGAGCCGGTTGGTTTGATTCGTATATATTCGCATGTTTGTGGAGTTGTTTTTTTTTTTAATTAATTCCTTTTCGTTCACACGTTTCTTATGCGTACCTGAGATTGTTATATATCATTAGAACAAAAATCGATTTGCTGATTGTTATGTAGAAATACGCGCATTGTTTCAACGAAAAAATCAAAAAATCTACTTACAAAACGCTTAAAAATACTCGGCCTGCCGTTTGCCTTTTCGCTGTTCCGTCGGAATCGCATCAAATTAACGCTTATTATATAAAACACTACCTCTTTAATGATAATTTCCCCAGTTCGACTGGCGGAAAAGGGACAGGCAAACGCAGCCGGGCCCCGTACAAAATGAAAAAAAATTTACCAAATGTGATCGATGCTTTAGTAAAATAAATATCACTGTGAGTGATATGGAACTTCTAAATGTGGTGATATATTGGTCGATAGTGAAACTATCAGCATGAATTCGTTGTTAGATGGAATGTGATTGGGGTAGTTCGAGGAGGATTCGAAGAAATGCATGAGTAGGAAAACTAATAAATTAGGTACTCGATGAATTATTTAGCACAATTTGGTATGTATTTTTAGCGGAAATTTAAATAAGTACACTAGTTAGATATCTCCCTCCGAGTGATAAAAATTATTTTTTTAAGATTTCAAGAAAGAAACGGCGTCTAAGGGATAATTTATATATTGAATTGGTAGGATATTCGCCAATGGTGTAAGGCGTTACCTGTGAATGACGAAAAAGGATTTGTTAAGATATTATTTGTTGGTTCATTCGAACGCGATATGAAATCAAGTTTAATATCTTAATACGCCCCGATCAGTCGCAAAGCTACACAATGTACATGATTACATTACCTATTAAATAGATTATTCATTTATTTTATATACTTGCTTGTAAGTATTTGCATTTTATCGAAAATTTGTATATACCTATTAGTACCTAAAATAGATCGAAAATCGCGCAGATTAGAATAATCGCTCGAGCGATAATAATAATCTGCGCGATTGATCGTTTAAAACAATTTATTTACTACTTATAATAATCGGTCGTATATCCAAAAAATATGTAGATTTTTAGGAAACAAATTTAATATTAAAGGATCGAACCAGTAAATAAATAACCTACTCGATTTACATTGTGGTTTTTAAAGAGGCGTTTTTTCAAAAATACGTAATAAAATCATTTTGGCCTACTAGATAAAAAGCGGGTACACTGCGATACAAATAGCCGTAAACGTAACCTGCGCGATATCAGTTGCGCACCGTTACTTCCATATAGCGTACTTTAAAAATTAGAATGAAAATCGAGTATAAAAGTGAGGTTGAGAAACTCATAGGTACAGATAACAAATCGGAGCGATATCAAGGAGCTCCGATGGGAATGTGATGGATTATTTTTCGTTCGAAACGAAACGTGTTGCAGGCGAATTTTCATGTCCTCGAATTCGGAAAACCCTCGAAATATCTCGATGATAAAGCAAAAGCAATAACCCTTTTCGATTTTATTAGAAAACGGACTCGAACGAAAACCAGCCTGCCAGCACGGCTAAATCGATATACCTACCTAATAAATCTAATATACCTATATGTGAATGTCATTATCTGTGTTAGTTTGTTACGAGTACAACTCTAATTAAAATTTTTAAATTTCAAATATTAATCTATCTATTCTATTGTGAACGGTAGACATTTTCATCTACACTTACTTTTTACGCATTGAATCGATAGTGAGAAAACGGACATTTAACGTTTCCATCCCGTTACTAAAAGAAAAGTAAGTAAATACGATATGTGTATAATAGTCTATAATTTTTCATATTGTTGTACGATTTTTAAGTTTATATTAAAATGTTTGTGCATTCAGATAACCATAATTTTAATCTTTTAACCCATATGACCTCTCAACACGATAATTCAAAAATAACACTTATTTTGTAACAGTCGTTATTACACCTCTACAACAAACCATTCCCACCTCTATTAAACTTGTCATACGAAATGTCAATAATTACATTTTTTTGTTATGTACCTTCGAACCAATTATTCACGAAAAAATTAGTTATACGTACCAAGAGTACATTATAGAGTAATCAGAAGAGAATGATTTTTGAAAAATAAAGCTCATTTTGTAACAATCGTTACTGCACCTCTACACCAACAAATCGATGCCCACCTCGACTGTCATACGAAATGTCATTAGTCAATTTTCGACAGATTTTATATCATCGAACGCATCTTAAAGTCCCACACAAGTAATATTTTGGTAATTAAAATTCAGGTAAATTCTGTGCGGAGTTCCGTTGTGCCTAGTAAGCTTGTAAGGTAATAAAAATAATTTTATTAGTATTGAAATAATTCATATTTATATAATAGAAATATCGAAACAAAAAAAAAACTAATAAAGAACAAATGGAATACAAAAAAAAGGGCTAAACAAACAGTAAGATCTTTTTACGGTCAAAACGGATGGGCCGAGATGGTATGAGCCCTCAAATCTTTAGGCAAATCGAATCCCATACTACAAATCGAACAAGAAAACAACGGTTTACTAACGGGCTGCACCAGACTCTTCTGCTTCTCGTGCACCTTCAAATGAATAGTCAGCGAATTCTGCTTCTCGAATATCCTATCGCAATGGTGACACTTGAACTCCGTCACGATGTGCTCCTTGTGGAACTGCCTCATGTGCGCCCCCAGCGTGTCCGACCTGCTGAACGCCGCGTTGCAATACTTGCACGGGTAGTTCTTCTGCTTGGGCACCTTCTCCAGCGACACCGCCTTCTGTTCGTGCTGCTTCTGCCGCTCGAGGAAGTCGTGCAGCCGCTTGTGCGTCTCGTACTCGTCCTGCGTGCCGAAGTCCTTGTTGCAGGTGTTGCAGCGCGGTATCAGCATGATGGCGCTGACGCTGCGGTGCTTCTCGAGGATGTGCACCTGCAGGGCGGTGTCGTTGGGCAACTTGGCCAAGCAGGTGGCGCACTGGTGGTCGCCGGGCTCCTCTTTCACCTTCGCCGGGACCGGCTTCGCCGCGGGCTTCGGGTGGTTCTTCATCACCTTGGTGTTGGCCTCGTTGTGGCCGCGTTTGTGCCAGCCGATGTGGGTGGTCAAAGCGCCGGCGCTGTGGAAGGATTTCGCGCATATCGAGCAGGCGTGCTGCTCCTCTTCGACGCCTCGGTTCACCTTCTTCCTGGCTCTTTGGTCGTGCTCGGAGGACATGTGTTGGGCCAGCTTGGCGGCCGAACTGAAGGCGACCTTGCACAGCTTGCAGCATATCGAATCGTTGGCTTTGGGGAAACCTTTGAACTCGTACATGTGCTTTTCTTTGTGCTTTTTCAACGCTATTTTGTTGCTGAACGTCATCACGCATATGTCGCAGGTGAATATGAGAGGCGTGGTGGTTTCCTCTTCTTCGTCGTCGTCGGTGTTTGGCTGGTCTTGTTTGGAAGCTTCTTGTTTTTTGACTTGTTTCTTACTGGCCGGGTTCACGTTGATCCCGTGGCATTTCAGGTGGTTCTTCAAATTGTACTTGCTGGAAAACACTTTGAAGCAACGCTTGCACGTGTGGTAAGATTCCTCTTCGACGATTTCCGTTTTTCTGATTTTTAACAACGATGTGTTGTAGCTCGGTTTGAGATGGATTTGTCTGTGTCGATACAAAGCGGCGCCGGTCGTGCAGACTTTGTCGCAATCCTCGCATTTCTTGGGATAAGTGTCCGCGTTGGGAGTCTTCCGTTCGGGGTGCTTCACCCGGTTGTGCTCCCACAAGCCCGAGTAACTGTTGAAATCGTCCGAGCACAATTCGCACTTGTATTTCTTCTCATCGAACGTCTCCACGTCGACGTCTTCGTTATCAAACTCCCGAAGGGGTTCCTCTTTGACGGGACTCTCCTCTTCCGACGAGGGACTCACCATCGTGCTTTTGTACGAGTCCGTTTTCGAGTCCCTGTACACCTTGAGATTCAAATGGACGCTGCGGTGTTGGTCTAATTCCGTTTGGAATTGGAACAATTTGCCGCATTCGCCGCACGGTTTGTTCTGGTGTTTCTCCGTCAGATGGATCTTCCATTCTAACGTGTTGAACACTCCCCCGCAATCGGGACACGAGTAAAACGAATCCTCGTCGTCGACTTCCATGTCCTGATGGTCGTCGGATTTATGCGTTTTGAAATGCCTCATCATGTTCTTGTAGGAAGAGTATTCTTTGCAGCAAACCGGACACACTCTGTTATCGGTTTTCGGCGTGTAGTATGTGGGCTTCGGCTCCTCCGGAACACCATCATCCTCGTCGATAGACGAATTCTTAATCGAAGACTTCCGTTCCCTTTTACCGGTCAGTATAACAGCTTCATCTACGACGGGACTGGTGTGCATCGAGGGTTTCCTCACCTTGTAATTGTCGTCTTGCAACAGGATGAACCCTTCGGACTCGTCGTGCACCTCTACGGCGTGCTTCTGGAATTCCTCGATGGTTTTGGTGGTCACGAAGCAAATATCACAATAGAACTCGACCAGGCAACTGACGTACACGTGGTCTTTGTACTCCGCGTCGCCGGCGAACACCCTTCCGCAGGGACAGTGCAAGGGAAAGCGCGCCATCGAATGGTCCTCGTCCACGTGCCGGCTGAAATCCTCGTGGAAGCTGAACATGAACTTGCATATGGTGCACTTGAAGTTCTGGTAGAGCCTGGTTTTCAATTCGCTCCGGTTGCTCATGTTGCTGAGCTTCGTGATGGCGTGCAGCGGTTGGCTGGAGCACCTCGCTATGTGCTTGGTGAACGTCGAACGATCGGTGAAGGTGATCATGCAGTTGTAGCACGTGAACACCGGAAACCATATCCGCAGGGCGCGCAAATGCGACAGGAGCCCTTTGAGGTTCTGATGGGGCACGTTGTGGCAGGCGCACACCAACGTTTTGTGCATGTCGGCCATCGCCTTGCACTTCTCGATGTAGCTGACTTCGATTTTGGTCAGGGCCGCGTTGATTATGGTTTCTTTGTCTTCGCTCAGCTTCGACAAGCTCTGCTCGAACAGGACTTTCCGTTGCTCGGCTTTGATCGCGTCTGTTGGGGAGACGTCTCCGTTGGTCATGCCTGTAAATAATGGAGAATTAATAAATGGATTTTAAAAGGGTGGGTTCGTGTAAAAATAAATACAAAAAATAAGCCTACCATTCTGGTCGGAGGCGGGAGTGTGTAGTCCGTGCATCACTCTTTCGTGTTTTTTCTTATTGCCTGTACTACTAAAAAGTTTGCCACAAACGCTACATTTTCTATTTAAATCAGGTTCACCTATAATACGACCACAAAAAAAAATAAAAATAAAACCACTACGAAACGCTACGAACGAAATAAAAATAAAAGGTTTCGTTCCTACAGGTCCTACAGACATCACAAACTAACCACAACCCATGAAATCTCCCAACTTTAAGTCGCTATTTATCGAATGGATTGAATTCATTTGTGATATCTGTAAGAACAAACTGAATACGATTTTATTCAAAACAAACTTACTAATAATTTCCGGGAAATCGTTGGTGGTCAAAGGATGCGGCGACAAGGTCGGTGGGAATTCGTGAAATTCTTGATCCATCGGTTCGTCGTCTAACGGTTCGTTTTTTACGTAAACCTGCGGTTGATCCAAGCTACCCATTCTGGCATCTTCGGTATCCTTGTGGCATTCATCGAACTCGTGATCAATGTCCACGTCCGGTTCCTCCTTTATTTGAACGCTCTAAAACCAATCGATTAGGAATTCGAATCACCCGAAAGGCACCTGTAGACTTACAATATTAGCCAAGGGATTGATTTCGTGCATCGATGGGGAATTTGATCGATTGGAATGTGAATCTTCGTCGAATTTCGCTTGGTTTCTGATGCATTCCTCTCGAAACGCGTCCCAATTGGATACTTTTTCTATGCATTCGTTGCACACCATGCTCGATGTTTTTTCCGATGCTTCAATCTAAAATAAATGTAAATAAACTTTATGCAACTAAAAATGTTGGTGGGAAGAGGAAGATTTGGTGTAAAGTTGGGTTTTTTTCAGTAGTAAAGTAAATTGATCGGAGCTTAATCGAAGGTGAAGAAATTGGTAAATTTGGTGTTTTATCAATGTTTTTGGTCTACTAGTAAGTTTTATAAGTGATTGTTGAACGGAAGAATACTCAAAGTTACTGAGATAACAGTAATATTGTTGGTTTGTGTTGATATTTGTGTATTATCAAAATTTGTATATCATAACATAACCTAAAAATATCGGTTTGTTTATTATTTTTTGATCTAGTAGGTGGCTGGTTCATTAGGCCTTCTCCGATTTGCATATAGGCAGAATGACAGTTCATTAAAAAGTACGAAAAAAAAGAAGAAAAGTGCAATGCCTTAATTGCAGTGCCCAGGTGCCCCAATTGTTGAGGTTCACCCCAATTTACGACCAGGTAATTTGCTAGCTGGAGAATTTAAACATTAAAAACATGTTATCGATTTAGATAAAACCACCGCAAAAATAGAATACACTCAATCCTTACAAGTACTGCATACAGCATGCAATGCAAATCGAATTCGCAATTAAGACTACTGCGTTGATCTTTGTCCAACCATCTATAATTTCGCCTATAATGTCTAAATTACACCACGAATACGCGAAATCATCAGCATAACAAAACAATAAAAAAAAATGTGGTCGCAAGATAGACTAGACAGCCATCTTGCTGGCCAGTGTATCGCCCGCAACACCATCGATAAGGTCGAGAATCGGCGCGTTCCTTACGCGAACCTCGCCTTATCGCCTGCCCAACCAACTTGGTATCGTCACGGCTTTTTGGGTGGACAGTCCACCCGACGAATCGCTCTAATTAAACGCCGCTCGCACTCACCTTGATAGCCAAATGGCGGAGTATCTTGTCGCAGAGCCCCGCATCGTCGAGCGTCCGCCGCAGGGCCCCCGCGTCCTCGCACAGGCACAATCTGCAACGATTCCGACGGCACACCTCTGCATCTGCCATCGCTACGCTGGGCTGTTAGCATGAACAGAAATCGGGCCCAGGCCAAAAGCCGACGACGCGACAACAAAACGCAACGCAAGAATCGAAGCCAGTGGGATCGAATCGAAGGGAAACTGAACTCGCACGGTCGGAGCGGAACTAGGCCATACGATTCCACTTAGAACGCTGTAACGCCATAATCTCGTATCTGTCTACGGCCGGGTCGGACTCAGCGCTCAGCGCTTCTCGTGGCCGGTCTCCGCTCCCCACTAGATCGCAGGACATGTGTGTCGACGGCGGCGATCAAAGATCCGCTTGGCTAGCGGGATTGGAAGGACTCAACACTCAACTCGCAACACCACTCGAAGGCCTCCGCTCGACTCGCTCACGCTCTCACCAGCACACCCGGCCCTAGCCGAAGGGATTGATTGTCTACGATACTGAACTGAACACTGAACGCAAGGCGACCTGCGACCTCCAGCGTTGGCTGGCGGGAGGCCCAGCCTGTCCTTATCGCCTTTTCCTTTCCCTTCGACTTCGATTCGGATCGGCCGTTTGAAAAGGTTTAAGGAATCGGCTGGTGGTTGGGCGAGCGGCGAGGAGAGATAATTGACGGGCCAAGACGAGTGGAGTCCGTATCGAACTGAAGGGAGTTGGGGCAGAAGGGACCGTTCGATACGGGAACAAAGGCTCCAGAACGGGTTGATGAATAAATGTTTTTTTTATTTGTTTCGTTTGGGTACGACGAATTTTGGAATTGGATAAATCAAATGCATTAAAATGCGCTCAATATTGGCTCAATTCGTGTGGGATTTCTGATGAATTTGTCGTTTTTTTATCTAATTTTTACATTAATCATCGCTGGATCAAGAATCACTGGAAATATTGGTTAAGTTTAAAGCTGTGGTTCCACGGATATACTGATAGAGTCTACAAAATTAAATCCGTATATCATCATTGGCTACTTGATTTTTTTATTAATATCCACATCCATCCACCAAGTTTCCATTCTGCTCTTTATTTGATTAAATTTACGGGTTAGACAAAGACAGATTATATAGAAACAACATAGTGGTTAGAGTGAGAAAGTTGCCATCCGGCAATATCACACTTTCTTTTTCCTTTACACGAGTCTAATTGAAGTTGTCTTTTGCACGCATAGCCTTTAGCAATTTTGAATCAATTTTCAATCAACATATTAAAAACCGGATGGCACGTAAAAGCGTGATAAAACGACACCATTTTGATGCGAATCGATTCGTCAATGGGCGCCGTTGTTTGGCACCGAACTGTCATTACTGTCAATAGTGTCATTAAAAATACGTCAAATTTTTCGCATATTTGTTTCGTTCTTTCCTTTTCTAACGAACGTCGACCGAGCGGATCAGTGGGAGACAGAGCATGCGCTGCAAGCTAACTAGATCAACCGAATAACGAAGAGAAAAACGAGATTCGCTGATTCGCGTTCGAAGAAGAAGAGTGTGGTGTTTGTTTCGCCCGTTCGTTAACAACATAAACTGGTTATTTGTTGTTTTGTTATTAATTATTACGTATTTTATTGCCGTATTAAGTAATAACCGGTGTTTGTGCTTCTGTCTCTGCGAACTCTATTGTACATTGTTTTGTTTTTTTGGGTTTATTCAGAAACAAGAAATTTACGAGCTACGTTTTCCGGTAAGTTTATTCTAATTAATACATATCAAGCAATCGTTGCTTCCTAAATATTAATAATTTTTAATTGAAATGAGCGTAAAAACCAAATTTTTGTTGAATATAAAAAAAGTAAGAAATTTAACCTGCAAAATATCGCTCGATTTGTAATGAATTCCTACGAAATACATTCGTATTTATGCCTAATTATAAGTAAAACAGGGTGGTGAAATACACACCTAAAATGTATTGAATTTATAACCATAGCAGGCAAGGCTGTTAAAAATTAAACCGACTGTTTCATGGCCGTTCGAGATTGATTTATTTGGAAATGTGTAAACAAAACACCGAAATGCATTTATAAATTTTTCTCTCAAGTTTAATTGCCTTGATTTTTGAAAGAATTATGCAGATTTTATCAAGTAGTCAATGATGATATGACAAGATTGACAAGATAGTAGACAAGATAGACAAGATAGTATTAATCTTAAACTTCATCAATATTACCAGTGACACTCTTGATGATGGCTTAAATTATTATAAAAATACCTTGTGTATTATCGAGCGCAACATAATCCCCTGTGCAGTTCAAATATCCATTAAAATAAAGAAATATCTTAATTAATAACCCGATAAATATTTCCAAATAATAATGTATTTACAGGTGTTTCAGGATGAGTGTTAATTTGACTGTACACTTTCGAGGTATTCGCACGACATTAGTCACATTGAGAGAAAAAAAATGTTTATAAGATAAAATTAGTGCACAATAAGTAATTTATTATTTAGGTTACACAACAATATCGTTAAATTGTTAATGTTTCATTATTATCCGCCTTTAATAAAACTGTTATCTAAGAGCTCGATTTCGCTTTCACTTCAATCCGACTTTATCTTAGTACACCTTCAATTATGAATCGAGTTAAAGCTTTTCCAGTTTCGAAAAAAAAATTTATTGCACGCCGTCGACATTTCCTAGAGAAACGCGCAAATACTTTCAGTTTAACCGAATATTTTTACCGGTTTATTTCAGAGTCTTCTCGGAGTTCTAAAAACCTAATAATCCATCACCTAATCGATACCGTAAAGATAACAGGCTAATCTGTTATAGATAAAATCATTAAAAGATGTTACTAAATTGCAAAATTACTTCTATTATACCACCCTAATAATATAAACAAAAAAAAAACACCGTAAGAAATAAAATACAAATATATCACATCAGTCGTCCTCCTGGGACTTCCTCACGCAAGAAGCCACCTTCTTTTTGAACTCCGCGTACGATTCTCTCCACTCTTTAGCCGCGTCCACGTTAGCAGGACTCTCATCGTTCGGATCGGCCAGCATGGATATCACCGACAGCAGGATGCTCTGGATCGAGTGGACCGGCAGCCACCGTTCCGAGGCCTTCTCGTACCCGTACTGATCGTCGCCGGGCTCGTGCAATATCGATATGCACACGTCGCCGTTCTTGTCGATGTTGGGATGCCAGATGTCGGAGACGAACCTCATCTTCGGCGGCCGGTGCGGGTACTCCTTGGGGAAGTACAGGTGGCACTTAAAGAAGCCGCCCTCGTAGAGCGTGTCCGGCGGGCCGATGATCAGCACCTCCCATTTGTATATGTCGTTGTCGTCGATGAGGCCGGCCGAGAAGCCTTCGATCGGGTGTTCGTTCAGTTCGGCGAGCTGTTTGCGCAGTAGGAGCGCCGATTGCGGGTCCGTCATCAATTTGACGCCGACTAGGCATTTAATCTGACGGGTGTTCCGGGTTTTCCTGGCGGGATTAGTGCGGGAGGACCTAGGGGATAGTATGACGTTTGTTCTGTGTCATGTAGACGTTGTGAAATTTGTGGCGATAATTAGTAAAAAATCTATTACAATCAGTCATCTATCGTTTGCTCCATTTCCGATTTGCAACATGGTCGTTTCTATGAGTGGAACAAAGAAAGATTAATAAAATGACAGTTGTCAGAGTGAAAAGTTGCAATGACACAAATGTCACTCTTTCCTTTTCCTTTATAAGTGTCTAATGGAAGTTGTCTTTATCGCACCTATGGCCTATATAACCTATGTTGCGATCAAAAATGGAGCAACCTGTATATTTTTAATACTATGCCAATAACAATGGCTGCATTGAGGTGTTTTTGACTTGTTTTCCGATATGTAAAAGGCCAAGGAATCAAATTTAACGAGTGTTCCAGGTTTTTCTAGTGGGAATAGTAGACCTAGTATGGAAAGACCTAGGGAATAGTATGACGAATATTCTGTGTCATGTAGACATAGTAGAGTTTGTAGCAATAATCAGTAAAAAATCTATGACAGTTAGTCATCAATATTTCTAATACTGTGCCAAAAACAAAGGCTGCATTGAGGTGTTTTCATTGATGTTTTTGACTTGTTTTCCGATGCGTAAAAGGCCAAGGCATTTAATTTTTCTAGTGGGAAATAGTAGACCTAGTATGGAAGGACCTATGGAATAGTATGGCAAAAGTTCTGTATCATGTAGAGCTAGTAGACCTTCTAGTGAATAATACTTTCGGTACAATTCAATAAAAAAATTAAAATGAGTAAAAATCGTCGATATTTCGAACGCACTAAAACTGTTCCAAAAACATCGGCATCGAAGTGTCATTTCTATTGATTTTTTTAAACACTTGACTTGTTTTCCTGTACGTAAAAGGCCACAGTTATTTACGTTTAACTTTACCTTTTCATCAACTTTGAAACTGAAGTATTAAACCACATATTGAACATAAATTATCCCCAAACCAATCACCAGTACAGTTTATCTTTCTTCTACCTCTACGCCATACGATACAGTAATAGTATATTATAGTCAAGATAGATATAAATACCCGTATAAACGCATTCCGGAACGTCTTTGACAGCTATTTCTTCGACCATTCGCCGTACTAAATATATCTAATCGGGCGTTCGGCTGGTTCTTTTTTTTTTCGAAATTCCTCGAATAGCACGTTCCCAACACGTGGTTATCGGGCGAGAGAGCGGCAGGTGCGTCCCGCCCGAAGATCCAACGTCCTATCGGGTTATTCAACCTATCTCGGGCCGGTTTCCGCGTCTATTTCGCTCGATTTTCGCCCGTGGAACACCGGCGGATCGTCTTCGATCGCGGGAGCGGCCTCCGCCGCGTCGGCCATTCGGCCACGTTTCCGCCTGATGTCTATTTTCGATACGCGATTTTTTTATAATATTGCGGTTATAAATTGTTTCGAAAACGTTTGAATAGAATTAAAAAATTTCATCAGAAAACAACATTTTTCGAACGTTTCCTCGAGTGTACTCTTTTCCGCTCGTTAAAGCAATTAATTAGGTTGTTACGCGTTTGTTATTACTTTTTTTTTTTTCGTTAAATAAGGAGGTATTATTTTCGGCAGGATTCCGAATCATCGGTATACCGTGAAGGTCGATTATTAAATTATTGATCCGATTATTCCGTGTTCGTACTCACGTGGAAACAAACCGGCAATTTAATGGTGCAAACCGACCACAGAAATATAATATGCACGTAGAGGTATTTTCGAACCAATGTTCGTTATAAATAGAGTGAAAAAAGTATTTTATTTTCCTTAATCAATATGTATTTTTTTTGGATCAATCAATCAGTCAATGTTGGCTGATGCTTTAAATAATACAGAAACTTATCTGTTAGATAATACCTACACTAAATTGCCAACCACCATAAAGGTCGGGATAGATTTTATTTAAGACAAATATAATTTTACCTGTTAAATAACAGTTAAAAATGCACACCGAGATACCCGGCATTAAAAATAGAACGAAACATCACCGTCTGGTGGTGTTTACATACGAGGAAAAGCCGTGCAGACACAATATTGTCAACACATGTCGTATATTCCCCCTCTGATAACTTCGTTAATACATTTACTAGAGACACGGACAACATTGCGGGCAATTGTTAATTCCACGTTTTTTTTTTTATTCATCTGATAGTCGACATCCGGTCTCGGCAGGCCGCATTAATGCGGGTTATTTCTATTTCACCGCGGTCACTCGATAAATATTATCCGAGCTCATTTAATCGCCCAGCCATTGAAAGTATCTTTAAAAATTCATCCTATGTAATGATAAAGGTATAGAGAAAAGTCTCCATTTCATTCAATAAAAGTAGAGGGAAAGGTCTCTACTTCACAGAATAAAAGTAGAGGAAAAAAGTTTTCATTTCACCGAATAAAAGTAGATAGAAAAGTCTTTTCTTTAAAGAATAAAAGTGGAGAGAAAAGTCCCTACTTTATAGAACAAAAGTAGAGAAAAAAGCCTCTACTCTCAAAGAATAAAAGTAGAGAAAAAAGTCTTCATTTCACCGAATAAAAGTAGAGAGAAAAGTTTTTTCTTCAAATAATAAAAGTGGAGAGAAAAGTCTCTATTTTACAGAACAAAAGTAGAGAGAAAAGCCTCTGCTTTCAAATAATAAAAGTAGAGAGAAAGGTCTCTACTTCAAAGAATAAAAGTGGAGAGAAAAGTATCTACTTCACAGAACAAAAGTAATGAGAAAACCCTCTGCTTTCAAAGAAAAAAAAAATAGAGAGAAAAGTCCTCACTTCCAAGAATAAAAGTGGAGAGAAAAGTCTCTACTTCACCGAAAAAGTCTTCATTTCTCAGAATAAAAGTCTCTATTTCACATAATGATAGTAGGGAGAAAAGTCTCTACCTTTATAGAAAAAGTCTTAATTTCATAGAATAAAATTCACTAAATAAAAGTAGAGAGAAAACGTAATTTACCAATGTTACAGATGCAATAAAATGCCAACCTAACCATGGACGAAATCGACTCGGCGCCCCAAGACTCTTCAATCATCGAAGAAGCCGACACCAGCGTGCACGGCTTCAACAACTCCAACGTCACGGTGATAGAGAACCCCGCCTTCAAGAAGCCCCCGTCGCAACAGCATCAGCAGGGCGAGGGCAGCGACAGCGGCGTCGACATCGCCGAAAAGCAGCTGCACAGCGCCCGCTCCTGCGACTCGTCCATCAGCTACTGCTCCAACTACGACGAGGCCTACAACATCCTCGTGCGCAAGAACTCCACGTTGCTGGAGGACTACAGGCGGCACCAGGACCTCACCAGCGACAACGGCAGCGAGAGCTCCTCCGTCAGCAACTCCAACGTCCGAACGCACCGCAGGATATCGGCTGGTAGCGGCAAAACTAGAAATTCCGGTAATGGCAGCGCCAAGGGCAAGCCTCCGGTTACTCCGAAGACGCCCAAATCGGCGGATAGATTGCAGGGCAAGCAACGGTCTCCGTCCAATCACCGGACGAAACTGGCTCATACGCCCAACTCCAAACGAACCCCGGCGCCCAAAACGCCGACGGCTACAGTGGATGACGGCAGGTGGCCTTCGGTGAACAGCAAACCAGCACCGCTAATGTCCAGATCTCTGAAAGGCACCATCGATTGCACCAAACAGAAAATAACCCCGCAGGATACTAAAACTATAGAAAAATACGCTACGCTTCCCAGGCCGAAAAAAAACGTCGACGCCAAAGAAGCTGCAGTCGCTAAAAAACCACTAAATTCGCAACGCGCCAGCCTAACAAAATCCAACTCCAGGGAAATAACACCTACGAAATCCCTCTCGACATCACTCTATCTTCCTAAAGCGAAAACCAAGACGAAAATCTACCACGAAAACACCGTACAAACCGAACTCACCATGACAGACATGGCCAACACAGTAACAGACACCGCCTGGGAGAAACTCCACAAAAAACTAACAACTCTAACCAACAAATACGAATCCCTACAAAACGACTACAAACAACAGACTGATCAACTGAAAGAGACTGAAACTAAACTAAGAGAAGAAACGATGGAGAAAGACGGTCTCAAGGAAGAGCTGCACAAAAACTCCCAACGAGTCATCGCCATACTGCAAGGAAACGGCGAAAGTACCGCGCCCCACCTCTACCGTTAACCCAATACAAACCTCGATCGTTCCAGGTATAACCGCCGATCCCAACGACAGCCTCCTGGTGCTCGAGACCAAATTCCAGAACGCCGGCCAAGTGGTGATACGGCAAGAGGAGGAAATCTCCAAGCTGAACTCGATCTGCCGCGCCCTGCAGATGGACCTCGACAAGAGCTCGGCCGCGCAGCGGTTCCTCCTCCAGCAGCAGCACGACCTCGAGGCGGAGAGCCTCGAGCTGCAGGATTTCATGCAAGCGGAGAAGACCACGCTGCACGACGCGCTCAAAGAGTCCGAGGCCGAGGTGCAACGGCTGCAGTCGCTCCTGCAATGCACAAACAGGGAGTTGCTGGATAGGTCCGAGGAGTGCAAGCAATTGGTGAGTCGAATCCGCTGTCTCTACTCGTCCGATTTGACCGGTTTTTTTGTAGCAAAGGCAATCCGAGCAGAGGAAGGAGGAGAATGCGAGCCTGCACGCCAGATTGGCCGTGCTGGAATCGAAGAGCAGGGAGCTGATCGTGCACCAAGGGAGCTCCGTGTCCGGTGCGGCTGTTGCTCTATCGACTCTCATCGCTAGATTGGATGGATTAGTAGAAGAACTCGTTGCTGCTTACAGTATATCGGATCAAGAATTAGAGGTATGTATGTAAAAAAAATACATGTATATTTCTGGATTTAAGTGCACAAATTGATCAATTCGAGAGTGTTGTCCAGTCTGTGCAGATCGGGATCGTACCCTCCGGACGCTTTAATCAATTCTTTGACGATCCTGCTTAGCTTGGCGTTCATTTCTTTGGCCTTGTGGTATTCAAGCGTCAGCTCGTCGTCCTTTCTGTAAACGGTGTAGGGCGTTCTGTTTTGGATGATCAACGAATGCAATTGGGATTTGCGCTGTTGGAAGAGCAACATCTCGAATTTCAGCTGCCGATTCGATTTGACGTCCTCCAATTTGTGCCTGAGGGCGCCCTTGTAGTCCTTGTCGAAGACGGGCTCGGTTAAAATCTCGTCGATTTTCTTCTCGGTCTCGACTATTTCGTCGCAGATGTACTTGTATTTGTTCTTGTTGCTCCTCGTTTCCGTTTTCGCCTGCTTTATTTGATTCCTCAAATTGTCGAGCTTCTTCTGGAAATTCGACCGTATCGAGTAGTCGTTCTTCTTCTGCGTCTTCTGCTTCACGTCCGAGTAGAAAAACAACGAGTCCCTCTTCACCAGCGTGCCCTGCAAGCTCCTCAACAGCTTCTCCTGGTTCTTCTTCATCTGAGCGTACATCACCTCCATCTTGTGCAACTCCTGGCGCATGTTCGACACGTCCTCGCTGTTCTTGTTCTTGTGCACGAACTCTTTGGTCATGTGGAACTTCTTCTCCCATTCGAGGCCTTCGCGGTTCGTTTCTATCAACTCCTTGCTCAAATTCACCTTGTCCTCTTCGATTTCGGTGATGGACGCTTCGATGCGCAACAATTCCAATTCCGCTTCTTTCAGCTTCACTTCGAATTCATCCTACAATATCCAAGCATTAAAAAAATGTACTCTTTAACGTAAATAAATATTTACCTGCATAAGTAAGTTGTTCTTGTCCAAATCGTTCTTGTGGTTCTTTTTGTTGTACACTCTGTCGCACAAAATGGTCGCTTTGTTGGTGAGCGAATTGATCCTGTGCTGCGTCAGTTCCTCCTGCTTTTTGAGCTGATCGAACTCGTCGCTCAACCGCAGGTTTTTCTGGTCCAATATGAGCATTTGCTTTCTCAGCACGCTGATGCTGTGTATCTGTTCCTGTCGCTCCTTGGCCATGGCGAGGATGTTCTTCTGCTCGCGCATCCAGAACATCTGCAGGTTTTTGATCTCCTGCTGCGTCTCCTCGATGAGCTTCGTCAGATCGATGATCTTCATCTCCGCTTTGGCTATGCGATCGTCGTGATTCGAGGCGATCTTCTGTTCGAGCTTCTCGTTTAGGGTTAACACGTGTTTCTCCTTTTTCCTGTAGAGCAACACGAATTTCTCCAATTCGGCCGTCATCTTTTTGGCCACCTCGTCCAATTTGGCCATTTCCTCTTTGGTCTCGTTGTAGATGCGGGTGAGCTCTTCGATTTTGAATTTCTGCGATTCGATTTCGGAATAGAGGGAACTCCGTTTGTTCTCCGCCTCGTTTTGAATCACTTCCACGTCGCGTTTCTTATCGGCCAGCTCGTTCAAAGCCTGTTGAATATTTCGCCGATTATCAATCAATCGTTCAAAGTTGTTGTGTTAATTTGGTTACCTTTTGGGCCTTTTTGGTGTACGCGTGGTTTTCCACTTCGCTTTGGATGCACGTGAAAATCTCCTGGTCGATTTTGTTCTTCTTCTCGGCCAATCGTTTGTAGTCCAATTGGAGTTTGTTGTACGCTAGAGTCTTCAAATGGGACTCGCATTGGCTCGCCTTTATGTCTTTCTTCATTTGCGTTATGTACGTTTTGACGTCTCGCAATTCCTTTTCTACAAAGTACATTTAAATACCCAACATCACTTTAGCATCTATCATCAATTTACCGACTAATTTTCTCTCGGTGGTTTGCTCGTCGATTTGGCTTTTGCTCATCTTGATGTCTTCCAGTACACGTTCCTTGAGAGCCGTGAATTTCTGGTTTTCCATTTGTTCGCGCTTGATGAGCTTCTTCGATTGACCGATTTCGGTCAGGATGTCCTTGTGTCTTTCCTCTCTGCTCGATAGTTCCTGGTTCAAGCACTCCAAGCCTTTGTCGCGATTCGACACGGCGGCCACGACGCTCGTAAACGAAGACATCAGAGCCTTCAGTTCGGTTTCCAAAGCTGCACAACAAACGAAATTAATACGAATACTCTCGATAGATCGAATCGTACCGATGATATTGGTGTTGCCGACGGCCGCGCGGTGCTCCAAATCGTCCAGTTCCTCCTCTTTGACGATTATCTGCAGCTTGTTGGTTTCGATTTCGTTCTCGATGTTCCATATGTCGGTCATGATGCGGTGTATGAGGAAGTCCTGCTTGCGCTTCTGCTTGGCGAGCTGGTCGTTCTCCTGCCGCGACTTGTCCAATATGCGCTTGCTGATGGTGATCTGGGACTCCATCTCTTCGCCGGACTCGGACAGCTGCCGTATCAGGCCGGTGATGCCCTCGATTTCGTTGGTCAGATCCCTGTTGGTTTTCTCGGCGCGGAACAAGTCGTTTTGGACGTTCTTCATTAGCTTCGTGTTCTTTTTGAGCGATTCCTCTTCTTTTTCCTGCTCGACGGTGACCTTTTCGATTTGTTCCACTAGCGTTTCGAGCGTCCGTTGTTGGTAGCATACCTGTAAAATGTCGAGTGGTTTACGTTCGATTTGTGAATGGGTGATTGGTTACTTGTTGTTGGATTTCGTAAGCTTGCAGGCCGACGTCTTCGATTTCTTGTTCCTTCTTCCTCGTTTCGATGTCGATGCCGAATAGATCCTCCTTGATGGCGGCTATTTGCTTTTGTAGATGTTCCCTGAGGGCCTTTTGGAAGGGCTCCAACATCGGATGGTCCGGATCCAGGAAGTAGTTGCTGAAGTCCTCCTTCTTCGGCGCCTCTTCGACCACCTCCGACACTTCCTCCATAGTTTCCTCCTTCAATTCCTCCACGATTTCCTCCATAATAACGTACGCGAATAACGCGCTCCTTCAGTAAAAAATTCGTGTATATCTGTCTGTAAAATTGACAACAACTGTCACGTAAAAACAGATATTTCGATTGTACGTTCGTTTTATTTCCGCAGGATGCCATATTCCACAACGAGGCGTACAAAACGAGCAGCAGCAGCCCCGAATCGACGCCCGAGAAGTCCCGCAAGCTGTTCATCGACAAATCCCCGTCGCCCGCCAAAGGTTCCTCCTTCGTGTCGGCCGTCATAAACGCCATCAAGAGCGCCGCCCAATCGCAATTCACCGTCAGGGATCTCAGCAAAGACACCCTATCGACGGAGCGATCCAGGTAGCGCCCCGCGAGCGCCTCAAACGCCGTTAAATAATCGTTAATTGTTCGCAGTTCCAACGAAATGCTGGACTCGGAGACCGAGCCGTGCCTGATGATGGAGCACGTGCTCGAAGACGTCTACATACCGGACGGGCATTCGCAGAACCTCGTCTCGTCGGGGCACGGCAGCATGATGAGCTCGCGCCTCAGCCACAGCGAGAGCCTCAAAGACCTCAATCAAGCCTACATCAGCCGGCAGATGTCCGAGCCGGCCAGCATGAGCCTCTACGGCAGCCTGCACGGCGACTTGCTCTCGCTCAACGAGCCCCTGTTCGTCACCTCTTCGCTCGTCGATCAAGTCATCGATGTCGACAATCTAATCACCAGGTGAGGACGTTGTTTATTTGAGTTTTGAGATGGTGATATCGTGTGGCTTGCAGGTTGTTGAAGGTGATCAGGATCATACAAATGGAGAACGAGGATTGCATGAACGAGTTGCAGGAGCAGCGGGACAACTTGCTGGAGCAGGTGGACAAGCAGAAGGAGACGAACAAGGTGGTGGTGAAGCAGCTGAAGGATTGGGAGATCCTGGGGGCGCGATTGAAGGGCGAGGTGAAGGAGCTGATGGGGCACTCGTCGAAGAAGAACAACGAAATCGACGGGTTGAAGAACGAGTTGAACAAGCAGCGAGAGGAGGTTGAGGTAGATGGAATGAGTTGTGGTGAGAAAATGGTGATTAAATGGTTGTTGTTGTAGAAATTAAATCAGGACGTATGCGAATTGTCGACGACTTTGGCGAAGGCCGAGCTGGAGAAGAAGAGGAAAGAGGACGAGGTGAACGAAGGGATCAAAAATTTGGAGAAATCCGCTCAAGTACCGTCCGGGGAAATTTTAGCGAAATTAATTTGCGCACAAAACGAGGTAATACCACTAAAAAAAACTATAATTTCTTTCGTAATCACATCGTTATTTTCATTTTAGATACCGTTACTTAAAGAGAAGCTATCGGAGAAAGAAAAACACTTGAGGGAACTCACGCAGGAGTTTCTGGCCAGCAGGCAGGTTCTAACCGAGCATCTAAAGGATGCCATTAACCAATCCAAAAAGCAATACAACGCCATCGACAATGCCTTAGAGGTAACCGCTTGAATACAAATAAATAGCACGGTTTAATCGGGATTTCTGCATCGGTTTAGGTGTTGCACGGGATCCAAACGGTGGTGCAACAGTGCGCGCCGCTGGCGCAATTGCAGCGCGACTTGGAAGAGATGAATTTCCAGAGCGCTTCTTCGATCGCTCCGGCGGATTTCAACGCCAACGCGGCCCTCTTACAGGCCGTGGCCAGTTTGGAGATAGCGCCCGCTATAAACACCACGGCCTAGGGATAATTATGCGGATTATTTTGAGGGATATTCAGGGCTGTATAAAAACGGATATTATGCGATATTTTTTGGGGAGGGGGTTGACCGTGATAATTTTTATTGTGTTTTATTTTACGTCTGGAGATGTTGCGAGGTTCGATGGATTGTTCTATGTACGAAGTATAGTGTAATTAGTGTTGACGAAACTGCTTGTTTATGTATGTATTTTTCAATTTTGTTTAAGGTTTTTTTTTGCTTTTTTATGTTTGACACGTACATAGTCGTTTGATATAGTTATTAAATAGTGATATTTAGATTTTAAAATAATTTTGTATCGTTTTTGGTGTATTTGAAATTGAACCTCCTTTCGACTCAATAAGACTGAATATGTTTTTTTAAAAATCGGGTTTACAAACGCGCTAGATACTCGTATAAAGTACCTTTTAGAAAGATAATTATGAAAATTTAGATGTTTAGTAATGTTACATTGTGCGCGTTTGTAAAATCGATTTTTTTAATTTATTTTATCGAAGATAACGTCCAGGATTCTCCAAGTATTTTTCCCTATTGTATTATTTTGTTCGTTTGAAACAAAAACGAATTGTAATTAAAAAAAAACATTTTTTTAAATATGTATTTCATTGCCATTTGATCTGTAAATACAAATATTAGTTTAATCGACGTTTTTTTATTCAGTCCCTTTTTCACGTTATTGTAACATAGTTTAATCGCGGTTCGACGATCTCGACGACCGTTGCATTTTTTCATCATTTTTTGGTTCAGTGGACGGGCAAGCGCAAAGCTCTGGATTTCCGGAACCACTGAATAATTTCAAGAGACTCTCCCATTATTGTCAAAGCAGCCAATTCCACAGTCAATTGTGATTTTTTACATGGTACGTACACGTTTTTATTCCGCTCTATTTTCGCTGATTTTAATAGATTTTTTTCAATCATTTACTGCTAATTAATAACAGTTGTAATCAATGAATTTGTGCAAAAAAAATCTTTTCAGAATTGTTTTTTGTGCCAATTTAATCACTTTATTATTTTAGAATATTTCAACACCCTAGCAATAGTTTCCCTTCAATTCCAAATTTCCCACCCTTCAGGTGAAATTTTTTACACCGCCAAACTTTCACTAAACTTTCGAAAAACTCAAGCGATTCAATAATTTGTTCATAACGAAACCGAAAGTCATTGTTCGATGAAAACCCGCAAAAAAAATTCCATCAAACATCCTGTTCTTTCATCGCGCTTCCGTTACAATAACTGTCGCGATTAACGCGCCAATCAAATTACGAAATTCGATCCAAACGATTTTACAGGGCGCGATGTTGAACCACCGCACGATCGTATGGCTGTTGCTCTGCAACCTCAAGCTCACCCTACAGCAATCCTACCAAATCGAAGACATCCCCATCGAGCACTACGTCCACGAGGACGTCCGACGCGACGAAATCGACGTCGAATTAATGCCCAGGACCTTCGACAAACTCCAAGCAGACGAAAGCGAGCAAATAACCGCCCACGAAACACCCCCGTGCGAACACCCGACCGCCATCAAACGACCCAAACGCGAAATAGACACTCGAAACTCCAGCGGAAATCTAAACAAAACTCTAACCATAAACGATTTCATCAAGTTCAAACGCTCCGTTGCCCCAGACTCGCGCAGAACCGGAGCCACCCCCGCGGAGCAACAATGGACCGACGAGAGTATTCGGGTGTCTTCGGAGGCGGCGCGGGCGCCCCGGGCGCATTTCGTCACCAACGGCATGCCCGACAGGAACCCCCTGCAGTACAAGTTCGACAGGGAGCCGCGCTCCGAGAGCACCAAGTACCTGCAGAGCGACTTGCCCGACGAATACGACTACCACCGGCCCCCGTCGGTCAGGAACCGCGTGTCCAGGTACGCTCCTCGCAAACTCCTTACATCGCCCACTAGGAATTTAACATTGCAGGACGGGCAGGTACAATCCGAGCACCTACGATAGATATCCGGCGAGCGACCGCAGGAGCTATTACAGGAGACAGGAGTACCCGGAGAAGCCGTATTACGATCCCGATTATAACGAAGTGGCCAGGAAACGGAGGATAATTTATTACGCGACGCTGCCGGAGGCGCCGAGGAAGAGGATGGAGGAGCCGCGTCGATTGCAGGATCGATACCGGTACAGGGACGTGCAGGATTATCGGTTGTTCGCTCCCGAAACGTACAACGGCTACAGGAAGCGGGAATTCGACTATCCCAGGCGGGTGTTTGAAATATTTCGAACGAAAGAACCCGTTTTAGTTACATAATTCGTTTGCTTTTTAGGTACGACGTGAACGTATCGACGGGCGTGAACGTGCGAGAAGTGAAGAAGAACCCCGAAAGGAGGATTTATTCGGACGTAACCCGACATCGGTCCTACAAAGAGAATTAAATGCTAACTAACAATGTACTAGAAGTTTAGATTTTTTTTTATAATAAACTGCCTTATATAATTTTCAAGCAGTCCTATTACTAAATATAAAAAAAACTATAAATATTAATAAGACTCAATTCGAAAATGAACTTTCCCTCCTTTGCGATCGGTACATGAACAAAGAAACGATTTCCAACGAGTGTCCCAACGAAGTTAAATCGTAATAAAATTTGGGATATTTTTCTATCAAACTCGCCACCATCCGCCGCAGTTTGGCGTTCGTTTCCTTCTGTTTTTGATACTCATCGACCAGATCCGATTCCCTTCTGAAAACAGTGAAAGGCGTCCGATCGGCCGCTATGTGGGAATACATGCTAGCCTTCTTCTGTTGAAACACCAATATCTCGAACTTGAATTGCCTGCTCACTTTCAACTCGTTCAATCGCGCCAAAACGTTGGATTTGTAATTCTCCGCCATTACGGGATCCTCCAAAATTGTTTTGATCTCTTTCTGCATTTCCTCGATTCGATTTCGGCGGGCTTTTATCGCGCCCACCGCCGCTTTTATCTCGCTTCTGTTATGCTTGATTTTATTCTTGCAATCGGCCAGTTTCTTTTGGAAAAACGATCGTAATGTCGGACCGGTTTTCTAGAAAAACAATTTCTTATACTCTACCCTACACTATTCTGCTCTACTCTGCTAGACTCTACCCCAGTTTACACTACACTACTGTAAAGTACAATACACTACTGTGCAAAATTCTATCATATTCTGCACTACTCTACACCAGTTTGCAAGATTCCACCATCCTCTGCACTTCTCTACTCTCTAATGCACAACTTCTACTATATTTTGCACTACTCTAAACTACACCACTGTACACTACATTACACTATATTACACTAATCTAGTCTACTTAGTAAATTCCATACCTTATCTTTTTCCGCTTTGCTGGTAACATCCGAATTGAAATACAGCATTTCCCTTTTGAACAGGCACTGTTGCAGGTCCTTGAGCAGCTTCTCCTGGGCCCTCTTCAGCTGATCGTAGATGACTCGCATCTTGTGTATCTCCGAGCGCATATTGGCCACGTCGCCTTGATCGGTACTTCTCGCGCTATTTAAATATTCTTTGGTGACTTGGAATTTCTTTTCCCATTCGAGTCCCTCCCTGTTCACGTCCAACAACTCTTTGCTCAACGCCACCTTGTCTTGTTCCACTTCCGCTATTTCGGCGGCGATCGAGAGCAAATCGAGCTCGGATTGTTTCAGTTTCGCTTCGTATTCGTTCTAAAAAAAGCTTGCGTTAATAAGTAACTCGTCAGGTGTACTTTAAAAGTTTTCTGCTCACCATTAAAGCGGCGTTGTTGTTGTTGATGTTGTTTTTTTTGTGCTTGTGATGGACGAGTTTTCCGCTCAGCACGGTCAGTTTGTTGGAGAGGATGTTCAGCATTTGTTGGATTTTCTCTTCGTTTCGTCGCACGTCTTCGAGTTCGCGTTGGTTTCGAAAGTTTTTCTGCTCGAGTACCATGAGTTGCTTCTTTAGCGTGTTGATTCGAGCGATCTGTTCGCGTCTGTTCGACGATAGAATTAGCAAACTTTGTTGTTCTCTGATCCACAATCTCTGATGGGCTTTGATGATGGATTGCTCTTCGCCGATGGATTTCGTTAGATCGACGATTTTACGTTCAGATTTGGTGTAATTCGATGATTTTTGCGAAACTAGCTCGGTCTGTACTTGCTCGTTTAACGACATTACTCGCCTAAAAATATTCTCAAATCAAATATGCGCAGAGGAAATTGCGCACTCTTACTAATTCGCTGAATGTCAAATATCGACTGTCAAATGTCAGTTGTCAAACATCAAATGTCACATGTCAAATTTCGATGTGATAAGTCGAATGCCAAATGTCAAGAAGAAGATTTACCTGTTTCTGTTTCGATAAATCAACGTGTACTTTTCGAATTCCTTGCTCAAATTGTCGAGCAATTTGCCCATTTCGTTTTCTTGTCTCTTCGATTCCGAATGCATCGCTTCCAGCTCGCCGATGTAATTTTTCTTCATGTCGTTTTCGGTGGTTAAAAATATTTTCCTGTTCAGCGATTCGTGTAGCATTAAATCGACATCTCGAATTTTATCGGAAATATCCTTCAATTCCTACGATATGATAAAAAAATACAGATCATAAACGTGGCCTTTTGCCATTCGGTTATCCGCCTAAAACCACAGCCACTTTCACAGTTAACTAGATAATTATGATTTACCTTTTTGTTCTTCTTGTCTACCATGTCGGTGGTCATTTGGGCTTGAATGCATTCGAAGATCTCCTGCTCGGCTTGGAGCTTCTTCGAAGACAGTCGCTTGTATTCGTTCAGCACGGAGTCCAGAGCCAATTTTTTGAAATGCTGGTCTTTTCGCGATGATTTAATGTCGCTTTCCAGTTGCTCGATTTGCGCATTCGTGTTGTACACTTCTCGATCTAAAATGCTACCCGGTTAATTTATTTATAGAATTTACCATCGACAATATACCGAGTTTGAGTTTTTCTTTTAACAATCCATCGATTTCGATTTTGTTGGCTTTGATATCGGCGTGTATGCGGTTTTTATTGGCCGAATTGCATTGGTTTTGCATCTGCTCTTGCTTGATGAGCTTCTTCAACTGGTTGGTTTCGTTTAGAATTGTTTTGTGTTGTTCTTGTTTGTTGTTTAAGGATTTCGTTAGGCATTCGAGGTTTTTGTCTCTGTTGGTGATGGAGCAAACGACGCGATCTATCGAGCAAGTCAGGGCTCTTAGTTCGGATTCGAGGGCTGTTATGTTGGTGTTGCCTATTGATATTTTGTTGTCCATTTCCTCCAGTTCTTCTTCCATCAGTTTTATCTGGAGTTTGCCGTTTTCTATTTCGTTTTCGGTTTTCCATACTTCGGTGTTGAGTTGGTAAATGAGGTAGTCTTGTTTTCGTTTTTGCTTGGCTAATTTTTCGTTGTCTTTGCGCATCTTTTCTGCTTGCCTTTTGTTCGATATTATGTGGGATTCTACGTCGTTTTCTAGAGTGGAGAGTTGGTGAATTAAACGGGATAAATTTTCGATTTCGTAGGTTAATTCTTTGTTGAGTTTTTCTTTATCGAATAGCTGATTTTTGATGGTCTTCAAGTCTTCTAGCTTGGTTTTTAATTGTTGTTCTTCGCTTTCTTGGGACGCTGTGAGGGTTTTTATTTGATTCACTAAATCGTCGAGGACTTTTTGTTGAAAGCATACCTTAATAAATGTACACTTGAATAAATAAAAGTATTTATAATGGAATAAATGTACTTACTTGTTGTTGAACTTCGTAAGCTTGTACACCCAAGTCTTCGACTTCTTTCTCTTTGGTTTTAATATCGCTGTCGATGAACAAAATGTCATCTTTTAATTTTTTTATTTGGTTCTCGAGATGCGCCTTTAAGGCTTTTTGGAAGGGCGCCAACATCGGATGGTCGGGATCCAAAAAGCAATTTTTCACGTCCGTTTGCTCGTCTGCTTCGTTCATTTTTCGATATTTTTAATAAAATTGTATACGAGTGCAATGTTTTTTTAATCGATACTACAAACAGCTAAAAGTTAGCAGTTGTTGATAAGATGAAGGGCGTTTCTATGGTAACCGATTTTCGAGATAAGGATTTTTTAGAAATCATCGTATTTCGAATTCTGTCAGGATTTTTGGAGTTATTTTTGGCCGAGACTCCTAGCATTCTTGAATCCTGTTGTAAAATTGTAACAAATTTGAGAATAAAAATCGATTGACAAATAATGAAGATGTCTTACATTATATTTTAATACAGCTATTAATTCTTCTTTTTTTATCCATTATTTTCTTTATTTTCATACCTGAGGGGCAAAACTTTAAATTAAGAGAATCGATAATTTCCCTTCGCCATTGATAAAATCATACTTTTCCAAACTTTAAAATTTCGTAATGGAGAGGAAAGAAATTAAAAAATAATACTTTAATTATATTTTTATTTTATAAATAAAAAAAAATGTTAACGCCTGAGGTTCAATTCCGGTAATGTATTTTTTCGAAATTATCTTTTCAAAGACAACACACCAACGGACAACACCTTAATCTGAAAATCGAAATACATTGTATCATTACAAAATCGCAGAGAAGACTTATCTTAAAAACTATTTTCAATCAACAGAGACGCTCAATTAAAAATTAAATAGACAAAACTTTCTCGAATTTATTAAATTTCTGTTATACTAATATGGAAGTACACAATCGCCCTCCCATCACTCGTACACAAGATACATAAACCTAAATGCTACGTTTACATCATTACTAATTGATTATTATAACAAAAATCGCAACTTATTAATTATATCGAAGACATTTCCTAATCAATTTATCAAAAAGAAGAAAAAACAAAGAAATCTCGATTCTTTTCATGTTGAACATAAAAATTTTTTGTACGTTTTCGGCATTTTCCAAACACCGTCTCGAAATGGAATGATTTGGAAAATTTTTGTTTGTATGATGAAATGACTCTATGATGAACCTGAAACAAAAACACAACACCGATTAGAATAAATTTATTAACGAAAAATAAATAAAACATCCTTACCGAAAAAATTAATTGAATCACATAATGAATGTATTTATTTTACATTTCACACCAGAACGTGTTTTTCATCTAGTAGGGCTGGTGCCTTTGGTTGCGTTGTCCACCGCCACCGCCGCCACCGCCTCCTCTCTGTTTACCGCCGCCTTGATAACCGGAACCACCTGAAAAGAAACAGCAGTATAAAAATTTTAATATTATACCAATCCTACTCACTAATCGTCAACTCAAAAGCATTCGTTTTCGCCACCTGCGTTGTGTGTCGCCGATTTTCTCTTCCAAATTTTACGGATAACATTTTTTTGTCACTTCGATATGTTGAGGCGGTTATTATATTTTTTTATATTGGACGCACTCTCGAATATTAATGGTTTTTGTGGAAATGTTCCAAATTCGAACGCAGGTTACGAGACAAAAGTCTACCAATTTTAATTTAATTAAAAAAAGAAAAGAGAAAAAAATAGACTCAATCTTAACTAAACTAAGAGCGATAGAAAAATAAACAAATATTTTGAATTGCAATGCAATTTCGATTTGGAAAAATAAATGCAAAGTAAAAACAAGATTGAGATATTAGGGGATCTAGTCTAGAACATCACCACAAGTACCTTTTCCACGTGCATTAATATTCCGTCCACCACCATATCCTCCATCATAGCCATATCCCTGGTCTGCATTTCAAGTACAAAACAAACTTATTAGCGCTTTTTACTTCACTAATAACAAATTCAACCCTGTTTTTTTCCTATAGGATCAGCTGCATATTTTACTCGTTTAAATAGCGCGGCTACTTTAGTATACACACCTTCCGGATTCGTATCGAATTACAAAAAAAAATAAGCAATTACGAACTCTCCAATACATTGGATCGAGCAGTTGCCAATTTGCTTTAAGTACTTTTTGAAGCAGTAACTAATATTTCTAGAACTACTAAATACATTATTGAAAATTGAAATTTTAACATTTTTTAACGGTACACATCAAGCAAAATGATTTTTTACCGTAAAATATGCATCAATAAGCCATCCAATTTTTTTGTTTGTTAAACTTTTTACAGTTCGGAACGTGTACGCTCAATTCAGAATCATTTTTACATATACAGACTAATTGAGCGTAAAAATTCGATGACTTATTTGAACTGTAAATGAATGAATGTATAAAAATAATTCCAAAATGAGCCTACCAAACACAGGTAGGGTAAAAAAAAAATAAATAGAAAAATTATTGCAAAGGAATGTAGAATTTCAACAATGCTTTATTTCAAGCTCTAGATAATTCACAAAGTATTTCTTCCATACCGTATTATATCATTATAGTATATGAATGTTATTTATATAAGGTCAACGTATATGCATGTATAGGAACAAAATAACTGTTGACTTAGTGTAAAAATGTCCTTAAATAAAATATTTTCCTGATCATAATAAAGCCAGTGTGAATATCACACTGAATATATCTTAGGTATATAAAACTTAGGAAGTTGACTGCAGGAGAGAAGGGAAAAATGTATTGCATTTAATTATAAAAAAAATTAAGTGCATAATGGAAATTTTGATGTGTATTAAAATTAAAAGATAATCAAAAATAAAAATGAATCGATGGAAGAAATATTGTGTTACATAACATACTGTACTTTCTAAAGCGCCAATACAGCCTCTCCTGCAGTCCACCTGCCGATATTTACAACCAATAACATATACACAGAGCTTACAAGGCACCGCGCTCGAGATAAATCGAAACATCAATATACCTCGCACGACGAAACAAATTCGCGTTAAAATCTAATAATTATTTATCCTGTTCGAGTATTTACCATAGTTTCCATAATTGGAGTAGTCGTAACCGCCGTATCCGCCATAGCCGCCACCGTAATAATCATAACCCTGACCGTAACTGTCGTAGCCGTAGCCTTGACTGTATCCGCCATAATTACCATATGCTTGATTCCAATTCTGGTTGCCGTAACCGCCTCGTCCTCCGCGACCGCCCCTCATACCGCCTCGTCCTCGCATCCCCCTGCCGCCCATCATCATCATCGGCCCCATCTGATCCGGCTTCGGCGTGGCTTTCTTTACATCCACCTATTTTTTTTAGATACACAACATCCGCATTAGAATCTCTTTCGAACATCAGATTCGATTGATGCTTATTAACATCGAACTTACTTCTTTATCTTTGATGGTCTGTTTGGGTGTTTTCAACAGTTCGTTAACGACTTGTTCGGCTTCGAATGTGATGAAACAGAATCCTTTCCTTTGATTCTTTTGCTTGTCAAATGGCATTTCGACTTCGATGATCTAGCAACAAAATTAACGTTTGTTAAAAATGCCATCGAGACTACATTTTTTTTTAAATTACCGTTCCGAATTGGGCGAAGTAATTTTTAATGTCGTCGTCGGATAGTTCAGTCGTCAAACCGCCTACGAATATTTTCCCGTGCCTCGCTTTCGCCTTTTTAGGGTCCACTTTTTTACCGTTTATGACATGGTCGCCGGCCGCCACCACTTTATCGATGGCCTCCGTCGTTTTGAATACTATAAAGGCGAAGCCCCTCGACCGGCCGCTATTCGGATCCGTTTTAACATTTATACTTTCGATTTCGCCGTACTGTCCGAAGTGTTCCCGCAATTCCTCTGCAAAAAATAGAGCAAACAGACAATCAATACGAGCTCTTACAATGGTAAAAATAATATTTAGCGATAAATTAAGGTCAGTGTTGGGGTTATCTTCAACTGTACTCAGTAGCAGAACTGACTTAAGTCAATCATCATGAATTTTGATTTTTTTTTAGATTTTTTTATGTAATATAGTAATGAAAATGAACTTACTGTCTGTAGTTTCCCAACTCATGCCGCCAACAAACAATTTCCTGGAAATAAAAAAAGTAGACTTTAATATGCGGACATTCGATTAAAAACATCGTCCTATTTATTTTGTTGCAAAAATATAGTTTCGAATTACTTAAATTACAATTTGACTTTTAAATCTACTAAAATACAAATTGAAAAAATTGGAAACTGCAATCAATGAATTAATCCTAGTTCAATCAAATGGAACGGCAATCTCAAAGTAATCTGAAAGTTAAGCTTTTTTTAAGAGTAAAACAAAAAAAAATTACAAACAAAACAAAAACTAAATTAATAAAATATACGTTTGAATTTGAATTGGATATATATCGTGACTGAATTAGTCCAAAAAACTAATTGTTTCTTTTTGTAATAACGTGGAGTTTACTAAGTGATGGCAGAAGATTTGCCCAAGGATAAATACCATGGGTCCCCGAGTGCTCAGCGTCCATCAGCGACATCCTCATCTTCCACTTAGCAGACTCAGCCACCTGGAGAAAAGGAACCATGTTTAAATTGGATAAACAATATCCCTAAAAGCCTGGCACATCCTACCACCGGTTTACCAATTTTGTTTCAAAAAAAAATATTCAATTCACTCAAACCCAATGAATTAATTTTCTTTCTATGATACATTACTGTTCAAATTCAATTCCCCTAAAAAGGCAAGTCTCTTAAAATGCTGAAAATCAAAACGTTCCAAATTAAAATCGAAAAAAAGCTGAACGGTATTTGAATTAACGCGCCAAAAATAAGCGTCATCCGCCATTTTCTTCGAGAAATTCGAGTTGACCTGATCTTCGCAAAATTTGTCGAATTATCGCAAATCAATATCTACAGTAGAAAAATACATTGAAATTTTTATTGCTTACATACTAAATACACATATTAAACCTTTTAAAATTACAAAACTTACTAGAATTCAAAGATGAATACAGATTATATTTTCATCATAAATAAAGGTAATCCCAATTTGATCTACTAGAGATGAAAAAAATACAAACAACCTTTGTGCGATAAATAGCTAATGAAAATCATTATTATTTATCAACGTTTATTTACTAATTAACGAATAAAAACTCACCTATCGTCGTCTCGGCCGGGCGTAACTGCGCTACCGCTATCCATCGGCGGGGCATCTCCTGAACCGTTTTGTTGCACTTCGGCGGACACGTCTTTCGAAAAGTCTTCTCCGTTCTCCATCGGAACAGCTTGTGTTGCCATTATTTACAAACTAAAATAAATAACTTAGCGCTTATATACTACAAGAACCACGCGGCACGTCCTTCGTTCGCAATCACTCGTCGGAGAGAAGAACCAGCTCGACAAGAACAAGGAGAAGGACGTATTGGTGACGGTGACGCCGCCGGGCGTAGGAAAATCGATTAAATTTTACCCCACTCTCGCTAGTCCACCAATAGCAGCCGGAGTTTGGTAGTGGTTACTACTTTTTCATGCGCCAACACAAACAACCGGCTTTCTATTAAATGATAACAGACTTACGTCGTTAAATTATTCCATTAGTGGAAAGGAGTAAGGTATATGCGCGTTAGTCGAATATAATAAGTCGGTAAAGAAGATTTCTGTTTTACCGACTAAAATTTAATTTATGTTTATGCCGTTTAGTAGAGGTGGGACTTTCTTTTTAAATGTAACATGTAGTTATAATAAATCACGTTGATTCTTGTTACATTATAAAATTTCAGGAATAACAGCCACCTCTATATTTCTCTCCTTCATAATTTGAATTTTTATTTCTACATGTCAGATTTATAGCGTTTTTAATTTTAATTTTTGTTTGATTGCTCAAAATTTGGTCGAAATGCCTCATTATAAGGTAAAATGGCACCGAACGTAGCAAATATTCCACTAAAAATTTAAATTCGCAGGAATTAAAATTGGGCGACGTATGGCGCACCTGCAACAAAATAAGAGCGGCGATTTTTCGCATGGGAATCAATTTGTTCGACTACTTTTCCCGATTAGATCCCCATAATAATTGCTTGATATCAGGTAGATCGATTTAATATTCTTAGGGATATATTTAATCGATGAAATTTCTTTAGAGTCCCAATTTATTTCCGTTATAAACGGCCAACTGAGAGCCATTATCGGCCTATCGGAACAAGAAGTCGGCGAGCTCGCCGATTATTTTAGGGTGCCCGATGGAAGAATTTACTACACCCAATTGTGCGACGTTATTCACAACAGCGGTGAGTATGTTAGGTAGTAATTTAACGAAGAAAATTGGATTTTTTTGGGGGAATTTTCAGTGCCCCAGTTCAGCCAAAATGCCCCTTTAATCACCGGCTTGGAATGGGAGGATCCCTTGCACACTAACAGATTGAGCGTGAGCGAAGAGCGGCGTATAAGCATTCTGCTTACGAAAATCGCCACTTTGGTTAATTTCAGGAAGATCATTTTGCGGCCATATTTCCAAGATTACGAATTGGTAAATTTGACATTTGACATTCGACGTTGACAGACCGAATTGCGATAATTTGGCAACCCGTATTACACCATTTTAGGTTTCGAAAAATAATGGAACGATTTCTATCGCGCATTTTGCGCGAATACTGGCCTATTTGGAAATCCTCCTTTCCGCCGACGATTTTAATTTGCTAGTAAAGAAATTCATTAAAGATAGCTACACCGTGAATTACGTGGGATTCGTATTGTCCATTGATGAAATCATAAACTACCTCAATTCGCATGGCATTATTGATTTGTGCGGGGTAATTATTCGAAGAAAAACTCCACAACATAATAAAGTATACAATTACGGACAATAAATATTTCAGGATTTAATGGATCTATTCCCCGGAAAGGTAATTACGACGGAATTACCGAAATTACCCCGACCCGAAATAGGTAAATTCGAATGCACCAAAACCTTTTCATAATTTCATCGTAAATGCTTTTCAGGTAAAATCATGGCCGCCCAATTGTTCGGCAAACAAAACGTTTTTCATCCGGCTTTGAAGGAACCCAAAAACATCGAACACATCTTAACCACTATTTCTAATCTACAAGATCACGTTTTGAAGAACCGATTGAGAGTAGCGGAGTTTTTTAGAGTTAGTTGAAAACGTTTATTAAGTATCCGAATAGGTGAAGACCGGCAGTTGACAAAACCGGGCAACTCTTCTAATTTGCTGGCCTTGTCCTATTCAGGCACTTAGAGAGAATTTGGAAATGTTATGAGTTATGGGCGTTTTTTTAGGATTTCGACGTATTTAAATGCGGTAGAATAACAGTGGCGCAATTCATAAGAGGTCTAGATGCGCTAGTTTTATGTGGCAGGCAAAGGTTTTTCCTATCCCTGCCGGACGTTGAAGCGATTGTAAATCAATACAGAGATCCGATGGATTTCAGCAGAGTGTGCTGGAGAACCTTCGAAGACGATATAGAGCACGTTTTCACCGTTAAAGTAATGCGTATTTGTCGGTGAAATTTTGCAAATTTATTAGATTTCTTTAGGAATTAGAAAAGTACCCGAACGTTGTCGTGGAATCCCCGCCGCAAAACGTTAAAGAACTACCACCGTTGGGTGGAAAAAACTGGCAAAAAGTCAATACGAAAAGCAGAGATTTGTGCGAAGAAGCCGTACAGAAAGTGAAGCACAAGATAACCCACCGAAGGATTTTATTGAAGCCTGTTTTCAGGGACTTCGATAAGTATGCAACAATTACTTAACAGAGTTAAGTGTGTACGAAACATTTTAATTCTAGATTTAACAACGGCCATATCAGCAGAGCCCAAATGCGACAAGCGTTCGATTCGAACGCGATATTCCTCTCGGACGAAGAAATAGCAGCGCTAGAAGATAGATACAACAACGACGTGGGTTTCAACTACTTCTGGTTCCTCAAAGACGTGGAATTCGCCCAACAGGAACCTCTGGTAAGATCTAGCGAAATCTCCAGCGAAGGTTTTGACGAAATTTCTTCATGCAGTACAAACAATTCAACGAAGATTCGGTGAAATTGAGCGGCGACAAGCCGAGGAAACCGCCGACGAGGCAAGAGAAAGACATCGTCGTGATAATGGCGAAGATCAAGCGCAAAGTGGTCGGCGAGAGGATCCGCGTGGTGGAATTCATGAGAGGCTTCGATAAAATGAACTCGCAATTCATCACGAAAAACGAATTCATCCGAGGCCTGTCGAACTGTCGGTTCACTTTGAGCGAAAACGAAGTCGATACCATTTGCGAAGTGTAAAGTTTCATCGTCCGCGACCCTCTTAGTTGTGTTTGTACGCTTTTATTTGTAGATTCGGGTCGCCGTTGCGACCGCACTGCGTGGATTACAAGCGTTTCTGCGACGCCGTCGAAGAGTCGTTTACGCAATTGTGCTTGGAACGGGCGCCTTTGGTCGTTCCCATTCAGCACATACCGACCAAAGATTGCGAAAAGAACTTCCTGAACTTCGACGAGCGAATCCGCCTGTCCGTGGCCATGCAGAAACTCGCCACCAAACCCGATCTACAGATGAATCTCATGTCCCTGTTACAAGTACGATATTACCCCAGTATTCAGATACTGAAATTCCGCATACAACGTTTTTTTTTACTTGAAAGCTGCGCTAATCCTACGCAGGAATTCCACTTTATTCTACTCTATTGTTACTCTACGATAAATTACGATTTGTTTCGCATTGTACATGAGTAAGTAAGACTTTAAGATGCGTTCGATGATACATAAACAGAATCTGGTAATTGACAATAATGACATTTCGTATGACAGAAGTTTAATAGAGGTGGGAATCGATTTTTCGGTATAGAGGTGCAGTAACGACTGTTACTAAATAATCGTTATTTTTGAAATATCGTTCTCCTCGTTATTCTACTCGAAATTACTTTAATATCTATCCATTTCACAAGTTTTCACACAAGTTTAATGAAAATAACCCCAAAAATTGATTATTTTGGTTGGGAATTCTGGTTCGCCGGATTTTGGTGGACGCTTTTTTTGTATAAATTTGTTCATTTCTAGGATTTCGACAAGGCCAAAATGGGCGCAGTATCGCCAGCCAACTTTTTGAAGGCCCTAAACAACAGAGGCATGGACAAATTGATATCCAGAAACGAATTCGACATCATATGCAAATGCTTCGGATTCGAGAAAGGCTGGAAGAAAGAGGTCGATTACAAGGCGTTTATGAAGGCACTAGACATACTGCACGCCACCGAAAAGTACAATCCCTTCTAGGTTGTTACTCGAATAAACAAAAAAAAAAACAACAAATTTTTCACAGTGCGATTTAATACACCATTTGATTCCTTACAATTTAAGCTTGTCGACGAACTTCCTGAAGTCCTGCAGGGGTTTCTCGTTGGCCTCGACGTAGCCGGGCGCGGTGGCCTTCACCTTGCTAAACCATCTGACCACGTTGCCGTGGGCGCTCAGATCGATCTTGGCCAGTTCGATCGTCGACACGCTCGACACGATGGCGAGATCGGCCAGCGTGAGGGAATCCCCGGCCACGTATTCGTTGTTGCCGATGAAGCCGTCGAGGAAGGCCAAGGCGGCTTGGACGGCCTTCAGCTTCTCCGGATCGGCCGGAGCGTTGGCGAAAGCCATGGGGTACTGATGCGTGATTAGAGTAAATTTCGGGGCGTTTGAGCTGTTGGGGTACTTACGAAGTAATCGCCGAAGGATTTGTACAAGGTTCCCATGTCGAAGTACAAGCGTTGATCGACGACGGCGCGCTTCTTGGGGTCCTTGGGGTAGAGGGTGTCGTTGTTGGCGTATTGATTGGCCAAGTAGGTCATGATGGCTCTGCTTTCCCATAGAACGAAGCCGTTGTCGTCGATTGTGGGGACCGTGTGTTGGGGATTGAGCTGTTTTTTTAAAAAGGAAGCGAGAATTAATAGGCTCGTTAAATTGCATCCAATGATGCGGTTTCCTTCGGTCGTCAGGTCGTATAAAAATTATTTTTAAATAATAATCAGTAAGTACAAATGTGTTGTGTAAGATAAGGTATCTTTTACGCAATGGAATGGAAACGAAATCAACGTTGCGTTTCCATGCAGAGTCACGATGATAATTACATTCCTATCAGAAACTTTAAATATAGGTATATAAAAAAAAACATTCTTTTCAAAATCATTAAAATTATTACTCAACAAACAAAAGATACGAGTGTTTCATTTCGTAATATTCCTACCGATGTATGTTTAAATTACTGTAACAATAGGCTGCAGGGCAATAATTCTTGCGAGTTAAGAATTTCAAGGGCGAATTAAAAATAAACGGTTTGGTACTTACTTTGATGTATTCAGGCGAGAGATGTTCCCCTTTCATTAAATCGGTCAATTTGAGGTTCAACTCGACCCCGAGGGCCTTAGCGGTGAGCAGAACGTTCCTGCAGGGCGCACTGCCGGGGACGTAGTAGAAATCGATCGGTGCCATCTTTTTCGATATTCCTGTAAATAATTAATAAAGCTCGATCAAACCACAATTTACTCAGAGACGATCGATTTGTTTGACACCGAAAAAAAAACTAGCCAACAAGTAATTGAATACCCACTGTACTTACACGAAGCGACCTTCACTAACGCCGCGAATAACGCGATTAAAACATTAGAACGTCCTATATAGCGTGTATATAAGGAGAAATCGAATAAAAAAACGCTCAGCTTACCTGGTTTAGAAAGGATATTCGCTGTGGTTCTAGATCGACGAGGAGGTAGGAAGTGGGCTGGGTCGGGTCGCGCCGGCCGGTTTTATTTTACTTCTACTTCTATCAATTCAATCAACACACACACACACAACCACAACAACACACTCGCACAAGGCTGTTTAAATATACATGATGTTATGTTATAGTCTGTCCAGATGTCGGGCGGGAAGCTTCATTAGCACGCTTGTTATAGTGGTTACAATTTTAATTCTTTTTTGGGACTATGGGTTATCATAAAAATATCTGGAGTAATAAGAAAATTATGATAGAAAAGTATTTTTTTTCTAAAATTGTAACACCCCCTGTAGCTCGAAAACTAAGAGGTTTAAGACATAGTATATTGATATATAGTTTCCCAACATATCGGTTGAAAAGGGACCTGAAGATGAAGATTTATAAGGAAATGACCCTTTATTAGCATGCTTATTAAATCATTCAAATTACACAATTTTTTTGGACCAAGAGAGCTCTTTTTGTAGGCATATAGTAGACTTTTTGTAGACTATACCTACAAGAAACAACGTTGGAGGGAAATATCAGAATTACCTACATGACCTCATGCATGTTAGAGCGATCTGGCATTCCCAGAACAATAATAAATCCAATAAAAAATTGATAACTAAATTATTAAGTTAACCCATTTTTCTCGAAATATTGTCAGAAAATTAGTTGGTCACGGCCGGCATGCGATTTCGTGCTTCCCGGATTCCTCTCATTAACAATTCACCGCGACATTTCACCTTTCACCACAACCGTAGAAAACCCAGTAGAAGGTCTACCATTCGAGAGGTACGCGTCCACCTGCACAAATGTGAAAAATTAATATTTCAACGCAATTACGACGGATTAAGTATATTCCTATCGAAAAATATGTGCGTGGAGCCGACGGGCCGGGCAAATGCGGTCATTTTAGAATGGTTTCGAAGCGGATCGGAGCCCTTTTGCTCGTCCTGGCGCTCTGCGATCCTGTGAAAAATGAAACATTCCCGTCGCTGCTCACCACCAACGCCTCCATAGGTTGTCCCGCTATATTCAAATCGATCTACCTCACCGGATTCGATTAAGAGCCTGTTTCGTTTTCAGCTGTAGTCGTCGACAGGAAGTTCCTCGTCGAAGACTACGAAGACGCCCGCAACGAAATCGAAGAGTACCTCGTTTACGCCAAAAGGGAGATTCTAAAGCACGGCGGCGTGAACGTTTATCCCTATTCTTGGACTTCTATCAACGTTAGGAAAGGTGAGATTGTGATAAGATGAGTGAACTTTCACAAGTTTCTGATTTCCGATAGATTTGACGGCGATTTTTTCCATAACAAGCTGCTATGACACCTGGAAACTCTTTCGATTGACCCAAAAAGAAGAACTAGTGCACTTGGCCATTACAGGTGTATCCAATTAATTTTAATTACCACAATTTCTTATACACTTCTTATAATTTTAGAATCAGATTGTCCACGATTACCTTCCGACACTGCCATAACGATACCTCTGGTAGACAAAGGGCAAGAATTGCCCCAAATGCTTCTGGACCTTCGAAGCGAAGGTATTTACAATTGGAAGACTTTGGTGATCATTTACGATGCTACGCTCGGTAAGAAAATCGAATTTATACAGCTCGTTCCTCTCTTCTACTCCATCTAGATACACACTGTATAACAATTTTTTTTTCGATTAGACGAAGACATGGTTACTCGAGTAATAAAAGCAGTTACGCAACGTAAATACGGCGATGTAAAAGCGACGGGAATAACTCTAATGAAACTGGAACCTAATCTATCCAGAACGGAGCTCAGGGATTTCCTATCGACCATCAATCCCAAAGTGTTGGGCAACAATTACATGTGCATCGTCAGTTACCATTTAGGTACTGGTTAAATTTTATTAAAAGGTGCTATTTAAATCGTAAATTTCCAGCTGGCAATATCATGGAGTACGCGAAAACCCTCCAACTAACCAGCACCATCAACCAATGGATGTACGTGATATCCGATACGAACGACAATTTCAAAGACATCGAGGCCTTCGAAAGCCAATTGAAAGAAGGAGATAACATCGCTTTTTTGTACAATTCCACGTTCAAATCCAGCAATTGCAAAGCACGTATTTACCAACATACTTCTTGCTTACCAACAACCTTCATTTCCCTTTTACCTGGTTTAAGGAAGGGCGAAAGTGTCACATCGAAGAACTCCTGCAGGCCTTCGCCAGGGCCTTGGATCAGGCCATTCAAGACGAATACGAAACGGCGAATCAAGTCTCCGAGGAGGAATGGGAGGCCATCCGGCCCACCAAACCCGAACGAAGAGATTTCCTCCTAAAAAACATGAACGTAAGTCCACTAACTCCTGTTGATAGGCAACCAACAATACGCTTGTTTCCAGCATTACCTGTTCAAAAACGGAGCGTGCGACAACTGCACGAATTGGGCGATGAAAACGGGCGAGACGTGGGGCGTGGAGTACGACACGTCGGACCAAAGGGCCGAGCCCAAGGTGGTACCGGTGGGTTCGTGGAGGCCCGGCGACGGTCCCGTCATGACCGACGAGCTGTTCTTGCACACGGCGCACGGTTTTAGGGGCAAATTGTTGCCCATGATTACGTTTCACGTGAGTTTATAGTCCGTTCGTTAGCTGGAGGTACTCATAAAACGTTTAGGGGGGAATTTGTTATAAGTTGAATGCCTGAGAAGTTAAATGCCCAGTTGCGCCGAAGCATCCTGTGGTGAATTCCTATCCAAAAGTCAGGCCTAATCTCTTTATTTATCAGACCTTATTTATTTGTTGGATTTACTGCTTCAAGAAGGTGGCGAACGGAGTATAATAATCCAATGTTTGAAGAGTCTACCATTGGAGATTTCTCGTGTTTTTTGCAGAATCCTCCTTGGCAAATTTTGAAATTCAACTCGTCGGGCGAGGTGATCGAATCCAGCGGTTTGATTTTGGACATCGTTAAAGAATTATCAAGAAATTTAAATTTTACGTTTCGATTGGAAACCCTCAACAAAACGAGTTTTAATTCGGGTAATTATATCATCCACATACAGGGTGACCCAGGGTCGCGTTAAAGTCCCATAACTTTTTACCTAATTGAGATATCGACTTGATTTTTTTTTCAAAAGGTAGGTACAATAATACTGCGTATTATTAAAATAGTTTCGTCTATATACAGGGTGGCTTAGTATTAGAAATTCACTAAAGTTACCTTTTTTTTAATGGAACCCCCTGTATATTATAACATTTTTGAATTCTTTAGTGAATTTTAGTGTGACTTTATGTACCATACATTGTACCTAAAACCAATCGTTTAGTGGTAATTCGACATTTTAGAAAAAAGTAGAGGTTTGAAAAAAAAATGAATATTGCCGCTTTTGTAAAACTTAGAAGGCCGTGACTCTGGGTTATTAGTAAACATGAAATGTACTACTGTGTGACAGGGATTCAGAATTGAATACTGTTTGTGTTCTTAGATATCGATACGCCAATTTACAAAATTTCAATTAAAGGTAACTTGATTTTTTTAAATGAAACTACCTACTTTTTTGTACACCATCTTGTAGGAAATTTTATTGCCTTTCTAACGATATAATATTGTCAATATTTTTACCTGCTAGTTTTCTCTTAATTCCGGAATTTCTTATAATTCGCGGTAATTTAGTAGTATTCGCGGTAGTTAGCTGTTGTTGGCCTAACACTATAGACATTGTCCTTAACAAATCCCCATAGGAAAAAGTCAATTGGTGTCAAATCGCGGGAACGGGCAGGCCAACAACAGCTAACGACATGAAGATCCGGATAAGAGACGCTTTTCGATCAATTGATTAAAACATGCTAACGCGCTTTAAAAATTAGTTTTTAAGAAGACGTAATCGAACATAATAGCAATATCTTTGAGCATCTACTGTAAGAAAAATTATTGTGCTATCAAAAAAAACTGTTCTTTACATTATTCCTTGTACATTATCATTATCTCCCTATAATCAAATAAATTGTAGTTGATTGATTGATCAGTATACTTTTTTTATAACTCACTATCTTTTATAAAATTTTTGTTTTATTTTAATTTAATTTACTATATTGAGCCACTTTGAACAGTACTATTGAAAATTGAAAATTACCGCGAATTATAAGAAATTCCGGAATTAAGAGAAAACTAGCAGGTAAAAATATTGACAATGTTATATCGTTAGAAAGGCAATAAAATTTCCTACAAGATGGTGTACAAAAAAGTAGGTAGTTTCATTTAAAAAAATCAAGTTACCTTTAATTGAAATTTTGTAAATTTGCTTATCGATATCTAAGAACACAAACAGTATTCAATTCTGAATCCATGTCACACAGTAGTACATTTCATGTTTACTAATAACCCAGAGTCACGACCTCCTAAGTTTTACAAAAGCGGCAATATTCATTTTTTTTCAAACCTCTACTTTTTTCGAAAATGTCGAATTACCACTAAACGATTGGTTTTAGGTACAATGTATGGTACACAAAGTCACACTAAAATTCACTAAAGAATTCAAAAATGTTATAATATACAGGGGGTTCCATTAAAAAAAAGGTAACTTTAGTGAATTTCTAATACTAAGCCACCCTGTGTATAGACGAAACTATTTTAATAATACGCAGTATTATTGTACCTACCTTTTGAAAAAAAAATCAAGTCGATATCTCAATTAGATAAAAAGTTATGGGACTTTAACGCGACCCTGGGTCACCCTGTATGTAGGTACTTTATCTAATTAATTCGATTATCGTAGGTACTTCGAACAGTACCTCTTTCGACGTCGACAGCGACTTTACCAATCAAGTACCGAAAGCTCTGATCGATATGATCAAGAACAAAACGGTCGCTTTGGGCGCTTGCGCTGTTACTGTCACCGAAGATTTGGAAAAAGTGGTGAATTTTACAGTACCCATCACCGTCCTCAGCTACACTTTCTTGGTGGCCAGGCCCAAAGAACTAAGCAGAGCTTTACTCTTTATTTCTCCATTTACAATGGACGTAAGTCTATCATACTGATTGTACCTCAGCAGATGTAGCTTGGCATTTTCTCAAGTATTCCAATTGCCAAGCTACATTAGATGAGGTAGGTATATAGACAAATTTGTAAGCAATACGAAGAAGCAATATAAAGAAAGAGTGTCAATGCTTTCTCATTCTAACTACTGTTATTTTAATAATCCCTTTTTGTTCAACTCATAGTATTGACCATATTGCAAACAAATTTGCATTTATCTGCATATGATTGTTTCCAGACCTGGTTGTGCCTAGCCGCAGCTATAGTTTCGATGGGTCCTTTATTATATTTCATCCATCGCCATAGTCCTGTGTACGAATACAAGGGATACCCGATGAAAGGCGGACTGGCCTCCATACAGAATTGCATTTGGTACATGTACGGAGCTCTCCTACAGCAAGGTACGATAAAACTACATTTTTCATACACCCTGTACTTTTCTTCAACGGTAATCGTTGGTGATTCGAAGGCGGAATGCACCTTCCTTACGCGGACAGCGCCAGAATCCTCGTAGGCGGCTGGTGGCTGGTCGTGTTGGTAATGTCGACGACTTATTGCGGAAACCTCGTAGCTTTTCTGACGTTCCCTAAGGTCGATATTCCCATAACGACTTTGGACGAGCTCATCGCTCACAAGGACACCGTCAGTTGGAGCTTCAGAGAAGGGAGTTTCCTCGAAAAAGAATTGGCCGTAAGCGCTCCAGTTTTTTTTTTGTATATAAAGTTGAAATCGTTTATATTTCGCGTAGATTTCGAACGAGCCTCGATACAAAACCATTTTGGAGAGACGGCTGAAGCACACCTCTACAGATAACGAAGGCCTTATCAGGAGCATGGTGGAAGGCAAACACGTTTACATCGATTGGAAACAGAAATTGACCTTTATTATGAAACGGCAATTTTTGAAAACCGACAGATGCGATTTCGTATTGGGTAAAACATGTTAATGGGCATTTCAAATTTTAAAATGCGTTATACTCCGTTCGACATCATGCGATAGTGCTAAAACCTTCTTAAGTAGATACTATTGAATTAATAGTTTGATAAGTAACTGTTAATGCTGGTATCTCAAAAAATAATCCACCCCTTTAGTGCAATTGACCCGAATTCTGGGAGAAACTTACCATTTACAATCAATATTAATAAATAATCTTTTAAATCGAAACCACACGAAAGTTCAGTGAATAGACTATAATTACCTTTATGGAAATCAATCGAAGCGATGTTTTATTTTATTGATAATAATTTTTAATTTCATTGTATTTTAGTACCAATTTTTATTATCCTTGAAGCCCAACTGCACTATTCAGCTCACTTTATCTGGTAATAAAAAAGGTCGCCTATATTTATACACTCTGTATATAGAGTGGTACAACTAAAGTAAAATAAACACTACTATTACACAATGGTAAAAACATAAAAGTTTTGGAGTTTAACAATTTTTGTAGTCATTCTTTTGCACACAAAAATAGCCATCACTGTTATCTCCTGATAGCGAACGGAGTATAACAGAAATAGTGCCCAGTTGTGAACGGACTATAACCCGTTAAACTTGCGTTTGGTCCTCTTAAAATAAGAAACTCCCAACTTTAACACCAACTTTCAGTAACTTTTGTAACTATTTTAAGGACTGGAAGAATTTTTCGCTGAAAAACTAGCCCTAATGATATCGCCCGATTCGCCATATTTGCCGAAAATAAACGACGAGTAAGTACTATATTTAAATGCAAGAGTGTTTGTTGCAATGAATCGAACCGAAACGAAAGCAGATAACTTTTCGTACAACAGCACAGTATCTTATCAACCATTGGCGTACGCTTGAATTCGTCTTGCAGGATAAAAAAATTGCACCAAGTGGGCCTGATCCAGAAATGGCTGCAGGACTACCTGCCCAAGCGGGACAGGTGCTGGAAGAACAGGCATTTGATCGAGGTGAAAAACCACACGGTGAATTTGGACGACATGCAGGGCAGCTTCTTCGTTCTATTCCTGGGCTTCGTTCTATCGCTGGTGTGGTTGTTGCTCGAAAAATTGTGGCACGGTCAATTCTCCAAACGCAACAAACCCGCCATACAACCGTTCAACCATTAATCGAGGCTTCGTGGAACAATAAAGACGGCTAAATAGTATAAAAGTATTTTAATAAAACGTATAAAAATGATACATTTAACAGTGATGTAAACTGGCGAAATGGTCTTTGTTCTTGAACGTCGATCCCCAAGATCCAGTGTTGCCCTCATCCGGTTTATTACGCGCGGTTTTGACCTGTTTCGGGGACATTTTCTTCTCTTCCACGCCGCTGAAATCGAAAACAAAACGATAGAATTCGATGCAAATGCACCACGAAACCCGCATAATTACCTCTGGTTCATCCAACTATCGTTGTTGACCTTCTTCGACGACGATATTATGGTTACTACCATGATGCTGCAATATTACAATATATTTTTCGAGATGTAAAATGTATCTACGGTACGTGGTGTAGCCTCGAGAGTACTTGGAGTTCCTTGTGGTTGCCGGAGTTGCCGATTCTGCTGCCTTTCCTCGTGCCCAAGTTTTTCTCCACCAAACTGAAACATTTCCAATTCGCACGGCTCTCCAAACAAAACCTCCCCGAAACCACTCACCTTATGACTTGCTGTTGGTGTCTCGAATTCAAAAGGTATTCGAAAATTTTCATTGACACATATATCTCGCAATCGCCGCGCTTATCGAAATTAAATGGTACTCTTGGAGCTCTGCGGAGTAAACAATGAATGGCTCGTCGATTTTACTGGAGCTTTTATACCTTATCGAGTTCACATTTTTCGACCGTGCGATCTCTTTCGAGCGCTTTAGGGATTTTGTGCAAGGCGATAAACCCGCGACCCCGTCGTAATGATCGCGATACGAGGATTAATAAACATTCAATGTAATTGTTAATTGCGTATTGGAAGAGTGTGTGGATTTTTTTGTCGTAAAGGGTTGTGTAATTGTTTGAATAGTAATTGTAAATTTCCATGTTGGACTCGAAGATGATGATTTTGTCGATGGAAGTTGGGGTGGGAATTAATTTTAGATGTAAAATTGAACGAAATATTTGTTTATGTAAGGGTTTTCCCGTCAAAATAACAACATTTTTTGTTTCTTCTGGGTCACCGATTACGCCGCACTCTTTTGGGAAATTGAGGTTATCGAATATTATTTGTGATTTCGAATTCATGTATTGTAAATAATTCGAATACCGAAGGATATTCCTATTGAGAAATTACGCTGAAAGCCCCGTTACCCTTCAAATTTACTAAACATTACCCAACTATACCTCATCGAATGTAGCTTGCCAGTGGAAAATTAGATTAGATGCACAAACGCGACAAAGAATCAATCAAGCTACCTTCGACGAGATACAAACATATCTCGTAAACAGGACCGAATGATAACAAAAAAAAATCGTTCAGAATCCCCGCGCGCTCGACTCTATATAGGTAAATAGGAAGCATTACATCAGGGTCGCATTAATCAGATTATCGCCTTGTATCCTCTAACGGTACACACACACACACATCGCGAAATTGTCCGCATTCGGAGGAGCCCCAGTCGCCTGCCAAGAGTCCTCGACCAAGGTTATTAAACCTTTTCAACGGACGCATCTCTTGGGCAAGTTTACCGCTTCGCCTACCTGTCGAGGTGCGCTCGATGGCGAGTGTACAGCGAGAAATGGCCGCGAATCGGACCGATTTACCTGCTCGATTCGGTGTTGTTCGTCCGGAGTTTGGTGCGAATTAATTCGAATCGTGAGCCGTAAGTATTAACGTGGTTGTTGTAGACGTTACGGCGTAATTAAAGTGAAAATTTTAATGCGTTGTTTGTCGGGTTTTCTTGGGATTGTATTGTGTTTATAGCGAAGCGATGTAGACGGAGCAGGTAGATTTGACTCGGTAGGAAGTGTCTTTAAAGTTGGATACTCACTTGAATACATATTTAAGAAATAAAACAGCTGTACTAGATACATCTAGACGTTCCAAATATCGTGCCAAAAAGTTAACTTTCTATACTCCACTTCCTAGTAATATTAATAACCGTGCAACGATTTAAAATTCGAGTTATTTGTGTCTAATTATTGTTTTATTTTAATGGTATTTGCGATAAGCGAAGTCGGTTCTTAAATGTTTTAGTTGCCGTTTGTATCGATTTAACTGCGCTTTTATTTAATTGAAAATATCATAAACAATGCGGTGTTTTTTTATTATAGTAGCCGAAACAGCGGCGTTTTACCTTCGGTTAAAGTTGGGAGAAAGTCGTTGGTAAATTGAAAAGAGTAAAATATGAAGGAAAATTTGTGGAATAAGTATAAATTTTATGTTGGAAATAAGTGTTTATAGTAAAATATTCGGTACTTTACTCATCAAGTGTGTATCATCCAAATCTTGTCATTTTGTCATAGCACAATTGTTAATTCTACCAACTTTTTAACCACAAAAATTTCTATGACCCATATCATTTAAGTTGGTATTTGTAGCAAAATACTCTGTACTTTACTCAAGTGTTCAATATGACATGATCTAGTATTAAGAGATATAATCGCCAATTCTATCAACTTTATTTATGACCACGGTCCTATATTTCTGGCATCTCCCTAGGCTTATGCATTAGATAATGTGTCCCGTTATTTGAGGACTTTTTAAGCTTCACTTTTTCGATCGGAGGACCAACTTATCTCAGCCAATCAGCATCGCGCTATTTATAAATCGCTGTTGCGTGAAATGACAGTTCGAGCTGTCAAAACTTCAAAATTATTTTTTGACATTTCGAGTAGAAAATGCAGAAATACATTAACTGAAGAAACGTGAGGTATTATGTTAAGAACAAAATCATCGCTGATTTAAGTATATTTTTATATTTTGTATCTATTTTTAGTTTGAATAAAACCTATCTTAATTCTAATTCTACATAATTCGCACTCAAAAAACCGGGGTCCTTTACAACATCGCCTCATAGCGGCCGTTTTAGGAACCCTGTTTTATCCTCAAATAACGGGACTCTTGTCTATGACCTATTTGAAAATTGGTACTGTCAATGCCTGAAACCGGTAAAAATATACCAACTTAAGAAACTAAAAATCGCCATTTTTTAGAGTCTAGTCGATACTTAACTCGAGCATGCAACCTGTACAAACAAGCCCTACGCAGTTGCCTCATCGGCAGAAGGCGCAATTAAAATAAATACGCCGCTCGCGCGTTCGGATAAGAACCTTTTTAAAAATAGAAATCCGGACTGGTCGGAGCTAATTCGATCTAAAACTACACCTATAATATCCCTGCCTGTTCACGTATAGCATCGCGTCTAAATCGACCGTTTCGCGTCGTTCGTTATGTTCGAATGTCTATTAAAAAATCGTGCCCGACTCGTCGCGTAATTAAGAGTGCAAAATTAATCGCACTAAAGCCAGTCTCCCTGCGAAAGGTACGCAAGATGCGCGTTACCGGCTCGACATGTTCGCGTTGTGCCTGATCTACGCTCGTTTCCACGTAAGTTTTATCCGAAGAAAAGTTTATGTTTGGCTGAAAAACCGACCAGAAGTAGGTCGATTCCGAAGGAAGATATAGTCCATTCACTGAGGGTTTCCGATTTTATCTCTAATTAATTTGACCAGTTTATATTTAGCCAGAAGAAACAGGTAAAGTTTACTGTGAATTTTAATCCGAAACCCGCGTAAATTCAGCGAATGGACTATAAATAAATTAACACGAGTATTTGATTGATCGTTCCGTGGTTGTTTTTTGGGATTTTGAAACAGCTAAATTGGTGTAAAAATTGCACATTTATTAGAAAACTCAAAGCACCAACAACAGTCATATTTAATTAAACATAAGTGTTGTTTACATTTCTATTTCATTATTTTCTTTATCTCTCTGTATAGCGCAAATAAAATCGCGTCGGTGGATGAGATAATACATCAATTTACGAATGAATTAAACGAAATAAAAAAAAAACAATGCAATTAATCGGAGCCTATTCAACGTTGCTTTGCAACAATTTCCCGGTATTGTTCAAGGTGCGTTACCTTGCTAAAATGCAACGATAAATGCCAGCAATTTACCGGTAATTTTTGTCCAATAACACTTATAGAGGAAGCCGTATCTGAATTGAATACAACATCCTCATCCTGTACCAACTCAATTTCCTTTTCGACCCGGCAGTGGCTAACCGACCGATCGCGAGTTACTATAAAATAGTACGTGCGTATAAGCGGTTATAGTAGTTTGGTGATTAATATTTAAGTACCTTTAATTGTCGTTTTACGTGCAAATTACTTTGTATTAAAGTGGAGTTTATGTTCCCGACAGGCGGGTTATTATACACAACCGTTTTATAATTTCGTAGAATGAAATTGTTCTACTATATTATGTTTATTCTAATATACTCGGTAGATAATTCTCTTCGTTTTATTTAGTGAGTGTTTTCTATGTATGAGTAATTGTTGGTTTAATAAATCAAGGTATGTTTTTCATGAGTAATTGCGCGAATTCATAGTAGATTATTCATAGATTCTTAATTAATAAATTCGCCTTACTTTAAGGCAATTTAACGACGCGTTAAACAGGAAATTCATACACACGCATTGATCGATTAAAAAAATTGTTCGTATATTAATCACGCATTAACAGTTATCACAACTTGTAGAATTCTAATATTCAATTGGAGTTATTACAAAAGGATATGTGGATAAAAGTTGCTCTCATCCTACGTGTATTTTATTGTTCGCAAACTTTAATGGGAGTGTATAACTTTGGTCCTTGAAATTAAAAATACATCATGTTCATTATACATTTGAAACTTAATTACTTCGTGTTTATAATTAGAGGCAATTTCATGACTGAAGTGTAGTAATTACACAATTTTACTCGACTCGATTTTTCCATAAGGTAACTAATATTTCAGTTTATAAAATAACATTACAATCCATTATTTTTAAATAAATTACAGATATAGATTTTGTATAATTAATGTCATAATTACTATTATCAAGACAGAATTCGTTGTAACTACTATTAATATTTCATTCAAATTAGGTAATAAGGGTGATATTATTTTTGTGAAAACTTATAAAATACTTAATTTTTCATATCCTTGTGCTGGTGATTCGAAATTCCCGCTAAATCATCTATTCCTACGCTATAAAAATTTACAAATATCAGTCAATATTTGTCAGAAAAAAAACAAATTATACATCTACATTATCTCCACCATAACTCGTCTATGACGTATTAAAAAGGCATACAATTGCAGCGTTGCCACATCGGCGATTTTCTACCTAAAAATCCTAAACAAAACTACTGAAATCCCTTGAGATGTCGCACGGCGGTCTCGTAACTGGGCAAACCGGTTTCGTCCTGTTTGCTCGTCGAATCCTCCTCATCGCGGCTCTTGCTCGATTTCGGCGCCACCACGACCTCGTACGCCGGCGGGGGCCCCGGAGTAGGGGGCCGGTGTATCTCGTTACACAGATCCTCCGAGACGAGCCACTATAGAACAAACAAAAACCACTCGTTTAACAACATTATCAAAATTGCAGTTGGTAAACGTGTACGTCAAATGTCAACTTCAGATTGGCAACTTTATGCGTCAAATGTCGAATGGGTGGTGTTGTAGTTTAAGGGCATTTCGATGGTGTCGCGCTGTTGCTACTGAAATCGTGCTGTAAATATTAATTGTTTTATATGATTTAGGGAAAAATTAAAATGCAGATATTCATTCGATTGATGTAATTGAAAATGAAATTAATTATGAATACGACATATTAATTTATATTACGAGTGAATATTTCAATTGAATAATTAATGTAGTTTAATTATTCTTAATTTGGCAATTATTTGCTAGATATAAATAATAAATTCTCAACGTGAATGTCAACCAAATTACACAATAATTTATCCTAAAATTCAAATAAAAAAGAATGTAAACATAAAAAATTTGGCAACAGCGCTGCAGAAACGGTTCAGAACGTCTTGATTTCTTAATAAGCGCAGAATAAGTTGCACATTTTTACAGATTCAAACTACAGCATTGCTGTCAAACGTCAAATTTCAAACGTCAAATGCCAAGCGTCAAATGTCAAACGTCAAATGTCAAACGCGACCCTTAAACGTCAAATTTCAACCGTCAAATGTCATACGTCAAACGCCAAGTGTCAAACGTCAAATGCGACCCTTAAACGTCAAATATCAAACGTCAAATGCGACCCTTAAACGTCAAATATCAAACGTCAAATGTCTACCGCCAAATGTCAAACGTCAAAAGTCAAACGTCAAGCGTTCAATGAAATTATTGGTAAAGGTTCAGTAGAGGTATGAGAGACTATTATTCGTTAGTAACTTAAGTGTGTCGAATGTCAAGTACACGTCAAAGATAATGTCGGTAGTAAGTAAGTAAGGGGAATTGTTTGGAGAATTAGATGAATTATTAAAACGCGAATTTTTTCGCGACCCTCTTTGGATGCCGGTCGAGTTTCCCGGAGTCCCCGGAGCGCGTCGCGGGACGGGGGGGACGGAACGGGGGCGAGCGTCGTCGCTTCCGACATGGAAACGTAAGTCGGAGAAACTTGCGAAACTTCCTTTCGAAAAACGTCAACTTCGTCGACGTCCCGAGACTCAGTTCGGTTGTCGCGCGTAATTTTTTTAAAGTTCGGTAATTAAAATTTTATCTAATCGGGGCTGTCTCGAAGAGCGGAGGGAGAGACGCTGTACTTACTTGGAATTAGGGGGGGTTTTATTTTTAATCGCGTGCGTTATATTACGTACGTTTTGCGCCGATTCCACGGTGTATATTTCCATGGAGAGGCCGGGATCCCTCCAATAGCTGCCCAAATGCGGCTGGGATTTCCTGTTGTTTTTGTTGCAACAGTAGCACATCACGAACAACACCAGCAGAATTCCGCTGATCATCGCCCTGCGAAAATTCAACCGATAATAATGTTCTCCCTACTTTTTAATCGCAACATTTCGGAGCTGTTTTCTATATTACATTTACCCCATTTTTACATTCGCCCCAGTCTACCTTATATAGGCACATATTCGACTCATAAAACCAGATCTTCTGGAAATATAAACAAAATATCGAATAAACGGACATCATCTTCAAATTGCTCTATAACGCTTTACTTTATTCATTATTTATTTATTAATCTCCAATTCGAAAATAAAAAAAAACAACTTTCTAGAATCGTATAAAAAACATGGAGCTCATAATAATGTTCTCCCTACCTTTTAATCGCAACATTTCGGAGCTGTTTTATATATTACATTTACCCCATTTTTACATTTGCCCCAGTCTACCTTATATAGGCACATTTTCGACTCATAAAACCAGATTTTCTGGAAATATAAACAAAATATCGAATAAACGGACATCATCTTCAAATTGCTCTATAACGCTTTACTTCATTCATTATTTATTTATTAACCTCCAATTCGAAAATAAAAAAAAACAACTTTCTAGAATCGTATAAAAAACATGGAGCTCATCAAACAAGCTCTACAAAACATCACGAACAACACCAGCAGAATCCCGCTGATCATCGCCCTGCGAAAATTCAACCGATAATAATGTTCTCCCTACTTTTTAATCGCAACATTTCGGAGCTGTTTTCGGACTAAATAAACGTTGTAAAACATCCACTACCTCCCTCAGGACGTCGTAATAAAAAAAAGGGATATGTACTCGTATCATTTATCACCTCGAAGGAACCCGTAAAAAACCGGAGGTGGATAAGAATTCCTGTTCGCGCTGAATTATTTGCGGTCGATTTTATTCGAAATTAGAGCCGAACTCACCCTCCCAACATGACGTTAACCCCGTGCACCGGACTGGGGGGAGGTCCTGGCGTTGGGTACATATCGGTGAAGTTTATCCTCCCATCCTGGCGGATCGCCGACAGGATAGCAAGCCTCTTCAACGACGTCATGCACCTGTAAAATCCCCAAAAAATATATACACGGCGTAGCAATTTTTAGGGGTTAATTTTCTGATATGCGTGGTATAAAAAATTCATCCGAATAGAAAAGCGAGCTCGCATATGTATAGGGGTGGTTTTTCGAGCGCACGTTGGAAAAGAACAAAGCGAGAGGCTCTAAACTTGTTTGCTCGAGTATTTATTACCTGTTATAGAGAGCCGTGCTGCTGCTCCTTTCCGCACAAGTCAACTGTTCTTCAATATTTCAGGGAGCATTCTGGACGCTTAGAGGGCACTCGGCGAACCTGGAAAAAGGGCCCTTAGAATGGCGGAATTTACATTTCACTCTCTTCGGTGGTGTATAATAAGTCCGATCGTTGGAAAATACGCGGTGTTTAATGAATTGAATGGATGAATGGAATATGGAAAATGCTACTGTGACTGGTTTTGGACCTGGTGCTTTTCGATGATGAGAATTTGTGCAACTTGCGAAAGTTGGTTGTGGAAAAAAATGGAAAATTTGATGGGTATCGTCTTCAGAGAGACCTAGAGAACTGAATTGTCTAAAAGTGAACTGAATTTTAACTGTCAAAATGATGTTTTTTGGAAGATCTTGGATAGAATTCGAAGAGTTGGAAGTAATCTTCAAATTGCTCTAGGTCCTAAATCAATGAAGCATTTTGTTAATTATACTTAATTTATGTTAGTAAAACTAGAACCTTTTGGAAATCTAAGCAAAATGTTCAATAAATGGGCATCAACTTCAAAGCGCTGTAGGTCCTAAATTACAAAATACTAATTAAGGTAGACTGGGGCAAATCGATTGTAAAATTTGACTAGTTCAAATTAAATCCTAAAATGTGGCTTTATTTTTTCTCTTATTAGAAATGCTGATACCACATTAAACTCACAACTTCCTAAACTAAAGAATTGAGGTATTAAAAAGTTTTTTTGAAAAAGGAAGAAAACGATTTTACATATTTTTTAAAATGTTATATTTACCCCATGGTACGGGGTAAATGTAACAAACGTTCTAAAGAGACAATACAATTATATAGAAAAACATATGGGACAATTGTAAATACATATTTGGTTCCTCTAAAATTTGATATGCTGTTTATTAATTTTTTCAAAAAATAACAGAGCTACAAAATAATAAAGAAAAAATAACATACAAACCCTGTCTAATGCACAAAAAAACTATAAAAATAATAAAAACATTAACATAATAGGTAAAAATATTACATTTACCCCATTTTTACATTTGCCCCAGTCTACCTTATATAGGCACATTTTCGACTCACAAAACCAGATCTTCTGGAAATAAAAACAAAATATCGAATAAACGGACATCATCTTCAAATTGCTCTATAACGCTTTACTTCATTAATTATTTATTTATTAACCACCAATTCGAAAATAAAAAAAAAAACAACTTTCTAGAATCGTATAAAAAACATGGAGCTCATCAAACCAGCTCTACAAAACACTCCTACTCCCCAACACCCTGTACATGTACCACCAAATTCCAACAAGCAATTAAAAAAAAAACACCCGAAATAATCTATACGTACTGAAAAAATATCGAAATATTCCGTCGATGTGCGAAGGCGTCGCGACGCTCCACTTTCTTATCGAACGGCCGTGGCGAAACTGCTGGATTTCCCGCGAAATAATCGATATCCGAGGGGGTAGAGCGGAAACGCCGTTGACGTAGGCACCCGTGTAAACGTTGTAACGCGCCCGATCATATGATCCAGTTATCAACAAGTCACAAAGCGTGTAACTGGACGTTTCCCGGGGGTCCGTGCGAAGGGATCATGTACTCGCATTAATCCGAATAGCAGCTGGAGGTATCGAAGAAATGATCGTTGAAGGTATCTATTTTGCTGTAGTGGTAGCTAAAGTATTGTACGACACTCTGGCGCCCTAATGTTGCAAATTTGGCTTTGCACTAGCCTGCATTTTTCGTAAAAAGTAGATAATTTTTTTTGCAACTTTGTAATAACAATACTGGGAAAGCGATCTCATTAAATATGGAACGTTCAACAAATCGTTAATCGAATTTTCGACCACGTCATGTTCGACGTTGGCCATGAATTTTTTACCTAATCGAACCGGTAATAATACTATTATAATTCACCTTTATTACCTGTACATATTTTCCAATTACCCTCAATTCTTTATACTTTCCAACATTTACATATAGCACGTTCGCGTTTACCCAATCGTGACGTCACCACCTACTTAAATTGTTTTCCCTTATTTAGTGATTGTGTTACATTAATTAATAGAGTTTACTGTATACAGGGTGTTTCTTATTTTGTTTGCGAATCGTTTGGTGATGATCGATGTGTTTCGATTGCAGGAAAGAGGCAGGTGCGGCAGGATCAGGATGAAGCAGGGGGAATTGAGACGCGCCCTTCTGCTGATCACTCTTCTTTGCGCCTTTCTTTTCTTCTACCTCTACTGGCAACAGTCGAATAAATACATACCGGCCGCCATTTACAGATTTAGTCACATTACAACTAACTACAAGTGAGTATGGATTTATTATGCTTTATTCCTCATACATATTGTCCAATATTCTCCATGCTCCATTCCTAATGCTCTATATCCTATCCCCTTTGTCCTAGTTAAATTCCAATGCCGGTTGAATTCCAGAAATTTATTTGGCTCACCCTGTAGAAATGCTATCCATTTAGGTCATTAGCGAATGTAGCATAATTGTAGGTAAATTTCTACCGAATTCAAAACACAAAACCGAATCTCTTCTTTCATAATTAACGAGTCTATTTAACCCTCCTAAAATAGCGAGTAAAGTGAAATAAAAATTACCGGAGAAAAAAAAATTAAATAACCGGGATATGTAAAGAAATCTCCGCAGCGCCGGGCGAAGACAAAGACGATTTTCGACGGCAAACACACGACGGGATTTTTTTTTCTCTCCCCCGTTTCGTTCGCTATTCGTTTCGAATACAACTCGTTCTTTTTTCCAACGCTAAAACCATTAAAACTCGCTCGAAAGCCGAGTCCCCGTCAACCCTATTCGCCCGAAAGTTAACGAATCACCGGTGCATCAAAACACCCAACTTCGCGAAACAATCAAACGCGAAGCTTGTATGAAACAAATTTAAAACATAAGGTATAATCCATTAAAAAGTTCCAAAAAATTACAAGGCTGGTCGTTTCATAGCCATTTCATAGTCATTTCGTAGTCAATTCACAGTCATTTCAAAGTCATTTCATAGTCATTTCATAGTGCATATCAAAATCATATCAAAATTATTTAAAAATCATATTAAAATCATAATAATAATCATCCTAATTGAAGCATGATCCATCCTGAAGTTGAAATGCCACTGACTATTTATTATTTGAAATGTCTTTTGTTAAATTGTTTTTTATCATATTATGATTTCTTATGCATTGAAACACCTGTCTTTAAATTTTCACTTCTGTACATTCATAATCTTTCAAACTTCTGAGAAAAATCATTTTTTTTTATTTCAATTTTGACACTCTGTATGTTTTTTATTTTCAATATTTTACTAAAGCAAGTTGGGTCAGATGATAATATTTTAAGGCCCAGAATCTTCCCCTTCCCTTTTGGACCATTACTAACGGACCACCCTGTATTACACACTCTCAAAAATGTTTTGCATAAAAGAATAAACATTTAATACAACGAATTATTTGCAAAATTACTCATCGAAATTAGTTCCCAAAAGGCATAAACATCATTTAAAATTAACAATAAATACAATTCAACAGAAGACATTTTAAATAATAAATGGGCAGTGGCATTTCAACTACATAATATGCAAAACATTTTTGAGTATGTGTACCTAATAATCATCTTCATATAATAATAGGTTTGTTCCTACAGAAAGTCATTGATTTGTTACCAATAAGTTTTTGACTCCTTGATTTCTTGATGGAACAGCCTTTACATTTATTACATATTAACCAAATATCAAACAAAAAACAACAAACAACAAAACCTAATAATTAACCTATATTCAGAAATACAAATTAAACCCTAATTGAAAATGCGCTTGCGCCGGATTCTAAATCTCTGTACTATCAGCAAATTTTTCTGACTATCACAAAACCAGTCCCTTGAACTGTTTGAACAACAAATTGTTAACCAAATCAGAATCAGAGATGTCTGTGGAGTTTGTTGGAACGCCTAAATTATGACTGCGCAGACTCCTGACGTCCACCGACTATTTCTCACTGTTGTAGGAACAAACCTAATAATCATCCTGTCATATTAATCCTCCTCGCATAATAATCATCATCGTATAACACTCATCCCGACAAATAATATCCTCGTCGTAGGTATAACAATCATCCTCACATATCCCAAAGTGCTACTCCTCCACCCAGCAGGTACCTCGAGTACCATCTTATCGAGGCATCTCCTAAACAGTCCCAAATCTCCGTCCGTTGCAGGAAACCCATCCAGCCCCAATGGACGTGGGACTGCGTGAACAAACGCTGCGAGCGCCGCTACGCCGACGACCCTCTCAAAGCCACCTCCCTAGCCACCTGCGGCATGCTCTGCGGCTCCACGCAGCTCTGGCCCCAGCCCACCGGCCCCGTCACCATGGCCAGCAAGGCGCTGCGCTTCCACCACCGGCAGCTCGCCTTCGAGAGCGCCTCGCTCGGCGCCTCCCGCTCGCTCATCGACGAGGCCTTCGCCGTGTTCAACAGCAACGTCATCGGCCTCACGGAGGCGCCCGACTACCCCATAGAAGGCTCCGACGTGAGCGAGTTCACCGTTAACATCGCCGTATCGAACGCCGACGTGGTGAAGCTGAAGCTCAAGACGGACGAGAGCTACAGCTTGGTGTTGAAGGCGTCCGGTAAGGACGGCTTGCGCGCCGACATAACGGCGAAGACGTTCTTCGGGGCGAGAGGCGCGCTGGAAACTCTATCGCAGCTCATCTGGTGGGATCCCTACGATCGCACGCTCAAAGTAATCAAAGCCGCTACCGTCAGAGACAAGCCGGCGTTTCCCTACCGGGGGTTGATGGTAGACACCTCGAGGAACTTCATGTCGATCGACAGTCTGAAGAGGATGCTCGTCGGGATGGCGGCGAACAAGCTGAACGCGTTCCATTGGCACATCAGCGACAGCCAGAGCTTTCCTTTGATCGTACCCAGTCTACCGTTACTGGCCAAAACCGGTTCGTACGCGCCCGATATGACCTACAGTCCCGACGAAGTGAGAGACCTGGTGCACTTCGCTCGCGTCAGAGGCGTCAGGGTGATCTTGGAAGTCGATACGCCGGCCCACGTGGGCAACGGTTGGAGTTGGGGACCTACCGAAGGTGGAGTATTAATTATAAGAAGTGGAAGAATTTGAAGGGCGTTTTTACAGGTTTGGGCGAACTGGCGGTGTGCGTGAACGAACGCCCGTGGAGCCTCTACTGCGGCGAGCCGCCGTGCGGCCAGCTGAACCCCGACAATCCGCACGTCTACGACGTCCTGCAGAAGCTCTACGGCGATCTGATCGAGCTCAGCGGCGAGACGGAGCTGTTCCACATGGGCGGCGACGAGGTGAACCTCGAGTGCTGGTCGCAGCACCTGCAGCGCACCAGCGCCGCCTACAACTACACCGATCTGCACGAGCTGTGGGGCGAGTTCACCGTCAAGGCTCTGCAACGATTGACCGCCGCCAACGGCGGCAAGCGCTTCCCGCACGTCATCCTGTGGTCCAGCAAGCTCACCAAGCGGCCCTACGTTAATAAGTACTTGGACAAGACGCGCGTCGTGGTGCAGAACTGGGGCGGCAGCCAGTGGACCGACACGCCGGAGTTGCTGAGCGACGGCTACAAGGTCATCATATCGCACGTGGACGCCTGGTACTTGGACTGCGGCTTCGGCAGGTGGCGGGAGACAGGGGAGGCGGCCTGCGACCCGTACCGGCCCTGGCAGACGGCGTACCAGCACCGGCCGTGGCAGCTGCAGCGGCTCGACAAGCGGCTGATCCTCGGCGGGGAGGCTTGCCTGTGGAGCGAGCAGTTCGACGAGGGTTCGCTGGACGCCCGGCTGTGGCCGAGGGCGGCGGCCTTCGCGGAAAGGGTGTGGAGCGATCCGCGGTTGGACGCCGCCGCCTACGGCATACAGGAGGACGTCTATACCAGGCTGAACACCCAGAGAAATAGGTGAGTTTGGGTGATGTAGTTTAGGCATTAAGGCGTTTCGTATTCCTGGACGTGGTGATGGAAAATGAGCTTCGGTGGATGTTTTATGAGGGTTTTGGTTCGTTCTTCGATGGATGTGAAGGTGTAGGAAATGATTCTGGAGGTTTTTAGAAGAATATAAAGGTTCTTCGGTGATGTGATCATATAATTTAACTATTTAACCCTTTAAAAACTGTATAAAAAGCGATTAAAAATGTGTAATAATTGTTGCCTACGTATACACATAAATAATTCAAATTCCTCGATTCTTCGATGGATTTGAAGGTGTAGGGAATGATTCTGGAGGTTTTTAGAAGAATATAAAGATTCCTTCGGTGATGTAATCATATAATTTAACTATTTAACCTTTTAATACCTATATAAAAAGCGATTAAAAGCGTGTAATAAGTGTTGCCTACGTATACACATAAATAATTCAAATTCCTCGATTCTTCGATGGATTTGAAGGTGTACAATGTGCTTCTGGGGATATTTAGCAGAATATAAAAATTCTTTGGAGATGTGATGATATAATTTAACCACTTAACCTTCAACATCTGTTTAAAAAGAGATTGAAAATGCGTAAAAAAGTGTTGCCTTTATACTCTGTATAAAAAAAACTAATGGATAAATTGGAACTTTTGCTCGATAAGTAGCGTATTTATCTAGTTTTCTAGTTGTGGTTTTTTTTTCTCGTTCCAGATTAGTGAAAAGAGGCTTAAGTGCAGAAGCTCTCTGGCCGGAATGGTGCTCGCAAAATCCCGGCATGTGCCTTTGACGAAAACTTTCCGAACTAGTTCTAGTTGCAATTAGCTTATTCCTCGGCGGTGATATTAGTTTAGTGAAAAAAATACATGCAAGGACGGTTCTATCGAAAAATTGATCTCATTTTATTTTGTCGTTCAATTTTAATCGCACTGTTATTATTTTAAACGTATAAATTATGATTGTAAGGTTTGTTTCGCCTGTGTTCAGAAGATTTATTATCAGCTGGTTACAATGCAGTGATCGATGATAAGTTTGTATTGTTATTGTAAATAATAGGTTGGTTATCAAAACTTGTGTGTACTTGCATAATTTACCTTCGAATGATTCTAAAATAAAATTGTACAGAATAGTCGAACATGTTAAATATATTGTTTTTTTTTAATATATTTTTGTCTGATTTTATTTCGCAAAATTCCCTCTTTCGCATACAAAATTAGGTTTTAACGGGGAGTATATTTTTTTCAAAATTGCAATCATCACCTTACAAGCCTTTAACTGCTCAGGTATTCGACTTAGTACGGACCCAAGTGGAATAAAATCACCAAAATATTAAACTCCCCTAGGTTTTTTCACTACCTCCCGATAGCGAACGGAGTATAATTTTTTTGTATCAATTTACATGATACTTACCGCGATAAGAAGCGATTCAAATCGAAGTTTTCATCACACGAAAACGGAGACACGAAGATGGAATTGGCACGCGCTCGAGCTTTTTCGAACGAGACGAAAGCTCTTCGAATGCCGGAAAATCAAGCACTGAACACGAATCGCGACCTTAGGGCCTTGCGGGCCCTTTCGAAACACACCTGTTGATTCTTACACGTGACGCAGACGCCTCGATAAATACGTGTAAGTGGCCCTAATTTTTTTTTTTATATTTTTATTACACTAAGAAAATGTTGTACTGTATATCGCGTTTATAATTACACTGAGACAAAAGGAAGGAAATACGTTTCTCTACAATACCTTGTAGATTATAAATGACGATTATAAATGATTATAAATGTAGACTTATAAATGTTTGAAATTTTTGAGATAATTTGAGTTTTTTATTGCAAGAAAAATTTTAGTGCATTTTTATAAAAATTCACCGTTATTTAGAAAACTAATTTAGATAAAAATTCGACGTTTATTTTGTTTTGAAGAAAAAATAATTCTCTATAATTTTTGAAGAATCGAAAATCTTCGGAAATCGTTAAATTTTCGAGATATTTCGATTTTTATGAGAACCACAACGAATTTACTAGTTTTGGTGCAATTCAATAAAAATTGGCCATTATCTCGAATACTAATCGAGATAAAAATTCGACGTTTATTTTGTTTTGAAGAAAACATATTTCTCTATAATTTTTGAAGAATCGAAAATCTTCGGAAATCGTTAAATGTTCGAGATATTTCGATTTTTTTGAGAACCACAACGAATTCGCTAGTTTTAGTGCAATTTTATAAAAAAATCGCCATTATCTCGAAAACTAATTGAGATACAAACCCGCTATTGATTTCATTTTGAATAAAAAACATTTCTCTATAATTTTTGAAGAATCGAAAATTCTCAAAAATCGTTTAATTTTCGAGATATTTTGAACTTTCTACGAATTACCAATTTTAGTACAATTCAATAAAAAACCTCCATTATCTCAAAAACTAATTGAGATAACAACGTTCCGTCCATTCTAATTTATAGAAAAAATGTTTCTCTACAACTTTTATAGAATCAAAAATGTTCAAAACTTCCCTCGTATATTAATATCTATCATTAAACGATCACTCCGGTCAAAATTGATAACTTGACCGTTATCACAGCGAATGAACTCGCCCGTTCCCCCGTCATTTCCACTTTTCCCCGATTTTCCGATAATCCTCAGAGAAGGATTCCAGGAGTCTATCGCCGTTTAAAAATAAAACGCCGATGAATATTTAAACACACGATTTCTTAGCGCTCCTTTTACCTCTCCGACGATAAAAAACATAAAGAAAAGAAAACTAACAGAGAGCCCCGATCGATCGTCGATTGTTGGGACGATTTTGAATAAAACATAATAAAACGGCGTAAAACAGCGAAATTTACCGGAGATCAGCGTATTTCGCGAAATCCTGCACGTCGCAGGACTAGCAGGAATTTATAATTTTCATAATTTAGTCGGTTCACTGTTAGTATTCGGGGGAAAATTGGACGATTGCTTGCAATATGCAAATGCACTTTCATTCCTGCTGCCTGCGATTCCATCGAGGGGCTTTTGTCGCGAACTTTCTTACCCTCAAAGGGGTGCTTGAAATTATCCCGTTCTCCTAACTGAAATTGCTTTATTTTTCATTCATTAATTTGTATTACTTATAACGAAATATTCAGGATCTGTATGAGCGATGGGGTTGATTTTTTTTTTAATTTTTTTTGGGGTATTCACTCAACACAATCATGTTCACTAGGAGGTTTTATCTCATGCGTGATAATGAGTGGTCTTGAAAACGAAGTAACATTCGAACGGCCCTCGTAGATAACATGCAAACGTATTGGAAACGTGCCAGGTATTTTACATGCAGTCGAAAACTTTGCAATTAGTCGAGTTGTAACAAAAATTAAACGGGGTTGTTTCTGTTGTTGTTTATCTATAGTTTTTTTTCCCACTGCAGCACTTTGAGCTTACGAGACTCGCTTTGTGCAGGGTCGTTATAGTGGGAAAAATTTTCCCCGTATTTAAAGCGATGCCTGGTATAATAGTAAGCAGGAAAAACATGAATCAATTGTAGTAGATATAATTTTTGGAGAAAAAAAATTGGAAAAAAATAGACGCCCCCGGGTGGGCTCGAACCACCAACCTTTCGGTTAACAGCCGAACGCGCTAGCCAATTGCGCCACGGAGGCTTCTTTATTTAGACATCCTAATGGCTGTATATACAGTGGAAGTAAATGAGAGCATTCCGATGCTACGAGGGGCGGTCGATAACTTATTTTTTGCTGGATCGAAAAAACTTGGATACGACCAAATCGCCGCGTTCGTTGTTTATTGCATACCTATAGTAACCCTTACGATGGCTAAAACTCTCGTGGAATTTGTAGTACTTAAAACTCGAAAATTATTTACTCGCTCCCGATCCAAGAAAAGCGTCTTTAATATCCTCTGCAGCTTCGCGCATCGGAAATTACGCCAATTCGCTAATTTCCGCTTTCACCCGAGTTTATTTACTCCCTGGTAAATCTCGATGAAGTCTCTCTGAATTTTAAGATAATATTTATACCTGTTATAGGTTCGTGTAAACTGATTTGTTCAGTTCTTTCCTGCGCAACACCATCAATGACAGGTCGTTGTGACTTTTTCTCTCTACATTTATGCTCATTTTCTCTCTAGTTTTATGCAAAAAAATTTTCTCTCTACTTTTATGCAAAAAAATTTCTCTCTACTTTTATGCACGATTTTCTCTCTCTACTTTTATACACAACATTTTCTCTCTACTTTTATGCAAAAAATTTTCTCTCTACTTTTATGCAAAAAAATTTTCTCTCTACTTTTATGCACAAAATTTTCTCTCTACTTTTATGCAAAAAATTTTCTCTCTACTTTTATCCACAAAATTTTCTCTCTACTTTTATGCAAAAAATTTCTCTCTACTTTTATGCACACAATTTTCTCTCTACTTTTATGCACCAATTTTTCTACGAAATAAATATGTTTGTGCCCTGGATCACCGAATACAAAACGCCATCTGTGAAATATCGTGCAAACTAGAACATCATTTCGATTTTTTTTGGAGTAAATTAAATAGGTATCCAGCGTGCTTTTCATGGGAAGTTTCCCGAGATTTTCCGCGAGATGGAGGAGCGTCAACGAAGAGGGAAATTTTCCAGGTTCTCGTAGATAAGGAAAATCGAGATAGCTTTCGAATAGAAAAAATGAACTGCCCATTGAATCTGTTGCGAACGGGTTTAATTTGGAAATCTGGAGAGTTTTTGCTCCTAATTATCCCATATAGGAAAATTTTTGCGGTCATTGATTTTTGGGGATTTCTTAAAATTCGATTTGAGTTTACATTAAGCGAATTGCTGAGAAGTTGAAGGCCGGTAATGAGGCGTTTTGCATCAGTTTTGAAAAAATTATACTAAAAGTTATACAAATTTGCACTTACCTGTACATTCAAAAACCCAATTGATATTTCAGTGCAATGCTGAATTAAATCGGGCTCGAGGAAAGTATGGAAAATGTAAAACCAGCGAAGCGCAAACAATACAATGTTTTCCACTTTTCTTTGCAATTAATCAAAAATGCCCTACCCTTATTCACCTACCCTTCGGGTCGAGTTGCAAGCAAACGAGAAAATGTGGAAACACTTTCATATATGAAAATTTTTAAATTATTAATCCGAAAACACTAAACAAAGTAAGTAAAAGCTCTTTCAATTAAATGATTAACAGAAGAATCTCTAATAAACAATCAAATGAAAATCAATTCTAAATCGTTCTGGACAGTTCTGAATGCTTCTGAAGCGTTCTAAATGGTTCAGTAATTCGTCCTGAATCATTCTAAATGGTTCCGAAGCAACCCAAATGAACCCGGACAGTTCAGATTGGTTCTGGAGCAATGTAAATGAATCTGAACAGTTCTAATTCCTGCAGAAGCGTTCTAAACGATTCTAGACAGTTCTAAATCGTTCTGGACAGTTCTGAATGCTTCTGAAGCGTTCTAAATGCTCCAGTAATTCATCCTGAATCATTCTAAATGGTTCCGAATCGACCCAAATGAACCCGGACACTTCAGATTGGTTCTGGAGCATTGTAAATGAATCTGGACAGTTCTAATTCCTGCAGAAGCGTTCTAAACGATTCTAGACAGTTCTAAATCGTTCTGGACAGTTCTGAATGCTTCTGAAGCGTTCTAAATGCTCCAGTAATTCATCCTGAATCATTCTAAATGGTTCCGAAGCGACCCAAATGAACACTTCAGATTGGTTCTGGAGCAATGTAAACGAATCTGAACAGTTTTAATTCCTGCAGAAGCGTTCTAAGTGATTCTAGACAGTTCTAAATCGTTCTGGACAGTTCTAAATCGTTCTGGACAGTTTCGAACGGTTCAGAAGCGTTCTAAGCGGTTCTGATTCGTCCTAAACCATTCCGAGTAGTGAAGAAACGGCGTTCGGGGGAGCCGATGAGGCGGGAAAACGGCGGCGAATCCGGGAATCGGGCCCACCCGGTGGAGGACGGTCCAGGTGGAGACACGCACGCATGCGAGAGGGGCCGGGGGCCCCACGGCAAGTCGGCACTTGTGCGACGACAGCGGAGCCTCGACGAGATTCCGTCTCTCGAGCCGAGCCGAAGAGGACGAGTTTGAGAGCATCGAAGAAGAGCATAGAGAAGAGTGTGGTAGAGCTTGGAGTTGGATGGGACCGGTGCTGGGTTTCCCGGATGGGACAGATTGATTCGAGCTTTTCTCTCATTATCACTTTGTGGCGTTAGCGAGAAATGCCCAGGATACTCTGGTTGCATTGGTGAGTTTTTTTTATTTTAAATTTAGATCATTTTTTATGTAGGTAGATAAAAAATATATGGAGGTATTTTGTCATTTTCACTAATGGTTTTCGTTATTTTTATGAAATTTTTATTAATTTTCTAGCGTTTTTAATGACATTTCAAACTTTTCAATCTCATTTTTCATTGTTGTTATCGAATTTTCATCAGAGGTTATTTCTTTGATAATTTTTTCATAAAAATTTCAAATTTTTTACTCTCATTTGCTATTTTTGTGAAATTTCCAGCAATTAGCTAATTTTTTCATGAAAATTTTATTTCAAATTTCTGAAATTTTTATTTTCTACTTTTTAAATTAAGAGCCACAAATAAAGAGAAATTTTAATATTTTCATTTAGCCTCAATGTCTCAGAAATTTCTTGAATAAATAATCTTACTCAAAATATTCAAAATTTTACGAAAATTACTCAAACTATTTAAAAAATGCAATTACCTAATTCAAATTTCCACGTAGGTATAGGTATTCAAAAAATCAGATTGATCTCATTTCTAAAACTCAAATATCAAATTGACTCCTGTCGTATTTATTTGAATAAAAATTCAACAAATTCCTTTACTCGCATCAATTTATTCAAATTTTCACACGCAAGATATGTAAAATGCCAAAAGAAATGCGATTTTCCCTCGTGCTTTCAATTTTTCGAGGTGTCATTTACAAATAATTCGATAATACTGGGTAATTTAGGTCAAATTTTAACATAATAATGAAATAATAATTTATAATTTACCTTTATAATTTATTACTATTCTGGGAAATTTCTTCAAATATGCAAATTTCGAAAGAGAAAAAGATATGAATTTTCCAATCAATTTTTAGAGTAAATATTTAACTAATTTCGAGTAGGTATCTAGTAAATTTTTAATATTATTTTATTTTACACACTCTTATTATTTTTTATCAATCCAGGCAAATTTCTAATAAATTGTAAAACCCTTAAAGTAACAAATTTTCTAGTAATTATTTTTTTTCCAATTAAATTTCACATAAATTTAATCAACCCTCATTCATTTGCCTTAACTCCTCTTCCCAATACAACTTATTTTGTTAGTTAAAGTAAACTTTAAACAATTATTTACTATTAATATTTGTATCACACATTTTTGGTATATTTTTGCGCAAAATTGATCCCGAATCTAATCTAACCGAACAAAACAGCCCAATCATCCCCGAACAACAGCCGAAAAAAAAAATCCACCTGATGTCAACTAAACAAATCTAAAACATTTCCAATCGGATTGGCAATCGCAAAACAGAAAGAATCGAACGAGATTTATTTATAGATAGATAAATCGCGGTATATATGGGCTCGATAATTTCGAAAAGTGCACTCGATGCCCAAATAAATCCCTTCAAAATCAAAACAATGGTGACGGACGTAAGGGGGCTCCGGTGACAGGTGTCCCATGCACACCAGCCCGGGCCATTATATCGCCTCGTTCGAGACCACTCGAATATATCCAATCTTCCGCGGAATTACCGCAAACAATCCGAATAAACAAATAAAATAACGCTTATTGTTGGGTTAATTTAAAAATTTCATTACGGTTCACACATTGCCCGGATGCGGGGGTGTTGTAAACTGCACGAAATTAATTCCAACTAACTAGTTCTTAACCGTTTTTATCTCTCGAAAACAACATACAGCGAGAACCAAATAAGATACAATTAAAATTAAGTCGAATAAGATTAGAATCAAGCTTCCAGTCGAGCTCACAATCAAGCTTCAAGTCAAGATTTCAGTCAAGATTCCAGTCAAGCTTCTAGTCAAGACAGTCAAGCTTCTAGTCAAGCTTATACAGTAAAGTTTCCAGAAAAGATAAAGCTTATACACTCAAGCTTCCAGAATCTTACCAATTCAACCGAGATTCTTGTCGAGCTCACAGTTAAGCTTCTAGTGAAGATTTCAGTCAAGCTTCTAGTATAGACAGTCAAGCTTCTAGTCAAGCTTATATAGTCAAGTTTCCAGTAAAGATAAAATTTATACACTCAATCTTTAAGAATCTTACCAATTCAATCGAGATTCTTGTCGAGCTCACAGTCAAGCTTCTAGTCAAGATTCCAGTCAAGCTTCTAGTCAAGCTTATACAGTCAAATTTCCAGTAAAGATAAAGCTTCCAGTCAATCTTATACATTTAAGTTCGCAGTCAAGCTTCCAGTAAAGCTTATAATATAGTCACCAAGCTACAGTCAAGCTTCCTGTCGAGTTCGCAGTTAAAATTATAGAAGCCCTTTGGTACCCAAATGATAGAAGATTGCAGGTACCTTATTAAATTTGCAGCGTTACTGGTACGTTCCGCTATCGAAGGCACCATCAGCGAGCGACGCCCCGCGAAGAGGATGTCCACTAAGCAGAAGGTAAACGCTGCGCGTGCAGGACCGAACGAAGTCGTACTGACGACGGGAGACGGCAGGGAGACATGGAGCAAAAAGGTCGATTTCCTGCTGTCGGTGATCGGCTTCGCCGTCGATCTGGCCAACGTCTGGAGGTTCCCGTATTTGTGCTACAAAAACGGCGGCGGTGAGTTATGTTATGTTTCTCGTCCTTTTTTTTCCTGATCCATTCCTGCTCCTTGTCCCCTCCTTTCCTGCTCCTTTTCTGCTCGATTTCTGCTCCTTTCATGCTCATTTTCTGCTCATTTTCTGCTCCTTTTCTGTTCCTTTTCTGCTCCTTCAATATACTCCTTTCCTGCTCCTTTTCTGCTTCTTTTCTGCTCATTTTCTGCTCCTTTTCTGTTCCTTTTCTGCTCCTTTAATACTCCTTTCCTGCTCATTTTCTGCTCCTTGTTTGCTTCGTTCCTGCACCTTTTATGCTCCTTGTCCCCTCCTTTCCTGCTCATTTTCTGCTCCTTGTTTGCTCCTTTTCTGCTCCGTTCCTGCACCTTTTATGCTCCTTGTCCCCTCCTTTCCTGCTCATTTTCTGCTCCTCTTCTGCTCCTATTCTGCTCCTATTCTGCTCCTTTCCTGCTCATTTTCTGCTCCTATTCTGCTCCTATTCTGCTCCTATTCTGCTCCTATTCTGCTCCTATTCTGCTCCTATTCTGCTCCTATTCTGCTCCTATTCTGCTCCTTTAATACTTCTTTTCTGTTCCTTTCCTACTCCTTTCCTACTCCTTTCCTGTACCTTTTATGCTATTTTTCTGCTCCTTTCCTGCTCATTTTATGCTTCTTGTCCCCTCCTTTCCTGCTCATTTTATGCTTCTTGTCCCATCCTTTCCTGCTCTGCTCTCCACTATAATAATTTTCCTCTAGCCATCTTCTTTTCGGTCTCGTTCATTTAATGTGAAATCCGAAGAAATTTGTGATTGAATTGAGCTTGGATCACTCTGTATAATACAATTTTTACCTACATGTAGTTAACAGGATTTCTGTAGCAACAATTGGCATATTTAGCATCCTGCTGAATTGGAGAACTTTTCGATTCTTTTTCTACATTTAATAATTTATTTATCGATGGAAATTTGGTATCGTTTTAATGGCTAGAAAGCTCCTATAATTTACTAAATATAGCATAAGGTATAAAGGTAATTAGTGATGAGGTGGAGGAGGAGGAATAAAGTCGCATCGACTACAGGTAATTCCCCGATTCGAATATAATTCGATTAGACGGGATAAAGCGATTCTCCGCCCTGGGGGGATTCGATTTCGAATGTCGCGAGCGCTCTCTCGGTAAAATTGAAATTGTATTCCGTTTTTTTTTCTTCTCCTTTTTGTTCTAAGAAGATGACAAGCCGGTATTAGCGAGGTAAAAAAAAAGATAAATTTTTGTAAATTTAGCCGAATTTTAATCAAGAATTTCGTTACCTGCCCTAATCTACTCTAATTAAATTTTTTCGCATTGTAGTGGGACTAAAAGATGTGATACATAAACTGTCAAAATTGACATTAATGACATCTCAGAATGACAGAAGTTTAATAGAGGTGGAAATCGATTTTTTTGGTATAGAGTTGCAGTAACAACTGTTACAAAATAACCGTTATTTTTCAAAAATCTGCAACAAATTCAAATCGCATATCCGAAGGCGGTAAATTAACAAAGTCGTCTTTGTTGCACTCATACTATACGATACAAATTTCCACTTAAACGTGTACATATTCCCGTCTCCATTCCCCTTATATTATTATAATTAACGCGACGCGGCGATCTTGTTAATGAAAGGAGCAAAGTGCCAATCGCTTCGGCGGCTTCTTTCTATCCGGGCGATGGGGTAATTCAATTTTCGATGCCATTAAAACCGCCTCCGACCGTGCATAGTGTACAGCTACTTCTTTTCGCGGGGGGCTCCCCTATACACGTACGGTAATCGAACGGTTCCTTTGCGTTGTATTTATCATTTGGGTGAATTAGGGAGTATCGTAAGGACTAATTAATGTATAGGGAAATATCGATTCGATGCATTCCAGTTGTAGGGCCGTTCCGAAATTCCTGCATTAGCGGAGGAATGCCTTGGTAATTCCGATTGCGTGGATAACGTTTCGTTTTTATACATGAAAAATGCATTGTTTCGAGGTGTATAATATGCGGGGATTCACTGGAGGCTTTTCGTTTGAGCTGGAGATCCGCAATGTCCGGTTGTCAAATGCATTTAGGCTCTAAGGGTTACGGGGAGTTGATTTTCTAATTTCCCATTTCTTTGAGGGCCTCTTCCACGGAAGTTTCCTGTTTTGCTTAACGCGATTATAATACTGCATTTTTTTACTCAAAAGTTTGTACACTAAGGAGATTATTATTTTTTAAATGCGGTCCTGTACTAATTCGTAGGTTTATAATACTCCATTTAAAGTTCATAATTTATAAAGCTGCATTAGTAAAGGGTTTTTAAAATGCAAATTTTTTAATCGTCAAAGACTCGTCGTAATTCGGGTCGTGATTTTTAAAAGCCTCTCTGCAGCTTTATTAACCCGGCAAAATATGGGCTCTCGATTAAGATTACTTTTATCTCGAATTAAAAAAATAATTTAATTTGAAATTCCAGGTGCATTTTTAGTTCCCTACTGCATTATGCTGGTCATCGGCGGCATTCCACTCTTCTACATGGAATTAGCCTTGGGCCAATTCAACCGAAAAGGGGCCATCACTTGCTGGGGCAGATTGTGCCCTTTACTCAAAGGTAAGTCCGCCTTTTTCACAAGGCCTCGAACCGATCCTGACCGCAGCCCGCTTCTATTCAATAATAAAAAAACCATTTACAGCTTTTACAAGCCCCTAACAATATTCGAGCGCTCGAAAGGTCGTGAATCGCTTCTCTCGGGGGCCGCTTTTCCAGCGCGCTTTTCCTCGTCGAATTTGCAAATAACTGCCGCTTTATTTAGCCGTAATTCATAAGATTTGCGACGTCGAGTTGAGAGTGTTTCTCGGTAAAGCGACGAATGATAAATGCCTGCACGTCCGGCATGGACAGGATGATGTGCAATTCGCACGAGTTTGGATTTTTGATGATGAATTATATTAGAATCTAGTGCGTTTGTTCGTTAGATTTTATCGTAGAAGGGTAAAGAAGGATTGAAAATGATATCAGTGCGAAATGTAACATATATTATACCCTCTGTCAGGGAAAGTGTAGGGCTTTTCAATGAACCTTCTCCATTAACATAGGTTTAGAAGTCTACTTGTACCACCTTTCAGAGGAAGTTTAGAAACGAATTTACCAGTAGAAAAAACTCCTGTCTATTCCCTTACCCCCGCATATAGGTAAACACCTAGCTAAATCCCGAATAAAAACAGTCCTTCGAGCAGCGAGTTTCGACGAATTCCGAACAGTCTTAAGCTGGGTACGCATATGAGCACGTACACGCATGAGGCAACCCGAGGACGATCAGAGGCAACCCGAGCATACGTATGTGTACGTCCGCACGAGGCGTGCGGAACGGTATGCATGCGGCCTCGGCCCGATCCATTTCTTGGCGGTATATCAAAGTGAGGCAGCTGTTCGGTGCCTGCTCGGTACGTGCTCAGTCTGGACGGAAACAAACATTTCTTCGGCGAACGGTTTTGAAAAAAAACTCTGGAATGCGATAAGCGGCATGCCGACAGGAACATCAAGGGGTTTCTTGGAGATGGTAATGGGCATGGAATTTGAATTGGGAAGGAGAAGAGTTTTCTTAGTAAGGTTTGCTGAACTAAAATTCAGTTCGTCAGTTACCTCCAAGATTAGTGTGTGCTCTCCTGGACTGAACAATTAGTGTTACAATTAGTAATAACAATGGAATGGTCTCAGAATATAGTGCTACAGCTCATTGAAGAATACCAAAAGAGGGAGATATTATGGAAACCAAGGCACCCTTTGTATTTCAATTCCGTCAAAAAGCAAGACGCTTGGCAAGAAATAGCTGAAATGCTAAATATTGAAGTCCAAGAAATTAAAAAAAAAATGGAAAGCCTGAAAGGTTCTTTCCGCCGAGAAAAATGTAGAATAAAAAAAGGAACTGGTACAGGAAAAGGTGTGTAGTAAAATACTTTTAAAATTGTGATTAAATATGAATAATTTTAAAATACGGTTAAATAAAACGCACTTTTTTTACAGGACGTGATCAAATTTATGTATCGAGATGGTTTGCTTATGAAAGCATGAAATTCTTGGAAGACAGGGATGATCCAAACAAAACGTTAAGTGTAAGTAATTTTTGAAAATTTTTATTTTTATTACATTTTATTTTTTATTTTTATTATATTCAACGCTAATACAATTTATTGAATCAAAATTCTTATGTATAATTGTTTTGCCAAGATACAGCTCCGTTGGTAATAAAATATTCTGCAAACTCATCCCTTACTTCTTGACAACTAAGTTTAGTTCTGCGGGCTACATTTCTTAGAGGGAGAAAAGAGGTTGGGTTTTCATTTTCATTTCGCCATGCTCCGGGTATTATTCTACCATCTATTTCAGTATCAAAAGAACCTGCTGGAGTATAAATATTTTTGGACGTTTTGCTTCTTCGTAAAAAGTTATGTAAAGACACAATAGCCATTACTACTAATTTAGCCTTTTCCGGTTCCAACATCATAGGTTTTCGCAGCACTCGAAAAACGTTAGATAAAATACCAAATGTGTTTTCGATAATTCTCCTAGCTCTACTTAACCTGTAGTTAAATATTCTTTGTTTTGAGCCTCTAGGATGATAGCCAGGATATGGTTTCATAATGTTATACTTTAAGGGAAATGCTGCGTCTGACAGAAAAACATGCGGCAACGACTTTTGTCTTCCATTCAAAGGTGAAGGTGGAGGTAAATTTAGTTCCTGTTTGTCCATTCTCTTAGATAAGATAGTGTTGCTAAAAACACCCCCATCAGATATTCGACCCTGGCAACCAATGTCGACGAATGTAAAATTGTAATCGGCGTCCGCTGTAGCCATCAGAACTATACTAAATTGAGATTTATAATTAAAGAATTCGCTACCACTATTTACTGGTGCTTGTAAAACAATATGCTTGCCGTCAATCGCGCCCAAGCATTTTGGAAAATTCCAAATGTTTTCGAATTGCAGAGCAATATCTGCCCATTTTTCTTCAGTCGATGGCACCTGTAAAATAAAGAAAATTAATTACTTACAGTTAACAGTAATAAAAAACTAGTACTTATATACAAAAGTTATAGATAAAGTTATACATTTGTTTTTATTTTGTTTCAGAATGCAATGGAAGACAATTCTGTTGAACAAGAGCAAATGGCAGATCTCAGTAATGCGTCAGAAAATTCGTCAGAAAATGCGTCAGAAAATGCGTCAGAAAATGCGTCAGAAAATGCGTCAGAAAATGCGTCAGAAAATGCGTCAGATAATGCGTCAGAAAATTTAAATGTTATAAAAAGTTCACAGTCAGTGGAATATGTGACACCAAAAAAATTATTTAAATCACCGAAGAAACGTCCTTACGCAAAAACAAAAGCTAAAGAAGATCCGAGACTAACGGAAGCATTTAATTATTTGAAAAAGAAAACTGCAATTGCCGATCAGCCTAAGGATGACTGCCAGCTTTTCGGGGAATATGTTGGTAGGAAGCTACGAAATTTGCAGGGCCAGTTACGCGCTTCGGCTCAGCATAGAATAAGCAATGTTTTGTACGAAGTGGAAATGCAACAGTACAATTTAGCTGCTGTTCCGCACGAATATAGTCCCTGTGCGCAGAACGCATTATCAAGGAGTTCTTCATCATTTAGTACAGTAAGTAGTTGTACTGAACAACGACTTACACCTCAGGGAAGTGATGTTAGGGAATACTTACAAAGCTATTCCGATACCGACGAAGACTCCTTGATAAATTTGTAACAGCTGAGATAAATTTACAGAATACATTTTGTTTTGTTTAATATTTTTTTTGTGTAATAAACGTTTTTTTTTTAGTTAAGTGTTTTTATTACTTACCTGAACGTAATCAGCCAAACATTCAATAATTGCTTGACACACTTCTGGCACTATTTCGGAAATTAATTGTTTGGATACCTTGAAAAGGTATTGCAAACTGATAAACGAATCTCCTGTAGCAAGAAACCGAAGAGTTAGTGCTAGTCTTTCTTCAGCAGGAATAGCTTTTCTGAAGGACGTGTCGTGTCGTTCTATTCTTGGTTTTACACAATTTAAGAGCAGATAGAAATCTTCTTCAGACATCCTCGTAAAATTCTGGAAAAACCCGCTCGTTTTATCTGCCAGAAGATCTGTTATTAAACTTGTGCCATTTCGATTCAATTGTCTTCTATTAAAGCTGGGTACGCATATGAGCACGTACACGCATGAGGCAACCCGAGGACGACCCATTTGCCTCGGATACGCACAGCTCGGGTTCCTGAGTAGTGGACGCACGAGGCACTGTACGGAACCGATCCAATGAATGTAGCGAGCATTCTTGTTTTCAGTTGCTTTTAGCAGTTCGCCGAAGAAATGTTTGTTTCCGTCCAGACTGAGCACGTACCGAGCAGGCACCGAACAGCTGCCTCACTTTGATATACCGCCAAGAAATGGATCGGGCCGAGGCCGCATGCATACCGTTCCGCACGCCTCGTGCGGACGTACACATACGTATGGTCGGGTTGCCTCTGGTCGTCCTCGGGTTGCCTCATGCGTGTACGTGCTCATATGCGTACCCAGCTTAAGATATAATTGTGAAGTCCATCGTTTTGGTTTTTTCTTCTTTTTCTTACTTAACATATTGCTCAAAATTATAAAATACGCAGCGCATTCGCCGTCAGAACCTGAATCGGCCATATTTTAATAGCAACTGAAAACAAGAATGCTCGCTACATTTATTGGATCGGTTCAGTACAGTGCCTCGTGCGTCCACTACTCAGGAACCCGAGCTGTGCGTATCCGAGGCAAATGGGTCGTCCTCGGGTTGCCTCATGCGTGTACGTGCTCATATGCGTACCCAGCTTTAGAGCTGGAAATGCCGGAGGACGGCGCGTCATTAACAAGAAAAGCGGACCCGTTTTTCCTCGTGGATCGTTAGTCAATTATCCACTTTCGCTAATCGCGGAAACGCCATTGTGAGAGCGGCTCTTTGCGAACCGCAAAAGCCATTTTCTATACGAATATTTCGGGGTTATTTCGTCGCCCAGTCGAGGAAAATTTGCAATAAATTCCAATGGTGAAGGTACTTATATGCGCCTTGAAACTCGCAAATTCTGGTCTAAAATAAACGCTAACTTCATGCTAGTTTAATTTAGAATAAATGGTAGTTTTAAGTCCCGTGAGACTTGTAGAAATATCGCCGGTATAGAAGGAATAAAAAAATAATTTCCTGCTATTTTCTTTGCCCAGGTATAGGATACGCCGTGGTGCTGATAGCTTTCTACGTTGATTTCTACTACAACGTGATCATAGCGTGGGCTTTGCGGTTCTTCTTCGCCTCCTTCACCGATTTGCTACCTTGGACGACCTGCGATAACCCGTGGAACACGCCGAATTGTCGACCGGTAAGCGACATTTCGCGGAATTTCGATTAATCCACCCAACGTTCGTTGTCTGATTCCAGTTCGAATTCCCCACGAGGAACTACTCGGAATCGAACAGTTCCGAACCGGGCCCGACCGACTCCCGTTTCGCCTCCGCGGCCTCCGAATATTTCAAGTGAGTTCGATGGTGATGCGAAAAGGGATCGTTAAGTGTTGATGTGCTTTTTATAAAGGAAACCCGTAGAGTAAGATGCTTTTCTCGCCGCATTAAACCGGATTCCAGGCTCGGATTCTACTCCAAAAATTGCAATTTAGTGCACTTTAGTGCTTTACTCAAAATATTCCGAGTCAAAATAGCCCAAAGATAAATTAGCCTGAGACAAAATAGTTGAGATAAACCAGTCCAAAAGCGATAAAACGAGCATTGTTTATTTGATGTCCAAAGTTTTTCTTGATTCTACGAAAGAGTTTTGTCCAATTCCTGCTTGTTTTTGATCGTTCTATACTGCTCCACAAAAGTTAAGGAAATTCACGAATATTGAGATTAATTTAAAAGTTGCAGGTTTTTTGATCGCCAAATTTAGTCTGAGTTGTAAAGGAAGGAGCAAAAAAATTCACTCAGATATGAGAGAAAACATTTAATTTCGCGTATTCGAAAATTTGCGAAAATAATCGCAAAATTTGCGAACTTTTGTGGAGCAGTTTATTTTGTCATCTACGTTTCCAGTCGCGCCATCTTGGAGCTCCACCAAAGCCGCGGCCTGCACGATCTGGGCGCCATCAAATGGGACATAGCCCTCTGCCTGCTGGCCGTCTACATCATCTGCTACTTCTCCCTGTGGAAGGGCATCAGCACGTCGGGCAAGGTGGTCTGGTTCACGGCGCTCTTCCCCTACGCCGTGCTGCTCATCCTGCTGGTGCGCGGCATCACCCTGCCCGGCTCCGCCGAGGGCGTCCAGTACTATTTGAACCCCAATTTCAGCGCCATCGGCTCCGCCGAGGTGTGGGTCGACGCCGCCACGCAGGTGTTCTTCTCGTTGGGGCCCGGCTTCGGGGTGCTGCTGGCCTACGCTTCCTATAACAAGTACCACAACAACGTCTACAAGTAAGGGTAGATTAGAGTGTGTTTGAGATGGTTATATAGGGTGTATTTTGATTGCAACAACCTTTTGCTTCAAAAAATGAACGAATTGCTTCGAGGTATATGTCTAAAAAGAAGTGAAAGAAGAGAGGGTTTGCTTCGAGGATCCTGCTGTTGTTTAAGGCAAACGGTTTTAGACTTTGTTTAGGTTTATACTTCAAAGTAGCTTCATTTTTATAAATATGCACTAATGTCTACAAACAAGCATCTTTTTGGTAGATCTTGTTGTTAATTTGGATTAATTTTTTTGCAGGGATGCCATTTTGACTAGCGTCATCAATTCGGCGACAAGTTTCATAGCGGGTTTCGTGATATTCTCGGTGCTGGGGTACATGGCTCGGGCTGCCGGTAGGCCCATACAGGAGGTGGCCACCGAAGGTCCCGGCCTCGTTTTTATAGTGTATCCAGCGGCAATCGCCACCATGCCAGGCAGCATATTCTGGGCGTTGATTTTCTTCATGATGTTGCTCACTTTAGGTCTCGATAGCTCGGTAGGTTTGTACTCCTGAGAGATATCCAGGAGTCAACTACTTTAACGAGCATTTACAATATTTTTTTGTTCAATAGTTCGGCGGTTCGGAGGCGATAATAACGGCGCTGAGCGACGAGTTCCCGAAAATCGGTCGAAACCGGGAGATTTTCGTCGCCTGCTTGTTCACCGTGTACTTCCTGGTGGGGCTGGCCTCTTGCTCGCAAGGAGGTTTCTACTTCTTCCATCTCCTCGATCGCTACGCCGCCGGATATTCCATGTTATTCGCCGTCTTCTTCGAAGCCATCGCCGTCTCCTGGATATACGGCAAGCTATACAACTCCCTATTTTATGCAACCAACAACTCAATGACCTCTACCTTTGCAGGTACCCAGCGATTCTGCGACGACATCAAAGACATGATCGGCTTCGCGCCCGGTTTGTACTGGAGGTTCTGCTGGAAATTCGCCGCGCCCGTTTTCCTGCTCTTCATCATCGTCTACGGTTTGCTGGGCTACGAGCCGCTGAGCTACGAGAACTACGTGTACCCCCAATGGGCCAATATTCTGGGCTGGTGCATCGCCGGGTCTTCGGTGTTCATGATACCGGCGATGGGGGTCTACATGATGATAATAACTCCGGGATCTTTCTCCAAAGTGAGTGGATTTTGGTTATTGTTGCTCCTCCAATATAAAATGTTGCTCCGAATCTACCCTACTCTGATCTGCAATGAACCTTCTCTGCTCTGAATCTACTCTACTCTAATCTCCTCTGGACCTTCTCTCCTCTGAATCTACCCTACTCTGATCTGCAATGAATCTTCTCTGCTCTGAATCTACTCTACTCTAATCTCCTCTGGACCTTCTCTCCTCTGATCTGCAATGAACCTTCTCTGCTCTGAATCTACTCTACTCTAATCTCCTCTGGACCTTCTCTCCTCTGAATCTACCCTACTCTGATCTGCAATGAACCTTCTCTGCTCTGAATCTACTCTACTCTAATCTCCTCTGGACCTTCTCTCCTCTGAATCTACCCTGCTCTAATCAGCAACGAAACTTCTCTATGAAGCTACTCTGAATCTTCACTGCTATAAATCTACTCTGCTCTGCTCTGAATCTACTCTACACTGTTCTGCTTAGCATCTGCTCTGCTTTGAATTAGGTTTGCTTTGAAAAAATCCTTTTTTGCATTGGTAGAGATTGAAAATCCTGACGACTCCTTGGCGGGATACGCAAAGGACGTCCCAATTGAACGGGGCCGTGCAATCGGAGAGCAACCAGGTGCGCATCGCGACGCCCGAGGCGCCCGAACAGGCGCCGGTGGAGGTTTGAGACAAGAGGATGAGCAAATTCAAAGAGTATTACGTTTAGTTCCGTTGGGTTGTTTTTTTGTATCGTTTGGAAGCTTAGTTGTAAGGTAGTAAGGCGTTTTTTGTAACTTTGTATGTAGACTTATGTACCTGCTGTAATATGTAGATTATCTATAGGCTTAAATAATTAAATAATTCGTGTGCCCCTTACCTGATATGGGTTCGGTTATAATGATCTAATAATCACTGAAATTCGTTTTGAAGGATTTCTTTTTAAAGTGGTTGTTGGTTTCTAAGAGAAAGTTAAAGAAGCTGTTTTTGATGTAAAATATTTATCATATGGAACAAATTTTGGAAATCCCAGAGTGCTATACAGCCAGCATCAGATTTTTAATGAAACATCAGATGATAGTGCTAGGGGTTTTCGTAAATTTCGAATTACGATAAAATTAATCAAGTTTTTTTAAACTAAAATCTATTGGTAGGGCCCAATGGAGTTTAGGAAATTCAAAAAGGATACGGAAAACAGCGAAATGTAGATATAATAGCAATATAGCGGATGTATTAGTTAGCAATATTAGGATTTAGTATACAAATTGCGATGAAAACAAAACTGTACAGTGAAGCAGATGGAATATTTTAATGTAATTTTTGTACTATTGCGGTTAAAGTGAAGAAGAGCTTTAAAAATAAATAGTCCTACATGAAGACTGTGTTAAACAGCCATTTGACGAGTCTTCAGATTTTTGTACTGTCCAATCAACTGCTAATAGATTAAAAATTAAGTTAATTAATTTGAATAATAATTTATTTTACTAAGTTGGTTGGACTATTAAATGTACGTAGTAAATGTATAATATTTGTGTAAACAAAATAATACTTTTATCATAATAATTTTGTATATTTTTTGTATGATTGTTGAAAACGAGACATTTAATTTTTATTTAAAGATGTTTCGTTCATTCTAAACTATCAAAATAATTGTTTAATTTCGCAAAAGTCGATTGTAACAGCCATTGCGATCGGCTTTTCATTGTGTTAATATATTTATTTTATTATATCACGTGTATTTTGTACGCCCCTCGTAAAAAGCATAATTTTATATTACTTCAATGTTGTGACTTATAAAAAAGTTATTTTCATTGATTATCAATTACTCTACCCTCGAACAAGACTAGATTGTTTCATTCCTCAAAAAGAATTACCCAAAATGAAATTGTTCAATAGAAAAAACTACAAAATCTTCAATCACAAATTAGGTAGGTCACAAATTAACTAACATTTAATTGTTGATTAAATTTGTTATTTTTAGAGCACGATGTTATAGAAGTGAAGTTAATAGAAACGATATACAAAATATCCACATTTTTCGGTGTAGCACCTTTCTACGATTTCGACCAAAAACGAGCAATCCACCCAAAACTCAACTTACTCGTAATACTTTTAACATTCCTCTACCCTATAGGATCAATAGTTTTAATGATCCTTTATCAGGATTTTTTATCAGAGAAAGGTCCCGTCTCATTGTTCATAACCGAGACAATGAGTTACGTTAGTTACATCACTATACCTTTAGTAACTTCGCTTAGTTTATTACTTAAAAAGCACAATTGGGTGGAGTTTATGGTAAAAATAAAGGAAATGCGAGTCAAAATGAAGTCAAATCGAGCGTATTTTTCCAAAAAACTACTGCTGGTGATTTTCTTGCTGCATTTTATGGAATGCGCCAATATCGGTACACATTTAACTATTGATCCCAAAGACGTGTTTCTTTCTGCATACTTTTACTTGTATGAAACAGGTTTACTGTATTTAAATTTACTATTTTTCTCAATCAACAGAGTCCTGCAGGTATCTTACCAAGATGTCGATGAAAAATTCAACGAAATCATTCGAATTGGTTTAGAACAACCTTTTATTACAGACGATTCCAACGATAAAATCATCGCTAAATTACGAGAATGCTTCTATATTTACGTGGAATTGTATGGTTTTGTTAAAGATATCACCGGTCTCTTCGGTTCGACTATAACAGTAATTTTTATCTACGCATTATCGAATTCAGTGGCTATTTTACATTGGTACATCAATGGAACAAACATTCTTAACGCCGATTTGTTAGATTTAATGGCTACTGTAGTAAGTACAAACACCTACAGATCGATAAGAATAGCTGGACACGTTAAAGTCGCGAACTTAAAGCACTTGTAGTCGAGTATATTAAGCTAATTTTGTATCATTATCGTTAACAGAAGATTTATCGAGGTCGAGCTGTTTGAAATAATGTATCATTTGGTGAAGTATGTATATCGAGTTATTTTTTAGACATTTACGATTTCTATAATAATATGTTGTAATCAAACGGCCAATCAAGGGAAGTATTTCATACGAAGCGCTTATTTTATGGAGGAACATTACGCTATCAATTCCCCGATTCGATTGGAGCTTTTAAAAATAGCGGAATTATCGGAAAATTATCGACCAAGATACATCATACTCGGATTTTTGGAAGTTAACATGAGCACGATTGTATCGTTATTAACGACTCTATCGACTTATATATTGATTGTTATACAATTTAATCTATCGTAAAATTTATACCATTAGAAACGCTTTTAGTTTATTCCACACAAGTATGTTAATTTTAAAGTCGCTTTAATACATTTATTTTACTATATTTGGTGTAATCTTTTTACGCCCCTCGTAAAAGGGAAACAATTTTCTTTAATGCTTTCCATTATTTCGACACTAAGCGACTTCCTTTAAAAAGGAAAAGTGCCGAAAAGTGGTTTTCTTTATCGATTATCAATTACTGAATTGAACTAGACAAGATTGTTTCATTTTCTAAAGAGTGGCCAAAATGAAATTGTTCGCTAGAAAAAACTGGAAATTCTTCGAGCATAAATTAGGTAAAACAATCATATATTTGAATTTTAATAGTAATTAAATTTGTTATTTTAGAGCACGATGTTATAGAAGTGAAGTTATTAGAAATGATGTATAAAATATCCGCATTTTTCGCTGTAGCACCTTTCTACGATTTCCAACAAAAACGCCTAATCCACGCAAAACTCAACTTACTCGTAATACTTCTAACACTCCTCTACCCTTTAGGATCAATAGTTTTGATGATCCTTTATCAGGATTTCTTAGAAAAGAAAGAAACCACCTCGCTATTCATAACCGAGACCATGAGTTACGTTAGTTACATAACCGTACCTTTCGTAACATCTCTCAGTTTGCTGTTCAAAAAAAATCACTGGGTGGAATTCATGCTGAAAATGAAGGAGATGCGCGTCAAAATGAAGCTGAACTCGAAACGGGCGTATTTTTCCAAAAAAGTACTGCTCGTTGTATTCTTTTTGCATCTCGTAGAATGCGCCAACATCGGCACTCATTTAACTCTCGATAGCAAAGACGTGCTACTCACCACGTACTTTTACTTGTACGAAACAGGATTGCTCTACATAATCCTGTTGTTTTTCTCCATCAACAGAGTCCTGCAGGTGTCTTATAAAGATCTCGACGATAAATTCAAAGAGATCAATCGAATTGGCTCGGAACACTCGTTTTGCACGGACAATTCCGATGCTAGGATCATCGCGAAATTGCGGGAATGTTTCTACATTTACGTGGATTTGCATGGTTTCGTTAAAGACGTCAACTGTCTCTTCGGTTGGATTGTAATGGTCATTTTTATTTACGCCCTAACGAATTCAGTCGATATATTAAATTGGTACGTCAACGGAGCAGACATTCTCAATGCAGATCTACTAGATTTAATTGTTACTATAGTAAGTACAAGCTGATATACTCTATTTAAAAACTAGTAGGAGCATTTTGAGCATTTTGATTACATTCAAAAAAAGTTATTAGAAAATTTGTCATCTTTCATTTAAATAAAATTGAATGAAAGGAATGATAAAAGTGTTGCCAACTTAAATTCAAATCGCTCCTACTAGTTTTTAAATAGAGTATAGATGAAAACTCAACGGTGATACGAGGGTAAGGCGAAAAGTTCTTGAAACACTGCGATTTTCGGTTGAAATAATTACTTTTCTACATAATCTTCCACGATTTCAATGCATTGTGTACAAGTTATTCATCATTTTTGGATACGAAGCGTTTCCCAGCAACAAATTTCTTCAATTTTGGAAACAGATAGAAGTCTGAGGGTGCCAAATCAGGTGAATGTGATGCAGTTACTGCTTAATGAAGCGCCCTGTATCGGACCGAGTACTTTTCACCTTACCCACGTATATTAAAACCTCAATAACTCGTATTTACAACAAATCAATTGAAGCGTTGTTGCCAGCTTCGACTAAAAGAACAATATTTCCAGATATTTACGATGTCCGTAATAATATCCTGCAATCAAACGACCAATCAAGGGAAACATTTCATACGAATCGCCTATCTTATGGAAGAACATTACACAATCAACTCCCCGATTCGATTGGAACTTATCAAAATAGCGGAATTGGCCGAGAATTACCTACCCAAATACATAATACTCGGATTAGTCGACGTCACAGCGAGCACCATTATATCCTTAATAACAACTCTATCCACTTACTTGTTAATAGTCATACAATTCAATCTATCGTAAAACGCCATTAAAAAAATGCTCGAGTGCTTTATATTCTAAATTATCTCGTTCGAAATTACAAATTACGCTTCAGTTATCGACGAGCAGATCGCGCAGTTCGGCCGAAAGGGCAGCCGCGTCGGGCCTCGCCTGCGCGTCCTCTATCAGCGTTTGACTTAACCTAGGGCAGGCCTTCTTGTGCCAGTGCCAATGCAGCCTTTGGCAATTCCTATCACAGTACTGCACCGCCTTGCATTTGGAGCACTTCTTCGACGGCCTCGGCTCGCCGCAGGTGTGACACAGGCTCACCGAATCCACGAAGCCCATCTGTCCGTTGATGGCCGACGCGAGGACGCTCAGGGCCGAAGGGGGATCCTTGCCCGCCAAGCTGGCCACCATTTGGCGGAAGAGCGTGCATTCCCTGTGGGGGAACTCCCTCACGCAGTCCCGCAGGAAAGCGTCCATGATGTCGAGCTGGCCGATGTCTTTGCCGGGCTTCAACAGCTTCCTCGTGAACAATTCGATCAAATCTAATTTCTTATCGTCGTCGGTTTTAACCATCTGTTTCTGTTTGACTTTCAGCATTTCGCCTATTACGTAGCTTAAATAATGGAATTTGAACGCCATGACTTCGTTCTTTTCGTCTTCGCGTTTCAGTTCTCGCTCGCACATCAGCTCGAGGACCTTCTTGACTTCGGCCAGGTGATCGGCCAGCCCGACGAACGTTTGCACGTTCAGTATCACCTTGATCGGGTGGACGTTGGTGCGCATGATGAACTTGTGGAAGCTCTCCGAGAGAAAGGCGGGCAGGATTTGGGTTTTGGAGGCGGTCGCGCCCGGCGTTATCGTGTAGTAATCGACGTCTTCTTTGGGTATGAAGCTGTTCATGGCGGCGACGCACTCGTGGTGGCCCACGAAGGCCGCCATCTGGGCGGGGGTGCGACCGACGGTGTTGACCGCTTGGCTCTTCGCGCCGGCCAACAGCAGGGCCAGGCAGACGTCGGAGTTGCCCGACAGGGCGGCGAAATGCAGCGAGGTGTAGTTGTGCTGGTGTTCGCCGTAATTCACATCGGCGCCCTGGAAAATTACGTGTAAATTATAGGTGGGTAGGTAGGGGTGAGCGGAGGTGAATTACCTGATCTAGGAGGGCTTGTACTAGATCTTTGTTGCCCTTGTAGGCGGCGTGTTGAAGGGGGGTCATCGAGTTTTCATCGATTATGTTGACGTTTTTCGCATCGGCTAGAAGTGTTTTCAGTAATACCGCGTCGCTGGTTTCGATGGCTTTGAAAATTTGTTTCTCCGTTTCGGAGAGGTTCGTCTCGGACATTTTTTGTCGCTTAGTTTAATTAAAAAGGTTAAAAAAATCGGTTTAGTGAAATCTTTAAAGAGCTCTTCTTCTCGACGTGAATGTCATTTTCGACAATTTCGACTGTCAAAAGTGTCAAACTTCATTTAACTGTCAATGTCAAATTTTGGCTAAATAGAGGAAGATTTCCGGCGATGTTGCCATGTCGTTGTTTTGGGCGCCAGTGTGTATATTTTTGTATATCGATTTATTAGTGTTATAAATGTATCAAAATTATGTAGATTTAATAAAGTGTTTTTTGTAGTACTTTTTATAATATACATATACTTATTTTATTGCAGTTATAAAATGTTTGCTCACCAAATTTCTGATGATAAATATTATTAATAATTATAAATAAATTAATAGATTAGGTAATCTCAACTGTTGTTTCCTCCTAATTAAAACCACTTTCACACTTCCTTAAGAATTAGATAAAATTCGGGAATTAATTGATTGTCGATAAGAGCGCAAAATAATCGCTCGGGTATTTTGCGAATTCGAAAAATTAAATTAAAAATTTGAATAGGATTTTTCCTCATTTTCCATTCAAGCTTGACATGTGTTTATTTTCTATCAATCCGTTTCATAGATTTGCAAATAAATGGATCAAGGTGGAAATTGTTGCGCAATTTTTGCGACGATCGCGTCCAAAATACACAAATCGTTGTTGCCAAAGCACTTTTTTTTTTGTAAAAAATATTATTTTCTGGAAAAATAAACCACTTCATAAATTCCTCATCCTCGCTGATAAATACACAAAAGAAAAATACCTGCATTTTCTCGAGTAGGTAATTGAGAAATGTATAGCGTGTATATTCTCTTAACCTCCTTTTATCATAGGTTTGTAAGGCATTAAAAATTATTCAAAATTGCGAAAAACATTATTAAGAAATTCTGTATAGAAGAAGAAAATTTAAAAGTGTTGCCAATACGCTTAGAAACAAATTATCGCTATTTTTAAAAGACTTGACAACTCGGTTATTCCTTGGTCAACTGAGGACGGGCGAGCGTAGAAATAAATTAAAATAAACACATATTGAAATCTTTATGGTAGAAGTTTGTTCGCTTCAAATCCTTGACAGAGGATGTGGTAGAAATTCGTTATACATTCAAGTGCAAAGCCCGATAAATTTTTGGAATTTCTCTGCTTTTGTTCGTGATTATTCAAAGTGATTGTGTATTGTTGATTGTCAGGTAGGCGTATTTATTTTTCTATTTAAAATGATTTAGTTTCGAAGGTTGCGCGCAGTTTGAAAACATGGAAATAATAAATAATCGATATAGAAAACATATCTAAGTGTTCGAAATCTAAATAAAGATCGACTCGCGATCTATTTTCAAACGTCGGTTTTATTTTTGAATATTTTTTAATTAACAGAGTATTGTAAGTTTTGTTTTAATTAGGCGTGCAATATTTTTTTGTAGTCTCTAAATTCGCATATGATTCAATTCTTCTTCGAGAATAATTATTTCCTTTATCCTTGAATGCGAAATATTTTATATCCATCCTAACGAAACCAATGTGTAAAATTTATAATAAATATTTTATAAAATAGATAAAATATGTTAATATATTTCAGAGAATCCAATTAATTGTTTTAATTGTTTGAATAATTAAAATAAGATGGTTTATTTTGGTTGTTTTCCAAAAACGTGTTACTGATTGGTATTGCAGATAAATTTATTTCATAAAATGTTGTTATTAACATTTTCATAAGATACGTAATTACAAATTAAATTACATTTGAATCAAACTATTGATTTAACCTTTGGCACTCCATTAAATGATAATAAATGTATGGATTTCCAGAATTATACGTTTCTTCTAGAATTTTTCAACTGGAATAGAATTTATACTAGTAATAAAATTCAATACAATTTGCTGTTTAATAGAAATAACTTATAGAATATTTTAATGTAATATCTATAGTTATTTAAAACAGTTTTTTGATAAGCCAAAAATTACATTATTTCTGAACTAAACCTGATATTTTATTGGGATAATCTACAGAAAATTTAATAATTTTATTAATTTTATTTTAATTTCTATTTTCAGTTTCTACCATACCAAGATGAAGCTTCTTCATATAATCGTTGTTTTAACATACTTTAGCGTTGCGCACTCGTTTACAAGTAAGTAATTAATAAGTACTTTATTTAACATGCTTCATTTATTATTTATAGTTCGGAAAGGAAACTATCTATAACAAGTTCGTTTTCTCCAATTAATATAAGAATTTTTATTTGCGGTTATACACACATTTCACCTTGTTTTACTAAAAAAGGTCACGACTATCACGAATACCTTGATACAACAGATACGTCTCCATTAACATGTTATTTATAACAGTGAACTTGTTTCTTATTTTTTTTATCAACCAATTAACTCCGTATACAGGGTGGTTCCTATGTAATAGTCAATAGTCCAATCAGCAATGAAAGATCCTCCCTGTATATATTCTCTGTAAAATATCCCCATGACTTTGAAATACCGTCTACCTACGAGATAAACGATCACTATTATTCACTTGATAGCAATTTAGGTCTAGATTGAAAAAAATGCAAATCCTGTTTCTATTTAAAGCGACAAACAACTTAAAACTAATTGCTCTAATAACACGAGGTAATTTTATGTAGAATACGGACGGTCCTGCAAAGATATAGGATGTCCCTCGAACCAAGAATGCGTCATGCAAACTGACCCATGCAGTTACTACCAAAGACAAGGCGAATGCGGTTCGTAAGTAGATTTCAATCGCTAAAATTTAATTATTATACTCATTAAATTTGGCATTTTTCGCCTGTTTAGCTATCCATCGTGCCAAAGAGTCTCGAATTCCGCGAGAACGTGCTCGACGTACGTTTGCCCGCCCACGAAGGTGTGCAAAATGGACGGGGACACGCCGAAGTGCGTGGACGATACCAGCAAAGGTAACGAATTCACGCGACAAATCGACAGATAAAACCAATGAATCAATTTCAAGTGGGCCACGTGGGTTACGACACGCAAAGCCAGAACTCCATGTCCAACCAGCAGCACTCGGTGACCTCCAACAACCAAGGTTTGTACCCGCAATTGGGTAAAAAGGGCACCACTACCGTTAGACCGAACGTGTACAAACCGGCGACATCGCACACCGGAGGCTACCAAGGTCAAGTAGGCTCGGGGTATCCCCAGCAACCGGCCTATAATCCCCAGCAAGGTCAGTACCCGGGTTATACCAGGACCGGCGGGTATCCCCAGCAAGCTTATTATCCCCAGCAAGCCTATCCCCAACAAGCTCGTCCCCAGCAAGCCTATCCACAGCAAGCTTATCCTCAGGGGAATTACCCGCGACAAGCTTACCCCCAGCAAGCGACTTATCCTCAACAAGGATATTACCCGCAACAAGGAGCTTACCCACAATACGGTAAGTAGAAGCTTTAAATATACCTACAAATAGAGAAACGAATAGAGCTTAAAAAAGAGCTGGAGAATAGTGCTTGTGCTGTAAATAAATAGGCGTTGTCTTTTACTTTGCAGGTAACCAGCGACCGGCGCAGTACCCGGGCTATTCTCAACCCAACCAAGGCACATCGATAACCGATAAACTAACTAGCTCCATTAAGAATTTAGGTACTGAGCTGTTGCAACAGACTATCGCTAAAGCTATAGCCGGTCGGGCGCAATGAGATTTCATTGGGTTTTGTTCAGATTAATTTGAAATTTATAGGCTTTAGTTGTTTCGTATAAACCATGCAAAGGTTTGCAGTAGGTGTAGATGGAGACTTTCCCCTTTATCTTGTTTGTAAATATGGTAGATTAGCAAATTCGATTATTAGTTGGGAAAAATATTTCAATCCAGTTTCTCAAAAATTCCATTTTCCAAAATTGTAAAGTTCTCTATTGGTTTGTACAAATTGAGGGAATTTTTGGTATTAATTAAATTATCTCGGTATTAATTTTTCATTCTTATATTCGCTTGAAAGCTTTAAAAGCGTGTTATTCTGCAAATGTTTAAGTCAGTTTTGATATCGTACATTTGTTTCAGGATTTATGTATATTGTCTTGAAATGTGTAATTTCAAGATTGTTTAGTATGTGAAGGTAAACTATTATTGCAAAAATTAGAATATACTAAATGCATATTTGTAAGATTAACAAATATACTGTAGGTTTCTCTTCGATAAAGAAATGTAAGTAGCAGTGGTTGTTGTTTCGTGCTTGGGTGGTAGATAACAGTTTTTAAAAAATCTTTTAACAGTAAAAATAATCTTTTTTGTTGTTCGTTTCATGCACTAATTTCTTTCGTTATTTTGTTGTGTTATTAACGAATATTTTGTTAACTTTACAAAACCACCTAAGCAAATTTTCTTCTTTAATACCTCTTCTCTATCGTCTTCTTCAATTTTTCTTGTTTTTGTCTTGTTTTTCTTTATTGCACAGCAGAATCTGTATTATACGTTTTACTGCACTTTTCATTTCATTTCTTTATTACTTTCTTCACTATTTTCTGCATATCTGATAATAAAATTTGCATACATTTACTGGAAAGTCTTTCACAAGGAGAATGGAAAGTACCTTAAAGGGATATTCCAAATTGCACGTGTAAAATAGCTTGAATATTGCTTGTTTATTGAGTTATTTTGTTATTCTTTTACCTGCTTACTTCCTTCTTTTTTTATGAAATAACCTTGCTATACTCTTATGTATTCGATGTAAAATTAATATAGAAAGCAGCCTAATTAAATACCTACTCATTATTTTTTAACATGCAACTGTTACACTTTATTATTTATTCTCTTTTTAAGGTGGATATTTAAAAAACCAACTAGGAATCAAGAAATAGAGCCTAAGAACGTGTAGAAATAACAACAGTAAGCGACACTAATATTAATTTTATAAAATGATAATTGTACCTTCATAAATAAACTTCTTAATTGAAACTTTGAGTTCTTCAATTACCTATAGAAAAAACACTCATTTCCCTAACCCCTAGTTACGTTTGATCGATATTATTTAGTTGAACCTCACAATACTTATAGCAATTTATATTCTCGTATTTCATTCCTCGTTCAATACAAAATAATATTTAGATAAGTGGAATAAAATTATGCGAGTGACCAGCAGAACCGGACTAATTCCCAGTCCAATCAAGAAAGTAGTTCGTATTCAACAAGTAGGTAAAAAAAACAATCATTACAAGTTTCCAACACATTCCATATACTTTCAGGACATAGTTCAAATGATTCCCATAGCCCGTCCGGCTCCTTTCATTCTAAAACCCCTAGCCGGCCTGTACAATCCATTCGCCCCCGGGTGCTCCCTGCTCTGCAACCACCCCGCCGAAATCAACGCCAAGGAATTGGTGAAAAACGCCAAAACCACTTGGGTAAACCACCAACGAACGTACCACAATTCAACCACAAATTCTTACAACTTATTACAGAACTCGGAGAACAGAAATCTGATACCCATCGAGGGCCACGACAGCCTCCTCATCGAATTAACCGGAGAGCAACTCACCCCCACCAACATCTACATACCCCAAGTGGACAGCGTGCCAGAGGAACTATTCAGAAGGTTACTTCTATTCCCCAAAAACTCTGTTAGTTACTGCATAATATTCCAGGTACACAGACACGGATTCCCGCCCCCAAACGCCCGCCCCAACCCTAGCAAGCGGCCTCACCAGGCTATCTACATCGAGAACCAGGAGGTGCCTCACCCCCGATCCCATTCCCACCAGCAGAGCCAAAGAAAAGACCCGCCTGATACTCGATTTGAGACGAAGCCACAGCCAGGTTAGCTTGATTACCTCATAAATTACCTCATTAATTACCTCATTACCTCACGAAGGAAATTCTATCGGTGTACGGGGGATCCCCGTTCTGCTCGGAGGTGCCGGAGATTCGAATCGACAGCGCTGTCGAGGCTTGTAAACCTGCTGGAGATGAAGCTGGGAAGCAGGATTCGAAGCAACAGGGAGGCGGTAAAAAGGGGGAAGCGGTGGAGGAGGAGGTGGACTCTCCCGAAGAGGAAAACGAGGAGTTCGTTAAAAGGCGCGGGAAGAAGAGGCGGAAGAAGTCTAAGGATTTGAAGTGCCCGATAACGTACCAGGCTTCGACTGATCCGGAGACTCAGGTTGCTTAGGGTAAATGAGAATTTAGGGGTGGATTGGATTAGTTTGAGTTTTTTAGGTTGCGACTATAGGATTAGAATCTGTGAATGTTAGCGCAAGGCATTCCATCGCTCCTGATAGTGGCGGTGTTGTAGAGGCGCAGGAGCAGGAGGAGATTGTAACAGTTCCAAAAAAACTGCTGAAATCGTCGGACAGTTTGGAAATAGATTCGTATTTGCCCAAAGATATTTTGAAGCAACTCCGAAGGGAATTGGACTATATCGTAGTGGATAACGAGCTGAATCTAATGGTAATAACAATACATAGTTAGGAGTACTATTTTGAAGAATTTCTTGCAGAAACGAAGAACGCTCGAAGAAGCCCTCAAAGCTGTGCTAAAGGACAAATCTCCTTGCGAGGAATTGGATTCGTTGAAAAAGGAGATGAAAATTCCTCCAGTCAACGACGATCTCTGGATCTCTTTGCCCAGAATATTCAGCAGATCCAGCGCAATTTTCCAATTACCGATGGACAGTGAAACATTCGCAAGTAAACATACAGGGTGTTTATTAAGTACACAGTTCAAAGGGTAAAATTACTCTCTATTATCTACTCTTACTTTTGACTCTTTGAAGTTTGTACTAATAATTAATAAACAAACTGTATATCGAGTGTTTTTCCAGCGATGACTCCAATTGAGTACACGACGAGAAACGTGAAGATATCTTCGTCGAGGAAACTTCTGTACAGTTGCATTTTCCAGAGGCACAAAGTGGAATGTGAGAATGAAAACGGGCGCAAACGATACTTGAATGAAAAAGTAATATACTAATGCTAAATTGTGCGTAGTTTTTAGCGGATTCGATTCCAGAAATTGAAGAATTGCCTCGATTTAGTGATGGGAATGGCACTAACTGAACATCAATTCGATCGTTTCAAAAACCTAGTGGAATGGAACGAGGAAATGAAGCTCGACTTTAAACAGTGTTGCGGGTTGTTCGCCCTTTGCGAAAGGATTTTATCGCCGGAATTCCACGAATTATCCAGCAGGAACCAGGATCCTTGCCACGAGGTACTATAATTGCTTGCAGTAAATTGCCGAGTAATTCTGTCCGATTTTACAGATCGAGACCGCTGATTTCGAGTATTTGGAGCTAAAGCTGCAAGACTGCCAGATAAGCGAAAACTTGAAGACGATTTTGTACAATTTAAAAACTATTTAGGTTCATAAACGCAAATATGAACTAATCTGTTTACTTCTCAAACAAGAAACATCAAAATTGAACACGTTTGAACACTTAAGACTATTAAAAAATTACTCGGGCTTGGAATATTTCTTCAACAAATCGTTGATTTTTTCCTTATTTTCCTTGTAATATCCACTCGGCGTCAACGACTCGCTAGGCGCATTACCCTGGCTATTATTCATGTAATAATCAAAAATACTCTCCACATTCTGGCAAGCCTTCGCCTCCTTCCTCCCGCCGAAATTGAAAAAATTCCGGAAATTCGTCTCGCTAGACTGAATAAACTCGTCGAAAACGCTGGCGTTTCTATCACTAAAAATCGTCATGTCCACGCTCTCGCTGGACGAACACGCAGGAAACCTGCCTCTCGAGCCGCCCTCCGGCTTCGAAACGAACTGGAACCCCTTGGGCGTCTTCCTGAAGGCCCCCAGGTAGGTGGCGCTCCGGATTTGCTCGACGGTGGGGCGGTTCATGCGCCGCTCCACGTACTTGCTGATGTTCGACGAGCTGGGCGAGCTGTTCAGGATCTCCCTGTCCTGCTCGTCGAACTCCTGCCGGATTTTCCTGGCGCTGAGCTTCTTCGGTGGCACGAATTTCCGGAGGCATCGCCTCGGCGGTTTTTTGGGGTCCGCAGTGAAGTTGCGGGGGTCTAAATGGAACGATTTGTTGCTGCTGCTGCTGCTGCATTGCTCGATTGGAAGAGGTGATGTCTTCTTGAACGAGCTGGGTTCGATTATAGAGGAAGCAATCGATTCTGGTGCATCTGAGATGTGTAGTGTATTCATTCCCTTGCAAGAGCTGGGTTTGCTTGATTGTGATGGGTGCGAGAAATGTTTCTTCTGGGTGGGTTCGAAAGGGTTTTTGAAGGAGGAATCGGTGGAGGGATAGGAGCAGTCCAAGTTGCGTTTTTTCGAGGCGGAGGAGACGCTGGTGGTCGAGCGGTTGGTGGAAGATGTCGAGGGTAAAATGGTGTCTTCGTCTGAGGTACCTGACGTGTCGAGGTGGCGTTTTTTGGACGCCGAAGAGATGCTGTGTTCTTCGTTCGAGTTCGGTTTTTTGAATACTTCGTTGGATGAGGTTGGGGAGTTACCGATGGTTCGTTTTTTAGATGCGGAGGAAACGCTGGTGTTTATTTCGAAGTTGGTATCTTTAAATCCGAGAGTATCTAAGCTGGGTCTGTTAGATTGCGATGGTGGAGCTTTAGGTGAATTGTTAAGTGTAAAAGCCCCATTTGGTAATAAATTTTTACCTTTCATCGTCGATTTTGGTGTGTTTTCAACTTTTTCTGCATTCAAATTTTGTTTCTTAGACGGAGGTGAAGTGTTGGAATGACAACGTAGGAATTTTTGTGGCGCATCAATAGCTCCTTTTTCTACATTACAGGCGGAATTATTTTCACTATTTTGGGATATAACAGGATTATCTTCCCGTCTTTCTTCGCTGGTACTTGGTTGTTGGTGCATTGAGGAAATTTTTAAATTATTTAGTTTCCTGAACAGGCTTGATGTGGGTGAATAAGTTTCTTTAGGTATGAGTAATTGCTCTGAAATACCGGTAGTTTTCTTCGAAATGGAGGTATTAGATCGTTTCGACACCGAATTTTGACTCTCTCCCTGTCTGCTTGTAAAAGAGTTTTTGGGCGTACTCGTGAAAATGGAGTTTCCGTTATCTTCTTGGGAAATCGAAGTATCATTTGGCCCTTCGACAATGTTTACAACAGGAGAAATGTAGCGATAATAAGAGTGCTTTTTGCCCGTTATTGGATTGTATTGAGACATGTTTGGACTCAATTGATTTAATTCTTGTGAAGATAAAGAAGTATTGTTAGAATCTTGTGGTATATTGCAATGTGATTGCTCCTTATCATCCTTTCTATTTTCAAAAGGTTGCTTCTTAGTAACTTCTGCGATATTGTTTGATTCCTTATCTTTTACATTTTCATTTTCATCAATATTTTTGTCTGTAGTAAATGAAGCAATCTTATCGCAATCATTAAATTTCCTAGTTGCTTCAAAGTGGAAAGTGCGATTCCTATACTCATTACCATTAATTACACTTGATGTTTCATCTGATGGAAAAGTTTTATCAGCATCAGAATCTACAGTATCATTAATACTTTTTGCAGCAGAAACATCTTTTTGTACCACACCTGGTCTGTTATTGAAGGAAGAAATTTCGTAATTCCGATACCTATTTACATCCACAATACTTCCGGATTCTTCTTCAATGCGAGAACTCTCAGCCAACTCCGTTGTAAGACTAAATACTCCGGGATTTCCGAAATTATCCACCAAGTCTTCGTCATTCTTCTCGGTATTTAAAGGAGTATCGGACTCCATCAAATCGCGTAGGTTTCTGAAGCAATCCTGAGTGATGATTTCGCTCGATTGGCTATCGATAGATCGATACGTTTCTAATCGTTTGGGAGCCGGTTCGTGTGGAAAATCGGATTTCAGCGAATAGCCCTCTGTAATAGTAACCAAAGGTTGCAACAATTTCATAAATTCCGTGTTATTGGACTGGTAACTAGTATCGTTCAATAACTCCTCTTTGTGGTCTCCGGAGAACGTAAAATTGAACGTTTGTTGATTTCTGGAGCAATCCTGCGAGCTTATTATCGAAACCTGATCGTTTCCAGCGGGAACGTTAGCGCTTTTTATCGAAAACTCGATATTCTTGAGGGTATAATTCAATTGCTTGAGCTTAATTTCGTATATATTTAGTGCTTTTTGGACCGTCGGTAGCAGAAACAGGCCTCGTCTTTGTAGCTGCCTCAGCGAGCTTTCAATCGTGTATTTCAAAACGAATTTCTCGTCCAACGGAGTGAACATGGTTCTCTGAAAACATACAAGAATGAAGTTTTTAAATAAATTTATACTTATAGTTACCTCTTGTCGTTTTTCTAGACGATCCAAAGTCGCATCGGTGACTTGTATTATAGACTCGGGCCAGATGTTTCTAACGATATAAACCCCGTAACGTTGGATTTTCGTTACGCCGGCGACCAGACTGTACTTGTAATCTAATTTAAACGTTTTCGGGTCATCACCGCTGGGGATCGTCTCCATTTGCCAACTAAACACGCGTTAATTAGTCGAAAAATTAACGAAAGTTTCGATTTTCGGTACCTTCTTACGTGCGGATACATGGAGGATATGTTCGTGAGCATCTTGAAATGCGTCGTTACTAAATAGAAGGATCGATTCAACGATAATTTCTCCAATATCGCTATGGCTATTGATACTCCCTCTTCCACGGACGTCGACCGGCCCAATTCGTCGATTATCACCAGAGAATCCGATGTCATCGTCGACATTATGTATTTAATTTCCTTCATCTACGCCAAACAAACGTTTTATAATAAACAACAGTTAAATATCTCTATACAATACTTCTAGCACGAAAGACGATGCGTTATAATCCATGTTATCGTCCAAGTAGATCCTCGCGAACATCTTATTGACCGGCTTGAAAATGGCGAATTCCGCGGGGATATAAGCGCCCAATTGGGCCATTATTTGAAGCAGCATTATCTGCCTGATGAAGATGCTCTTGCCCGAACCGTTCGGGCCCGTTATCACGTGCACGTTGTAATCGTCAGAACAAAACTAAAATCAATCAAATTCAACTTATAGATACATCTATTGCCTATGTTATTCTAAAAATAATCCAAACCAGCAGAATTGTTATAGGAGAGATATAAGAGATACTATAGTTGAGATAATGAAGAATGAAGGAAAAGGAAAGAGAGGAATGAAGGCATTCAGCAAAAAGAAAGTAGAATACTTCGAAATGCGAAAAGTGAGCCTAAAGAGTAAGGGAAGAAGAATAAAGGGCTGTTTTTAATGGATATAGAATCCTCAGAGTCCTGCGAGGGTGTGCGTAAAATCATTTTCTCCTGCTTCTAAACAACAACAACTTCATCTGTTCTACATCGGCTCAATTTCGATGGAGACTTCTAGACACTCTCGCGCTTGCTTGGGAACTTACTAGAGAATTAGCGACCGGTTTCGAAGGAAGTAGAAAAGTCAACATGGGATGTTCTCCGTTTTTAATTTCCGTGTAATCTCCAAATTCCGGGCGAATGTAGTTATTTTCCAAGCTGGCCTGCGCGAGGGATTGATAGACGTCGAGCTGGGCCAGTTCCTCGCAGAGTTTGTAGAACAAGGGCATGTATTTTTTCAGTTTTACCACCATTTCGTATAATATGCTGAAATTGTTTTGTGTTCATAATCAATATATAATTCTAATGGAATTGTTGGGTTTAATTTACGTGTTGCTGATTTTTAGTATGTCTTCTAAAATGGCTTCTACTCTCGTCGAAATGTTGACTAAGTTAGGAGTTTTCATTGTGAAGGATTGCGCGCAGCCTTGCACCTAAAAATTCAATTTTGACATTACATATCGAAATTTATAAACGAATCTTTACCTCTATAAATTCCGGCGGAAGATCGCTCTTCTTCATATTCCTCATTTGCTTATTCAAATTCAATACTATATGGTAACCTTTCTTTGCGTTATTTCCTAACGTGAACGGTAAATTGTACTTTTCAGATAACGATTTCACATAATCTAAAAGTAACATCGAGCGTATAACAATTTTTGATTGAAAATTTTATAATTTACCGGCCATATCGTGAATTCGTTCCGAATAAATCTTCCTCACGACGTCGAGCAATTGATTCACTCCGGGCTTGATGCAATAGCATCTTTGATCGATCGATGCGGTGCCTTTTGAAAGTTGGCTGCTTTCCACCATGAAATCCCTCACCATGCTCCTGATTTTGGCGAAAGACGGGTCCTTTAAAGTCTTTTGTAATTGAACGAAAAAGGGCTGTTTCAACGAGGCGACCATCTCGTGTAAAGGACTCAAAAAATCGATGATATTGTTCAAATTCATGAGGTAGTTCAATTGGCGGACTGAGCAACTTTTCTGCGGATCTTCTGGTAGTAAATAGGGCAAGTTCAACAGCGAATCGATTGTTGTTAGTTTTTGCAAAGAAATCTGGGAGGAATACAAAGTTCATTAAACGTCGTTAAAGCTTCATTAAGCTTCGAGTATACTTGAGTGTTGGTTAAAGTTTGCCGGTTGTTCATCAATTCCTCCACGCAGTTTAAACGAGCGTTGATAAACTCGATTTTGAACAAAGGCTGGAGGATCCAAGACCTCAACATTCTGGTGCCCATTTTGGTGTAGCATTGATTCAAAATGCCCAACAGCGAGGAGTATTTGTTGGCCTGGCAGGGCTTCGTGCTGCAAACTAACTCCAAGCGGTCTGCTGTTGCTACATCTGTGGAAAATTAAAATTATTTTGCAGGTTATTTTTTTGTAACAATTATTTATACCTATTAACGCGTATCCTTCGGATTCTTGGTAGTCGATTTTCAACGATTCAGAAGCGTAGAATATGTACAGGGTGTCTTGAATATAGCTGATTAGCGCTGAAGTAGCGGCTAATGCGTAATACCTACAAAAACATTGCATTTACTATAAGATATTCGTTAAAAAATAAATGTATTTTTCTTTGGTTTGTCTCAGTAAATCACCTCTGTTGCAAGACCAAAATAATTCCATTTAAAGAAGGTATGCAAAGCTTTGAAATCATATCCAAACCGGACTTGTTATTAAACCATCTTCTCTGTACAGCAAAGTATTTTGCTGTAGGGAACTGATTTCTAATTTTCGTCAATAATCGACTACCCCCGCTGGTCTCGAATGTCTTAGGGTATATAATCTAAAAATTAAATACCCACTGTAAAACTTATTGCCTACTGAATAGGCGTATCAACTAAGTTATTCGTTAGATATAGAGATTAATAAGTACTTCTGTGGGGTTGAATATATTAATTTTTGTCAAAGTGTTTGTGTAAGACTGCGTGTCGGATATCTGGCAGAGGATTAATGTGGGATTGGAGGTTTTAATAACGGCAATTCCGACCTCGCATCTGGCTTGGCCCCTTCCCTCAGTCAATGCTGGAATAATAGAGGGTTTTTATATCTATTTATATCTATTAATCGATTATAATTGCTCACCGACTACGATTTTGGATTGGTCCTTATCGGAGTTTCGCCAATCTGAAGATCTCCGGCTCGAGGGAGTCGTTACGATGCTGTTGAAGGTACAGAAATAAATTTAATTAGCCAATTATTTACCTACTAGTAGATGGATTTGTGTGTAGAGAAATGAGTTTAATTAATTGATTATCTACTAGATTTGTGTTGAATTATTTTTACCTTGCAAAGGCGCTACCCCAATTAGAGGAAGAAGGGTCAGTTAGGGATTTTTTCGCTGATCTTCCGGCGTTGCTGTAACTCGGTTCTACGAGGAATATTCGATAAATTAAATTAAAATTAGTCAGAAAAAGTGTGTCAGAAGAAAAGATTTCTTAAGACCCTCTGTTGACATTTTTTGGCAATCTACCCACTTGTTTAATTTATTAGGACCGAAAGGAACGCCCTGTATAATTATTACAACAGTTGTTATTATATGGGTAAATGCAAATTTGATTTTACGAGTTGAACAAAGAAAGATTATTCAAATAACAGTTGGTTAGAGTGAGAATGTTGCGATCAACCCACTATATCAAATATCCCACTTTCTTATTCCTACTTTTGTACCTTCTACTTACGCCATTTTGCAAAAGAAGAGATACCTATAAAAACTTTTTATTGTTTTAAATGATTAATGTAACTTACCGCATCTTTCGGTAGCAATAAATTTCGTCTTTTTGGATTTATTTTTGGGATTTAACGTGTATTCATTTAAATTCATCGTTAAATTCAATTTCTCAAATACAATTTTCTAGATCAATACTGACAGGTAAATTTTTTTTTAATTTCACAGCCACCTATTTTGGAATTGCAATTTGCAATTAAAATTCTCTTTAGAATAAATATATTTTTTTAATTCAGTAGCATGTATGGTAATTTTTTAACTATAATGTGGCTGAATGATACACTTGTACAAGTTCACAAGAAAAGTTAATAATTTAATTTACAATCTTTAAATGATATAATCTTTCCTACTGTAATATAAATTAAAAATAACAATGAATGAAATCCATGTATGTGTTTTAATCTAAATACAATCAAGTATGTAGGTTCCTTCGAATTGATATCCTTTTATGTAGCGACTTGATAATGATTTTATCTGGTCAGTGTACGATAGGATAAAATTTCCAATGAGTCATAAACTAGACAATCACAATCTGTAATCATATCTAAATTTATACAATAATTATCCCGATTATCCCACATAAATATCAACGAAATACACGTGGCAACGTCGCATCGCGAAGAATCTGTCACTTTTTTTCCACCTCTAACCCTGCCATTTCTCGATTTCGTGAACTTTCGTGTTTTATGGCATTGTATGTTGACAAATGGAGTGACGGGTATACGGTGTGTTACAAACATTTCTAAACTACAAAAAATTCATCGGAAAACAGTAAAATGGGCTGTGAATAATTCGTTTACGTTAAATGTGTAGTATAAGCTTTTGTGTTTCGTCCAAATTATTTAAATATGTGTAATGTACCGCCAAAGTTTTATCAGTTGTGTCGTTTGTGTTTATCTCATGATAAGGATAATGCTTTATTTATCTTCGATAAGGCGGCCCTGGAAAAAAATATCTTGAAGAAGATCATGACGTGTCTGTCAATTCTGGTAAGATAAAATTATTGAGATAAAAGCGACAAAACGTAACCCAATATACCTTCGAGTAACCTAATTGGGGCTCGTTTTTTTTTTATAATCTCCCGATTCTAATTTTAATCCGTGATAATGCAACGCGAACGGGGGGGTTATTTCGGGACATTTAACCGTCTAATGATATGCAGTGATATAAATATTTCTTTTTGTTTGGAAAACATCTGCTTTACGTACGCGTGGGACGAGATGATGCATTGTATATTTGATTACAGCAGACCATGTCGCTAATCAACATCGATATACCACATTTTAAACGTCACGTTTCCTAACAATAACCTGAGTGATTGTAAATAGAAAGTTAGCGAGGAAGGAGAGATTTCGAATGAGATAAAGATGTGATAAGGAGGTTTCACGTTTTCTTTGTCTTTGAATGCGTCTATTAAAATCGTTTTTATCACTGTAAATATATTTGCTATTAAACTAGGCGTTATTTATGATGGAAAATAAATGGGAGAATTCGAAGCAGGATTGCTTGGAGTTTCGTCAAAAACTGAAGACTCATATGTTGTTAATCTAAAAATAGCAAATCTAATCTTTATATTTAGGTATGCACTATCATTACATAGTGTAATCAGAGCCTCTCCTTGTGCTTGGAATAAGTTATAATCATGCACATAATTTTATTCTAGACGTATATTTTAAATACAGTAAATTCTCTCCTTTGTTGCTAGATTATTCTGTTAAATGATTAAATCTAATACAAATCAACTAATATGTATTTCAGAGCTATTCGTTGTCCCTTATTAATAATTTAATCGAGTATTATCCTTACAATATTTTGTATTATTGCTTTTGATGTTTAGTATTCTCACCTATTCCATTTCTCGTTCATTTGTAAAAATGTTTAATTCATCATGTACGAAACTTTGTTCTCATTTTCAACTGGTTTTCGAAGTAAATGTTGCGTTTAATTAACTTTTGCCGGGCGCTTACTTTGTAAAAATTTTTTTAGTGAGTATATTTCTGAGTAATTTCTTTATGCAATTCTGTATTTTTAGATCTCGGAAAAGGACGAACTTCCGCATGTAATATGCCTGAGCTGTTCCGAGCAAATCGAATACCTCTACAAATTCAACGAACTGGCCAAAAAAACCGAAGACATTTTACATCAGTTTCTAGTTTATACTAAAGAATTGAAAGGATCCGAAGAGGTAAATAATCCGTTTTAACGTTAAAAGCACTAACCTTCCTCAAGATATTTATCATTCGATTATAAAAATACAGCGAATGTGTATAAGGCTTGTAGATCAAGGTAAAAAATATAAGTAAACAACGCATTAAAACGCTCGTATTTTATTATTGTAATTTCGACGAGCGCAAACATTAAAAACAAATATACCATTTTTATAAATAATTTAGAAAATAATTCACGTACAACTTGCTATGTAGAAAGGATTCTCTTCAAATGTGCTGTGTGTTGATAATGGGATAATAATTAACTTGCGCCATGAAAGGATAATTCCTTAGGGTTACTCGTTTTTTGTACCGTAAAACTGCTATAGCCACCAGGACTCCCATGCTTGTTATTAATACAGAACTTACTAGGATAAAAGCTAATCTTATTGTGTTGAAATGCTTCATTATCTTCGTTATATGTACCGGTGGTTTCTACAACATTTAAATCAATTTATACTATTTTTTTTACGTATTTATTGTACCCACCCCCGAGCATATTCCTTCCTCTAAATGGTCCACTCTTTGAATCGTGTCTTCGACGTCGTAGAAACACACCGGACTCTCCAAAGTTCTCGTTATCGACTCCGATAGAGCTTTCGTAATGTTATACAAAGCGCAAGTGCACTCCAGCATGTTCGAATCGATCCTCAAAACCTTCAATTTCGACCAGTTCAACCCGAAATCGATGCTGGTAAGGGAGTTGTTGCTCAAATCTAACTGAAAATGATTCGATCGAAATTTATCGGAGGATTATTTAAGCATACTTACTTCGTCTAAAATTTGGTTGTCCGCGAAAGCTTCTTTATCGATCGCACGAAGGTTCAAATTATTACTAACGTACAATCGTTTGAGGCTCTTTTGCGTGGCGAAAGTGTTTGCTTCGATCAATTTCAATCTCGGTAAATTGTTTAAATGGATTTCGGTCAAATTTAAACCTATAACAACCGAATTCGTGTAACTAAATAGGTATTTTTAGGTGCATAATTAGAGTATTTACCCAGAAAACTCTGACCGTCGAGTTTGAAGATGTAATTATCGTTCAGTTTGAGCACCTTCAAGTTCTTGCTGATGTAATTCAAAGTAGTAGGCACGAAGTCCAGTTCGTTGGAAGACAAATCCAATTCGATTAAAGTGTGTAGGTTACGCATGATGCTCGATTCCAATTCGGTGAGCTCGTTGTTGGCTAAATTGAGCACCTAAAAACGTGCATAATATGCATAAATTTCGGAGATGTATTTACACTATTTACCTTGATGTGTTGCAGCGATCCCAGCGCTACTTGCGTGAGAGGATCCAGAACTTTGAAATCGTTCCCTTCTAAATTGAGTTCCTCCAAATAGGGCATGCTCTCGAAGAATTTCTGCGGCAGGCTGTGTATTTGATTGTAGGCCAGGTTTAAATGTTTCACGGCTATCTCTCGGTACTGCTTGTTATCGTAGGGTCCTTTGAAATCTTCTCCGGATATTTGTTCGGCTAACAAATTTATATGAAATTTATATATTTAATTGTATTTAGTAACTTACTCGTCAATAAATTGTAGCTTAAATCTATATATTCGACGTATTTGATGTTCGAAAACACTCCAACATCTAAATACTGTATATTGCAGTGATCGAATATCAATTTAGCCGTTCGATTGGTGAACGGTAGCCTTTCCAGGGTGATTATGTTGTTGTAACTGAACGTTGCGACTAGTGACTTATTATGTGGAGGCCAGTTGGCTAATGCGTGCTGGATGTTCTGATTGGAGCAGTCCAATAAAAACGAGTCATTATCCAGGCATGTGCATTTCTCGCATATATGGGACGAATTTTGATACGTTTCTTCGGATAATGTTAGTTTTATTAAACACAATAGTACCTAAAAAAGTCAGATTACAATGTAGGATAAATATAATCGATACCAACTCGACAAAACAAATATTTACCGGTTACTCATCTAATCTTTAACACACACTATTCTCGTTTTATTACATTAGAGGATGCCATTTGTAACTTTTTATTCTCTAAAGAAATTAATGATCTACTTACCCAAATTAATTTCCCCATTATTTGTTTTTTTTTTCTAAACCATTTATATTAGTCACATTCGACACCTTCGTACTTTCCTGCTCGAGTATCTTATCTCTTCTAATCTACCAACTTTTATCATTCGTGAAATTATTACACGATTATGATAGTACGCAGGCATCGTAAACGCTCGATTAGCAATGTATATTGTAATTAAATCTATTCGAAATCGCATTGAATTTCCAGGAGAACATGCGCCAATCCGAAAAGCTGTTAGAAAATCTCACATCTTCCATTCGATCGTTGCCGGACGATTTCAAAATCGAACCGTCGGAGGAGCCCCGAGACAATGCCAGAGCTTCGAAATTGGAACTTCCAGTATTACTGAAACCAGAACCGGCGTTTCAAGAAACAATCCCGACACCATTCGGCCTAAACAAATTCGATTCGAACGTCCCCGAGGAACCTTCGGCGGTCCAGGACCTCTCCATGGATCTATCCAAAGACACTCCCGACGAACGCGAATCTTCATTAACTATATCGAAGGTACTCTATTAATATACAATTCGCGTTGATCATGATGCGAGCGTAAATTTGTAGGTGGTGCCTTGTACTATACCGCGCTACAGCTACGACAGCAACCTATCGGAGCCGACGCGTCAGGACTACGTCCGCTACATGAACCCGGAGATCGAGCTTCGCGACGAATCGAACCCGACGGAACCGACGGATTTGTCTAATAAAAAAACCGAAAACGTCACGTGCATCCCCGAAATAAACTACATCAGAGAAGACGCTGATACGGTATCGGTGTCGAGCGTCAGCTCCGATCCCGATCGCCTGGAAGTCGACATGTCTCAAGTAAGCTCGAGCGAATCTCACCGATGATTCGATTTAAAATAAAACGCGATTTTTAGGTGAACGAAGACCACAGCGATTCGACGACGCACAGCGCCGCCTCCGAATCCGGCCCGACGGCGGCGGCGGCGGCCACCGCGCCGGAGACGAGCGCCTCGCTGTGGCGGGCGCTGTCGCGCAACGGCTACGAGCCCGCGCTCAGCGGCGAGGCCGGCCAGCTGCTCAGGAAGCTGATCACCTGCCGGAAGCTGGGCATGACGATCACGCCGACGACGGCGCAGGCGCGCGAACCCGAACGAGCCGGCGCCGAGCGGGCGCATTCGAAGGAGGGCAGACGGAAGCAGAGCTATCCGTCGAAGGCGGCCGTGGCCGGCGACGCGCCGTGTCCCATGGAGCAGGACAACGACGAGGACGAGTACATGCCGGATTTCACGGGGAACAATCCTTGGTGTAATTTGGTGAAGTCCAGGGTGAGCCATTCTTATATTTATACTAAGGGGAGTAGAGCACAAAAGTGCTTCGAAGAGAGTAACTAGACGTAGTAGATAATAATAACAATTTGATTCAACTTACCGGAACTCTATTGATACCAGATATACCTATGGTTGACACTCACCTTGAATGTTCGGGGCTCTATCGCTTGGTACACCTCATACACCTAGCATAACTAGTGATTCTACCTTTGTTTTTCTACCATAGTCCCCTGACTCTTCTACTTCAGTTCACCAGTTCCTTAACTCCTCTACTCTAGCTCACCAGTTCCCAGACTCCTCTACTGTAGCTCACCAATTCCCTGACTCTTCTACAGTAGCTCACCAGTTCCTGACACCTCTACTGGAGCTATCCAGCCCCCTTTGGGGGGCTCGCTCGACTTCTGCAGCAAGGTTGAGCTACCCGTTACGCCGTTAAGTGTGAAAATGGGTGTAAAATTGGTCGATTTTTTTGTAGAGCGGTGCGGCGGCTAAGAGAGTGGATTTGTCGTGTACGAATTGCGGTACTCAAACGACGACGATATGGAGGAGGAATCTCAGAGGGGAGATGGTGTGTAACGCTTGCGGGCTGTACTTTAAACTGCACGGTATCGACAGGCCCGTTACGATGAGAAGGGATACGATTCATACGAGGCGCCGAAGACCGAAGGCTTTGGAAAAGGACAATCTCAAAAATACAGGTAAAACGAGATTTTTTTTTTTATATTCACATCAACATGATTACCTACCATTCCAGATTTCATGGGTCCCTTTCTGAACGCTCCGGTCGGCAATTACAAGGGTAAACCGCATAAGGGTAAGACTGAACGATTCCTGTACAACATTCCGATGTTATATTAATCGTTAATTCGTAGATACGGTGGCGAACTCGAAGGAGAAAACATCAAATAACAACAATAATAATACAGAAACTTCGGATACGGACGACATGTTGAGCGCCCTGAGGCGCCAGTTACAACCCCATCTGATCATGGCGCTTCAGGGACATCGAAATTCTGGTTCAAGATTATCCACACGTACACACTTACAGGTAATATTTATCATACGATTGTAAAAAGTGAAGTTTATTCGATGATTTGTCGTACTTTTTGAGACTGAGATCTTTGTCAATGTGGTCCAGGACAAAGTCCTTGTCTGGAAATGTAAATACTGTTTAACTGTTCAATTGTATTCGAATCTACTAAGTACTTGGTCAATTTAGAAGAGCCTTTTTTGCTATACAAGTTGGTTTGTTCTTAATAGGATATTAGTAGTAGTAGTAGAAGATAAAAATGACCATTGGTCAATGGTGAAAGAATACTTTTGCGTTTTATTTGCAATTTTAAAGTATTTTTTAATGTTTTTTTAGGGTCCACCTCAGTCAACAAAGGATTTTATTGGTAGATCGGCGCAGGACGCGGATTCCGACGAAGACAGTATAGCAGACCTGCCGTTAAATCTCGTTTCAACGCAAATGACTGAGGGAGAATTGATTTAAAAGGGGAAAAATTCTAATTTAGTTGTTTGTTTTTTTTTTAATTAATTTTGTAACAATATCCAGTGATGCGAAACTCTACTTAATAGCGTTAGATTTGTACGATAACTATACAGTTATTTTTTACCAAAATATGCTCTCTCGCTTTGAATTTATTTATTAACACACGTACTTACGCGGTAACAATACTCATTTTGTGTTTCTTTTTGTACTCGTCACGATTTTATTTTTGTTTTTTTTTTCTACGAAGTCCCATTGTGATATTTTCGTAAGCTTTTACAGTTTTTACAGATGTTAAGTAGAGAACGGTAACCAAACTTTTGCTTATGCCAGTAGTACCATTACATTAGTTTATTTCGCGAATTGTGAAGTATTTTATTCGAGATACTTCTTAGTTTTTAACGATAATCTAATATTGATTGAGCAATTTTTTTCTACTAATATTTCGTTAGAGTAAAATTAGAGGAGGAGTTTTGTAACAACCGTCCACAAGAAAGAATACTCTAATTTGCTGATGTTATTGGCGAACAAATACTCATTAAATCGGTTGTATAGAGGCAAGTCCATTATTAAGTATTAATACTTGGTAAATTTACAACGAATAAATTAAATTGTGACCTTTGTTTAGGTTCGAATACAGCCAGCTAAGTCTCATTTGTTCGTACTCTTATTTCCACATAACGTACTTATTTATTACATAATTAGAATCTAAACAAATGTGATTAAAATAGGAAATATTTTAGTAGTGGATTTGCTTCGAAATTTATAACAAAGCAATACGCAAGTTTTTTTTTGTTCGGATTTATGTATTTAAAATAGAAATTAATCGGTTACTACGGCTCACAAAGTGTATTTAGTTTATTAGTAAGTATTATTCGCTGGTGAAGTATTAAAAGGATTTATTTATTTTGTGAGTAGTGCGTAACCGGAGTATTAACCACGAGTGATATTTCATTTTTTTTACTATAAATTTATTATACATATATTTTAGGGTTTTAAGTTTTTATGAAATAATTCGGAATTCAGTATTTTACATTTTTATTTATAAACTATTGTAGTAAAAGAGCCTAAACCGGCAGCTATGAGTTCTCGATGTGAAAAATGGGGTAAATTGTATACTAACATTCGAAGCGTAGCAAAACTGAAAATCGATTCTAATTATTGAACAATATATTGATAAGGTAATGAAATTATTTTGTATACTTCAACGAAATCGTTATGCTTTAAACTATAATTTTATGTTAGTATTTTAAAGCGTAACAAATATTAAAAATGGCCATTTTTGAAAAATACTGTTAGGGAAAAGGAGTTTGAAGTGAAAGTATTAATTTTTACAAGTTTAGGGGGTAATGTTGATCGGTTTCTCTCATTAAATTTTCGCCTTGTTGACAATTGAAAAAGCTAGTAATTGTTAAGTTTTTGTAGTTTTTCATACGAATGGTTGTGATAAAAATTTGTTAAATCTACCCTTCTTAAACGATGTTAATAGATTACGTTTTGTTGCACGATCTTTAACAATTGCCCACGTACTATACATTTTTGTGATTGAGTATTTCACCCGAATTGTTGGACTCGTACCTTTACCTCCTACGGCGAAGTTGTAAGGCATTTTTTTCATTGTAGTGTATCATTTAATATAATTTTCGCATTAAATAGAATAAGTATTAACCGCTGCAATCGAAAAAATGTTTACGGGGTGCGCACAATACCATTGGTTTATTTGATTTTTTTAATTGGCTATACATATAATACGTTTATAAAAGTGTATTTTTTTACAAATAAAACATGGCTGCTAAATTTGTTGGTTATTTTATTATACATAAAATGTACCAAAATTATTTTTTTTACCCTTTAATTTAATAGTTTAAATTTTACACACTAGATGGCGCGCAAAAGTAACCAGTTCACTTCCTAGTAAAAGGCAAGGTAGTCGTAGAACTTTTTGACAGTGACAGATAGTTGACGTTTTATCGTTTTATTTTCATATTTACTATGTGAATTATTGGAAAATTTTCCATAAATATTCCTTTTGGTAAGCGATTTCGCATTAACAGCAGTAGGTAATGTATGTAGAATATAATTTTGTAGATATCAATGTAATGGATCTACCTGGACAACTCGGTTATATGGTTTTAAACGAAGAAGGCGCCGTATTATCCTCGGTTGGAGATTTGGAAAATGACGAGAAATTCGCGAATTCTATAATGGGATTGTTAAATATCTCGTCGCAGTCCGATTTGTGCGATAATCCCAAGGGCTTCAAAAAGATTTCCATCACCTACGAGGACCACTGCTACATCGTGTGCTTGTCCAACAGAAAAATCCATATTGTAAAGAGAAAGTTCTAATTCTTGGCAGGCTATCGAAGAAAAAACTTTCCAATGAATGTTATATTGTATTTGACTAAAATGAAATTCATGCAAATGATTATTCTCGTAGGTGGGATTTGTTTTTCCACGTATCTACTTTATAGTCAGTTACAAAGCATGTAGTCCTTTGTTCTGATAAAGGTAAATTGCAAATTAGATTGTTTTTCACACTAAAAGGATGTTGAAACTTTATTAATGTGTCATTTACCTTCCAATTTCTAGCTCGGCTATTAAAATATATGTACCTAATCTATATGTAAATGTTAATGTATATTGGAATAGATCTTAAATCCTTTCTGTGTCCACAAAACGGACTTGTTATATTATTAAATTTCCCCAAGTTTCTGTAACTAATTTACACTTACCTGTTTATCTAATCAAAGAATTATTTTTCTACCAAAGTATCTAGTTGAAAGGTTTTCTTCGAGTTTACTACTCATGTAACTTGTTTCACTCGGCAAATGTATATCGAATAGGAGTTGAAAATATTTTTGCGAATTCCATTCCATTTAGTTTTGATATTGTACAATTTTTAATAAATGTATCGCAAATGCGTGCTTTTAATTTCAAGCAGACTTCGAGAGGGAAAGGCTTCTCGAGGATGAAGATAAAAAGGAATTATTAACCTTTTATTTACATACATAAACAACGTTAATTTTTATCGAATAAATATTTTTCCTTCCACTCCTAAATAAAAAATATAAAATATTTTACCGTTATTCTATATAAAAAGTTACAATTTTTTCATTAAAATGTACACGATTAAAAAGAATTTATATAATTTAATCAAGCGTTCAGGTATCCATTTTTTTCGAGTGTTTTACAATTCCCAAATAATGAAAGTCTCTGAGCAATTTTGATATGCATCTACAATTTCCAAGTCCAAAATTAAACATTAGTCCCCTTTTAATTGAAATTTTCGATCATATTACAAGCATTTAGACCAAAAATGCCCACCTCAACGCTCTCAATTCGATTATCCTTAAAAAAAACAGCTACAACCATATCACAACAATTCATTTGCATATTTTACACATTAATTAGGCAGTTTATTCACATACAAAAGTACATCAATCTTTCATAATCAACAAACCGTCCGATTCCTTCTCGATATCCTTCGAGATATTCTGGTTGGCCTGGTCGTTTTCGAACTCAACGAAATCATCGAACAAACTAGGCCAAGCTTCGGTGTCGTCGTAGCAGCTCAAATCGCTCCCCACGTGCTCGGAGAAATTCAAAAACATGTTCCAAGTGTCCTTGGGTATGCCCCGGATGTTCTGGTGCCTCTCCAGGAACCCGATCCACCTGCCCAATATCGGCGGCTCCTTTATCGTAAACACCAACCTCCAAAGGATCACCGCCATATCGGTGGGCAGGATCCTTTGGCCCGACGCCGAGTCCAGCCCGAAGCAGAACGTGAACCGGTACAGGTCCTTGAACAATTCGTGGTTGTTCTCCACTTCGCCGACCAGCTCGGGCAGGCGCGTTTGCAGGGACTTTATCGAATCCGCTCGGATCGATTTCAATCCGTCGAGGAATTCCGATCGGGTGAACCGGCACATTTGCTCGGCGTTCAATTTCCACGCCAGTATCAATATCCTGAAATCGTCCGGGGATATTTGCAGGTCCTGGCAAAATTGTTCCATTCCTAAAAACACAATACGACTTAAGTTACTAGTTTCAACCCGTTAAAGGATCTACAGCCGCTTAAATTTCCGTACAGTTGTAGTCAGAAACTTGATGATGTAAGTACAATTGTCTAGTACCTTCTGCGAGGATGCAGTCCTCGTTTCTGTCCCTGTACTGTTCGAACAGTACAGCCAGCTTGGTGTCGGACGGTTTGCTCTCGGCCGTGCCCATGACGGGGGCCGATTTGGAGTAGATTCTTCGACTGGGGTACAAGCGACTGATGGTGGTGGTCACATCGGAGCCGGCTGACAAGTGATTGCCGTTACTGAGGAGCGTTTCCGAAGGAGCTGCGGCGGCTGGAACGTGACTGGGCGCTGGATACAGCTGAGCTTCGGTCATTTCTACAAAAAAACGGTTCGTTATTGATGGGTGGTGTTGGACTAGTGGGGCGTGCGGACCTTCTTTAGTTTTGTGGTTGACACTTTCGTCGAGGGCCGTCTGCATGGGCTCCTTGAAGCATGTAAAGCAGTTGCCCATTTGAGGGTCCCAAACTGTACCTCCTCCGTCTTTGTTTGTAAATATTTAGCATTGCCTTAAAAACACCAATAGATAATCCACTTTGTGAAATAGAACATCACACGAATATCCCATTAAAATCGCTATTTAAACATGATCTTTTACAGACCCTTACCTCCGAAAATTCTCGTACGGACTGAAAACAATTCTCCAGTCAACTACAAGTTTTTGATACAGACTTCGATGATGGGGCCTCGTTAACTTTCATTATTTAATGTGAAATTGCTAGAAATATGTCGTGGAGCACTGAAATTTTTCGTTAAATGATTTCCATTGACACTTTAATGACCGAGCGATGGTTGCTTCTTTTTTTTTCTATTGCGCTACGTTATATTTTCGACGAGTTTGTTTACGTTTATAACCGTCTATTCTAAAGGAGTTGGCCCATAAATAAAAGAAATGAAATTTCTTTTGGAAATGGAAATAACAAACAATATATTACAGTTGGCCACACTGTAAATGTTTCAATTTTTTTTAAAGTTGGTAGTCAACCTGTCAATAACGAATTAGAGATGGGCACGTACTTGTTAAATATATCACAGTTAAATACTTACCGATTTAATTAAAAAAGCATCAATAAACGTTGTTTTATTATCTATTGTGGATACTTAGAAATATTTTAGATAATACAACTGTCATTCTATTCATAGAAAATACCACAGAACACAAAATGTCATTAATACGTCAAGTACATAGGCAACACAAAATACAATTGCAGCTTGTAATTTGTGTTGCATAAGGCAGGTCAACGAACGAACATGTCCCACAATTTAATACGAATACGCGTGTTGGAAAAGATAATTTAAAGAAATATCTACAAGGTAATCGGGTAAAAGTTTTCAAATGTGTACGGAATAAAGTGGGTACTGTAATCGTTTTTATTTTCGCGTCGTTACAAAATCGCGCTACGCGATCGGAATAGTTTAGAGTCGTTTTGTTGTGAATTCGATTCATTCGCGCCGCGATCATTCCGATATCCAGTTAATTTGTTGAATTCTTATCGATAAAGAATTGATTAAAATGCCGCGCGGTAAAATCGAACTCGACGATGACCAAAAATTCGCACTGATGAAGGTTCGTATTCTCTTTATTTTTTTTTATTTAATTATAATTATGCTTTTTTATCTTTGCATGTTGTACCTGTAGGTACAATTAAAACAGTATACCGGGTGTTCGATAATATATAATGTTATAAACTTTTTAAATATATTTTGAGTTAATATATTATTAATTAGAGTTGGCCATGTGAGCAGAACATAAATTTGACTTTTTAACTGTCAAAAATTTGAAGTTAATTTGTAATTGTACAAGCTTCATTAAAATATTATTGCAAAAACAAAATAAATAAGTGGCATAATTTTCTCCTGTTGAAATTTTCAACTAATTGGCTCGTATTTTAACGCTAACAAATCGTTTAAAAAGTCTCGTTAATTTGACAGTTTTACATTGTTGTTATGGAGTAACTAGGGTAGTTGTTTACATTAAAGAGCGCCATATTTAAAAATCCCCAAAAAACAACCCGTTTTTTATAAAAGTATACACACTTTAATGTTGTTAAAACAGCAACGTTAATAAATAAACAAAATAAATACCAAATCATCACAATCAATCATCATCATCGTTATCCTGATCCCTAATCAAATGCACCGTCTCCGCCTTCAAAGCCAATCTCCTGATGTTCGCCAAGCAACCGGCCGCCGCCTCCTGCAGCGGATGATCGGTGGATGAAATGGCCCTCAGGAGGAACTGCACCACGCCGCTCTCGTGCATCGTGATGCAATTGAAGGCGTTCTTCGACAGATGATAGAGCGCCAAGGCGGTGGTGCGATGCACGTTCGGATCGTCGTCGGCCATGTATTGCACTAAAGGCGTGATGGCGCCAAGTCTGGAACATACCGGTACCGGTTTATATTAAGTACATTGAAGAATGGAGTTTCCTCTACAAAATGGCGTTTGAATGAAGCTTCTGGTGTGTGTGGTTGCGGAGTTATAGAGGAAAATGTAATTGTCTACTGCCAAAGAAAAATTGACACCTTCGGTAACTTTTAAATATCAATTTCTACTTACTCGTAAATCAATTAATAAACTCGTCGTAAACAAATAAAATTTCCCAATTGCTTAAAGGTTTTTTTTTGAGAAATCTCGCGTTCAATTAAATTATTAAATGGTAATAAGCGGGTAATGTATACATGAAAAGCGTCGTTAATTTGGAATAATTTTTCTATTTCGAATGATGTTATTACACACATGCCTATTACAAACGTTATTGTGTGGCAACGATTCCATCCGTTTTTATTATTTTATCAAGGCGATATTATTATTGTGTATATGCAGTTTGATGTGAGCTAATTAGAGCGATAGTAATGTTATTAAACAATGTAATTAATGGGATTTCATTCACTATCGAAACATCTATTAATAATATTGTAGAAATCGAGTGTGTGAATGAATTTGGGGTTGCTTGTAAAATTACTCAATTTCGAGATTCTACAGAGTTGTTTACTATATTATTTTAATTCCCCTTTAAAACAAATTTTAGCACGCCCATGTTTTTTTTAACGAAACGAGAATAATTAACAAGTAAACTTGAAAAAGCAGACGTCATTGAAAACCCAATATTTTTAACAAACACACTTTTACCTTCAATCAATTAAATAAATAAACCATCACCTGCAATCGCAACCCTAAGGTCAACCACCATTCACGCCTCCCACCCTGTATATATATACAGGATGTCACATTCAAAAACCATCTTCATACCCCTTTAGCAACCCCATAAACCGATAAAATTAAATCGAAAACAGCCCCGTTTATACATCAACAAATCGATATACACCTGCCGAACATCTTGCAATTGGAGCCCCAGGCGCAGCAATAGGCGATGGCGGAGGAGAGGTGCTCGCGCAGCTCCACGTCCTCGGTGGGCACCAGGTTGACCAGCATCGGCACGACGCCGTGATCGGTGATGATGGCCAAGTTCTGGATGTCCTGGGCCACCTGGGCGACGGCGGCGCAAACGCACGCCAGCACGTGGTTGTCGGTGGAGGCGAGCAGGTTGACGATGAGCTCCAGGCCGCCGACGAAGCAGCGCACCATCTCGCCCGAATCGGTGGCGTAGCGCACGCAGGGTACCAGGGCCGAAGCCGCGTTCGCTTGGACCTGGGGGATGAAGAAGAGAGGGGTTTATGCGCCTGGAGGATCGGTGGAATCGATGGGAGAAAGTGGGAATTGTGGGGGTAGTGTTGGGTGTGAAAGAGTGGAGAAGTGGTGGTAATAGTTGTGCACCTGGAGGATCGTTGGAATTGATGGGAAAATGTAGAAATGTTCGATGGAGTTTTGGTTTAAGAGTAGCGAAATATTAGTGAGAGGTGAGTGAGTGAGTTACTCTGATGACCTGGAGGATCGGTGGAATTAATGGAAAAATGTGGTGAAATTGGTGCAAGATTAGTAAAATATTGGTGGAAGTGGAGGTAATGGTCTTGCACCTGGAGGATCATTGGAATTGTTGGGAATATGTAGAATATTTCGATGCAGTTTTGGTAGAAGAGTTGCAAAATATTAGTGAGAGGTGAGTGAGTTACTCTGGACCTGGAGGATCAGTGGAATTAATGGAAAAATGTGGTGAAATTGGTGCAAAATAAGTAAATTATTGTTGAGATGTAATGGAATTTCTTCGCACCAGAAGAACCACTGGAATTGATGAGAAAAAGTAGGAAAATTCGATTCAGTTTTGGTGCAAGAGTAGCAAAATATTAGTGAAAGGAGACTGAGTTATTCTCTACCTGGAGGATTAGTGGAATTAATGGAATAATGTGGTAAATTGGTGCAAGATAAGTAAAAAATTGAGAAGAAATGGAATTTATTTGCACCTGGAATTGATGAGAAAAAGTAATAAAATTCGATGCAGTTTTGGTGCAAGAGTAGCAAAATATGAATGAAAGGAAAGTGAGTTACTCTGTACTTGGAGGAACAGTGGAATTAATGGAAAAATGTGGTAAATTGGTGCAAGTTAAGTAAAATATTATTGAAAAAAAATGGAATTTCTTCGCACCTGGAGAACCACTTAAACTGATGAGAAAAAGTAGGAAAATTCGATGCAGTTTTGGTGCAACAGTAGCAAAATATTAGTAACAGAAGCGTGAGTTATTCTCTACCTGGAGGATCAGTGGAATTAATAGAAAAATATGGTAATATTGGTGCAAGATAAGTAAAACATTGTTAAGAAGAAATGGAATTTATTTGCACCTGAAATCGCCAACAAAAAGTAGGAAAACTCGTCGTTGTTTTAGCGCAAGATCATCAAAGCATTAGTGAATATACCGGTAGAATTTATCCCACTACAACTTACCTCCAAACTATCGTTCCGCAGCAACGACCAAATCAACCTCACCCCGTCCAATTCCTCGATCACCCTCATCGACTCCGGATGCTGGGCGCTCTCCCTCAACACCAACGGTATGTTCTCCAAGATCGGCGTGTACGTGTAGTTCAGCAAATTCACCAAGTGCGGTATCCCGCCGGCCCTCAGAAGCGCCTCGCGATTGTGCTCGAACTTCACGAACTCGCTGAGCGCGCCCACCACGTTGCTCAGCACGTCCTCGTCCTCGTCCACGTTCGCCAACATCGACACCAGCACCTGCATCAGGATTTAGACATGCAATTTAATCCACAAAAATCACAATCTTATACTTACATCGACGGTTTTCAACACATCGAATCTATGCACGTTTTCTACGGTTTTGGCCAATTTCCAAATGGCTCCCGTTACAGCGGTCATCAGTTCTTTATCTTCCCTGGCGGTCATGTCTCTTAGTATCTTCACCAGAGGATCCAAACCACCGCATTGCCTCACCATGTCCCTTATTAGGGCGTTTACGCCGCATTTGTAGATGGTGGTCGCGCAGTAACCGATCAATTCCGGTTGATCCTGGAACGGCAACCGAGCAAACACCCAAACTCCAGCGTTATATTGCATAGATGAGTGGAAAGTACCTCTCTAAAAACGTGCCTCACGATGTCTTTCACCATTCCTTCGGTTTGTATGGCCAGTTGGTAGTGAGGATTGTGCGCGCATTGTGATATCGTGGCCACAGCCGGTACCACCACGTCCATGTGATCGGATCTGAGCGAAGAAACTTGTTAAATAGTTTGATAAAAAATGTGGAGAAGGAAATTCGACCTGATCAACCTGGCGAGCAACGTGATGACGCCGAACTTGAGCATCTCGTGGATGTTCTTGTTGCTCTTCGACACCGACCACAGCGCGCGGGCGGCCGCCCGCGCCACGTTCACCTGCTCCACGTCGTACTCGCCCCAATCCTCGCTGGCCATCTTCAGCAGCGACTCCTTCACGTCCAGCAGATCGATCAGCTTCGGTATGCCGCCGCACTTGCGCAGGTTCTTGCGCGCCTTCCGGATCTGCGCCACGTTGTAGACGGTCTCCGAGACGAGCTCCTGCAGCTCCCTGGCCGGCTCCGACAGGTTGCGCACCAGCAGCTCGACGCCGCCGAGGTCGGTGACGCACTTCCGCACATCGGTGTTGGTCGACAGCTCCGAGAGGACGGCGCTGGCGGCCAGTTTGCACTTCAGGTCTTTCGTTTCGAGCAGGTTCACCAGGATCTCCAGCCCGCCGATTTCCTTTCGGATATATACGCTCGATTAACACGCGGACATCTATGAGAATATCTAGGTAATCTAAAATTCGCGGCAGACCTGGAGGCCCTCTTTAATCCGGCCCTGAGAATAGATATATCTAGAAGATATCTCTGAGATTATCTAAGGCAATATCTAGGCAATTTTTTGTGTAAAAACAGCGCCTTGTTGCCAGATTGTGTAAATTCTAGTAACTTCTCATACTCTCATAGATTGGCTGAATATGTGGATTAATCTGGATCTATCCAGATGATATTTGCGTATATTTTACCTGTATGGCTAACACGCTGATTTCGTTGGTTAAATCGTAATCTCTCAAGCAACACAAGCACACGACGGTGGCCGATTGATTGCCGGTTTTGATGAACTTCATCAGCTTCTGGATGTGCCAGTACTCCGGAGGGATCTCCGCTCTGGGTTTGTAGGGCTCTATGTCATCGGCGTCGGACCTAAAACCGCTATTAAGGGTACGAAGGAAGCTGGAAAAACGGGCGAGTTTCTCACCCGGAGAACGAGGAATCGGCGTTATCTTCGTATTCTTTCACGATGACTTCTCTGAGAACCACCTTGGGGACGTCGATGACCTTCTTATCGCCCATCGTTGACGTTCGTGTGACGGTCGGGAGTCGATTTGACGGGCATAGTTGGTTTTTGGGACGCTCTGTATGAGAGAATTGGTGAAGTTTCGAGCGTGTGCTCGATGGGAATTGGCGGTTGCTGAGTGAAAGTTTCGGTTTTCTAAAATGAATAAGTAGGTAAGCCGCAAAAACGAGACTCGTTATACAGCTAGAATGTGCGATAGATGTCGATTATAAAACTAATGTAAAATCTCTCGAGAAGGCCTACTTTCGCGGTTCTTATGCAGTTACCGAACGAATTGTGTTATACAATTTATTTTAAGTTATTTTTTTTTATGTTGAGTCGAGCTCGAACGAGAGAGAGTCTTCTGATTAAATTTCCGTCGTTTTTAATCGGCGTATAATTTGTCGAAATTGCCGAGCGATTTTGTAGTTTTTTAGATTTTTTGTGTATACATTTGAATAACTCGCTTATACAAGGCGGTACAGTATTATGCAATCGATACAACAAAGTTATAATGGGTTTAAAGGCGAATTTTAAGTAGCTGTATACTCAGAAAGTCGAGGCCGTTTGTCGAAAATAAAAAATTCAGCTCTCCTAATTGTGTGTCAAAAATTTTGTTCCATTAATTTTGATACATCCTGTATAACGTATGTTTATTACTTGTAATTACTAATTGTTGAAATTACCTTGCAATTTTATGGATTTTTACAATGTTTTATGTCTATACTTTTCAATACATTTAAATTACTCGCCTCTGGTCAAAAATTACAATATTTTTAGAGGCGAATTTTAAGTAATTCTACATGCTCAGAAAATCGAGCCCGTTTGTGGAAAATAAAAAATATATTTTTTTTATTTTAATACATATTTTTGTTTCAGTTTCGTAGAAGTGTACACGATATTTTAGAGCCTCAACACGACGATTATTATTTACTGCGCTGGTTAAGAGGTGATTATTATTTCTTTTAGTTTTGAATGCCGGAATAAAATTTAAATTAACCATTTTGGAATATTTTTAGCTAGAAATTGGAATGCCGAAGCGGCGGAAAAAATGATAAGAGAGGTGAGTTTGCCATTTAACATATTGAATATATATTTCGTAATGATATTAAATTGTGCAATATCTTAAAATGTAACTTTATAACTACTAGAAAATCATAATAATCGCTCATTAAAATGTATTAATAGTCGGGCAATAAATTCCCAATAATTTATGTATAAAGAAACGATCCATCCTACAGGCGTCATTATAAAAAATAATTTAATTCGTGAAATTTAAACATCTCTTTCGATTTTTTTTCGACGAAATTCAATTAACAATTTATTCAATAACCATTTAATAATTATAGAAATTTATAATTACAAAGTATACACTAGAAATTCATATAATCATCAATTAAATTGTTATCGATTCCAGTCCTTCCTGTTCCGCAAACAAATGGAAATCGATTCCAAATTGATGTCCTGGGAACCCCCGGAGGTCATAAAACTCTACCACCCCAGCGGAACTTCGGGCTGCGACAAAGACGGCGCCCCAGGTAAAAAATCCCACAGAATATTCTCGATACTAACCCAATTCTACTATTCCCCACGATAAATTGCTATTTTTTCGCATTATTCGCGAATCAGTGGGACATTATAAGATGCATACCATGATACAAAAACGAAAAATCTCAAAATTGACAGTAATGACATTTCGTATGACAGAAGTTTGATAGAGCTGGGCTTTGATATAGAGGTGCAGTAACGACTGTTACAAAATAACTGTTATTTTTCAAATATGATTTTTCAAAAACTTTTTTTTAGTGATAATTATACCATTCAAAGGATTCGATCCGATCGGTTTTCTCAATTCAACTTCGAAGATCGATTTGCTCAAGATAGCCGGTAAAATATTGGAGACGAATTTAAAAATGGCCGACGAGACGGGGGATAGGCAATTGGTGGTGATTTTCGATATGGAAGGTTTCGATATCAGGCAATACGCCTCCAGGCCGGGTAAGTGGAATTAACTAATTAAATGTTAATTAATTACTAATTAATTTTTATTCATCAGCCGCTGAAATAGCGATAGCTTTAATACAATTATACGAAGCAAATTACCCGGAAATCCTTAAACAATGCTACATAATAAACGGTAATTACATTACTTATTACGAAACCATTACTTTTTACTTAATTTTTAATTTTTTTATGTAGCTCCTCGAGTGTTTTCGATAGCTTTCAACGTAGTGAAGAGATTCATGAACGGCTACACGTTGAGTAAAATCCACATATTCAAAAACGAGCCGAAAAAATGGAAACCAGTTTTACTATCTACCATCACTCCTGATAATTTGCCGGAGCACTACGGAGGCAATCTCAGAGACCCCGATGGGAATCCCAAATACACGACTGTGGTCAGTAAATCATCACTATAGTCTTTGAAATCGTTGAAATAGTCACACATGTGGCAACAGTGTATAAGCGGAATTGCGAGAGAGACAAATAAAAGGTTAATTTGTAGATAAAACAAGGCGGAAAAATCCCGGAGAGTTTCTACAAGAGGAACGTCGAGACGCCGGATTTCGCTAAGGAATTCATCAAAACTGTGATAAAAAAGGGCAGCAAATTAGTATTAGACTTCATCGTAATCGAAGAGGGTTGTTATTTAAGGTATCTACACAATAAATATAAAACTTACCCTTACAATTAACACAAATATATCAGAAACGTTTCTGAATAAGAGTTGTTTGTTGCGCTTTTTTAGGTGGGATTTCAAGACCGAAGGGCACGACATTAAATTCGGGGTGACCCTAAAGGACGAGAACGGCGTCGAGAGCCCCGTCGTCCGGTACAAGCGCGTCGCGGCGCATCAGATCGACGAAAGCGGCGTCATAGCGTGCCAGGCACCGGCTACTTGTAAGTTTCTACAACCTGTATATGGTCTTTCCAAAGTCGATTTGATACAACTATCGAAATTTAATGACTACTATCTCCTGAAGACGAACGGAGTATAGTCTACCTCATCGAATGTAGCATGGTAGTTGATGATCTACCCTATTCCTTCAATTAAAATATCCCTGCCAAGCTACATTGGATGAGGTGTGCTAAAAATTTATTGTAAATGATTTTATTATAGATTTCGTGACGTTCGATAACACCTACAGCATATTCAGGAACAAAAAGTTGACCTACAGGATTTGGGTGACTCCGCCTATAGAGAAATTGGACATCATACCGAAGGAGTACGATCTGAAGAAGCTGAAGTCCTCTTTGGAGGAGGACATGATGGCCCAGCCAATGGCAGAAGATACCGATAGCAATGCTAATGATATAGGAAATTAATTAAATGGTGTTTGTGTTACATATGGAGAGGAGCCTATGAAGTATCTTATGGTTTTTTTGGGAATGTACTGGTAAATGTTTACGAATTCCACACAATGCTCTACTGTACTATTATTTCTAAATTTAGACGCATTGTTCGCGAATAAGTGGGACTTTAAGATGCGTTTGATGATACATAAACGTGAACTGTCAAAATTGATATTGATGACAGAAGTTTGATAGAGGTGGGAATCGATTTTTGGCATAGAGGTGCAGTAACGACTGTTATAAAATAAGCGTTATTTTTAAAATGTTTTCATTATTCTATTCGAAATTAATTTAATGGGAAATTCCGGTGCACCGAGAATTTCAGTTAATTGAATAATTTGAACGGTCAATAATAAATTGCAATATCATGTAATTTACTAGTGGAAGATAAATGTTGGTTTTATTATGATTTTGATACATAACATACACCGGAAAAACCAAACGATATAATTAGGTATACACGCTGGGTAAATGTAAACTATTATCGCTTCACTCGTAAATTTTCTAAATAAACGAAGCACATTTTTTTATACATTTTTTACTACACCCTATCATTAAAGCAACATAAAAAAACCAAATTACTTCTATTTGCGTAATAATAATTGTATTTCCATTATAATTCGATATTAAACGAGACGTGTGTATATTCAATCATCGTCATCATTGAACATCATGTTGATCAAATCGGACTTATCGCACTGTTCACCTTCCAACCTTTGTGGCCCGTTCCATCTCACTAAAGTGGGCAACACCCTCAACTTGGTCTTGGGGTCCTTGCGAAAGGGGCATTCGGGATCCTTCCATCTAAAATCGTTGTTTAAACAAGCTTAATATTTAATACATACTCATTGTTTACAGTACGATTTACACTAACGAACAATGGAGGTAAACAATTACTTGCCGATTTAATATCACAACTTACATTTCACGTTCTCCGACTTCCACTCGAATGAACAGCGAATTGGGATCGGCGTTTTCCAATTCCTTGTCGATAACCGGCCAGGCTGAAAACGAACAGTTACAATACGAATCGAATACAATACAATTCGAATACCTCTTGCGCAATAAGTACACCAGCTAGTTCCGTCCTCTTTTCGTATGCTCGAGAACAGAACGTGCACCTTCTGGCCCTGGCTGTCCAGGTTTTTGAAGAACTGCTGGAACTGCTCGTATCCTTGCACGACGTGTGTTTGCACCATTTTAGATCCGTACGCGCAATAATGTCGGAACAATTGTTTCAGCATTCACTGAAGTCCGGTTGCTCGATTATTACAGATTTATATGCAAATCATCTACCGCAGGTCTGATAACGGAGATTAAATTATTAGGTGGAACGTCGCTTATCTTTTGAGGTTATTTTGTGTTGTGTCATCTAGTGAATTGTCAAATTTAATTTTTTTAACTGGATATCCGAATAAGACGAGACTGTCCGAAGCGAAATAAGACAACCCGCAGCGTTGCCGGTTTTCCAATACAACCAACAAAACAACGATTTTTGAGTAATAAAATTTAATTACAATTTATAAAGAAAAAATAACTGTTTGGAAATATAAAATACCGTAATAGTGCGAATAGTTAGCTGTAATCCTAATTTAATACTAGAACTCCTCGTCGTCTTCGAACAGCATTTGGACAAGTTCGTTTTTCTCGCACTGATCGCCGTTTAAACGTTGGGGCTGATGCCATCTGATCAATGTGGGAAGGACCATCAGCTTGGTGCTGGGGTCTGTTCTGAACGGGCATTTCGGGTCCTTCCAGCTGGAAAATTTACTATATATTTTCATTTGATTAGATTAATGATTTGTTGGACTCACAATGGCCGGTCTCCTACTTCGACGTACACGAAATGCGTATCGGGATTCGTTTTATCGAACTTCTCCAGCTCTTCCTTAATAACAGGCCAGGCTACAATAGAAAATTTATTAGAATACCTATTATTGAAAACTGGCACCACTGTAAGTACAAAGAAATTGTTTTTCACAACATAACCTTAAAAATCCGAATAAAATTCTGTAAAAAAGTGATGTAAAAATTCGCTTACCTCTCCGACAATCGTCGCACCAGCTCGTCCCGTTCGGTAATTTCGAACCGCTAAAATAAACGTGTATTTTAGTGCCCTTTGCGTCGAAGTTCTTGAAGAACTCCACGAAATTCTCGTAGCCCTCTACTTGGTGCATATTAACCATTATGAATATCGATTATAAAGTGCCTGCGGATACCGACACGCTTAAACTAAATACTTTCAATTAATCGTAGGAGTGATTGTTTAATTAAGAAAAACACTTTAAGCTTATTTAGATAAGACGGGAGACGTTTGAAATACCCTCCCACTAGAGCTAAGACATACGTCAAGTGTATAATTGAGAGTTGTGTTAATAAAAAAGAAGATTTTTGTAAATCGTGGGTAGGCAATATTTGTGACAGGTTTGTGTTGTATAGGTTGCCTAATGATAAGGAATATATTTTGTAAATTGAAGTTGAAAACGATTTATTCATAAAATATCGAACACAAAAAATGGTAGGTACATAAACTTGACTTTTTCGAAAACACACACAAAACAAAAACTAAAAGACGATACTAAAAAAAAAAGCAAACATCTACCATTCCCACTTGTCGCGCTTATTGGGATTCTCCTTCTTCGATCTCCTGTAATCGCTCGGCTCGATGCCGGCCCCCGTCAGCGGATTCCTCGCCATGTTCGAGCCCGCGATCGCCTCCAACGACTTCTTGTCGTGGATCTTCTTGAAGTTCATCTTCTTCTGCCTGGCCGGCGGGTTCTTCGACGGCTCCCCCTTGCAGGGCTCCTCCTTCGGCTCGTCGAAGCTCCGCGCCGAGTCCAGCTGCTCGAGGTCCTCCCGCTCCGCCTTGGCGTCCCCGCAGCACGCCGCTGGGCCCCCCTCGCCGGGCGCCGGCCTGCCGCCGGTGCCGCCGTACTCGAAGCACTCGTCCTGCTGCTGGTTCTTGTTCCGGCGCTTGATCTTCATCGGGCAGGAGCCGTTGATCGAGAACATGCCGTAGCCGTCGGTGATGTTGTCGTTCAGACAGAAGATATCGCTGGCGTTTCGCATGGTTTTTTTTTTTGTTGTCGTGCGGCTCCGGTGATGGGAAATTTTTGTTATTTCGCCTGGGCCGGGATTCGGGTATGTCAGAATTGACAAAACTGAAATTTTCTTGAATGATTTTCATCCATCACCGGGGATTAGTGGCGGCCGATTGACATCTAGGACGCTGTATTTTACTTGTTTTTATTCCTATAGGATTATTAATTAGAGAGATCCATTAGAGTATTTTGTTTAGGGGAATCACAAGTAATTGTTATTGCCTAATATTACTATTTTTCTATACAGATAAGTGCTTTGCAATATGATGAAATCTAAGAGATGAACAAAGATAGCGTTAAAATAACAGTGGTAAGAGTGAGAAAGTTGTAAACTCCCCACAATATCACTTTCTCATATTTAGTTTATTTAAACCCCTACAAAATACAGTTGGTGTCCTGTAATATCTAGTAACTTTTTGTTAGGTCATGTTGCACACTTGTTATTAGAATTCTCTATTTTGTTACACACATTATGCACGACAAGTTATCGTTTATCGATTATTTCGCAAATGATTATTATTTGCGCCTAATTAAATTATCCATACCGAAATTTACATATACCTATACCGTGTAATTAGCGTACGTCCTCTCGAGCAAATATATTTATTCAAATGATTAACAATTTCAGTTACAAGTTTATAATTATTGACATAGTTTGGAATTGTAACTCAATTTGTTGGATTTGAAAATGATTTAAATGAATTATCTGTATCTTCTTGAATACATATAATAATAGATGTAAAAATTCCTGCATAGTGCTCGAATGTTATACAGTATGATGCCGTAAAGTGTGGAATAAATTAATTTATTTATAAAACAGGATATGGCAGGGTTATTATCATATACAGGTAGATACAAAATTGTTCAAAGACAACTTCCATTAGTCCCATAAGAGAAAGAGTAAAATTGTAGAGAGTTTACAACTGTTTCACTCTAACCAGTGTTATTTGAATAATCATTCTTTGTTCAACTCATTGAATATGGATTTTGTTAATATTTTTTTTATAAATGCAGTGATTTTGTGTGACCCGAAAGTTTATAAACAAAACGGTCGGTGGCTGATAACTGATAATGAAGAAAAGAATTTATCGCGTGGATAATACGTGGAAAAAAATCAATAGAGCTCTCTCCTCGCTGTACAGTGTACGGGTCGTCGGAGTTTGTACTTCCCCCCCTAATATTTACATTTAATATTGACCAATGTTATTTATACACGTAAACAGGTACGGTTTTTTTTGTGTTTAAATTTGTTTAAGAACTCGACATTATAAATGAATTTACTCAGATTAATCGTTCGGTAAATTTGCGCACGGCAAACTGTTAATAAAAGTTGGAAAAAGTCAAATATGTATGTCAGAAAACTATGATGATTTGTTTAATTTTGGCGTTATTTGTATTTATTATTTAATTCACAAATATTTGTTCTAATTTTTGTTTATTGAACGTATTTCGGTTTTGTGAATGGGCGAAGTTATACGAGTTTGTTTTGTAGTACTTCTATACCTACTTTATTGCCACTTGTTATTATAGCGCATATATAATTTATACAAATAAACAATTCGCATTTATTTATATAGGAAAATAATTACACGTAATTCAACATAAAACTATCAATCAAACATTGATACACCTCTATACAGGGTGAGACAAACTATATTAGGATTTTTTTTTCATATAAGATACATCAATTTATTTTTAAGTTACCCTGTATCATTGAGGCATTCCTTGCGGGATATGTGGCAAATTCCCCGTGGCGAATTAAAACCGTTTTATACGAAATTCATGGGCCATTGAAGGCGCAACGGAAAATACAAGGGAAAAAAAGATAAATCAGGTGGTTATATCCTAAATTCCACACATCCTGTAGTTATTCTCGTGTATGAATGGATGATCGGTTTCCCTACCGGCTACAGGCCATGGGCGAATTTCGCAAATCCCCAAGACAAACTGGATTAACGAAATCCCGATCAGGTAATAAGGGATATATGTACATGTGCGTTAGTTGTATGGAAGGAATAATAATAAAATTCGCATAAAAATCTACAGGAAGTATTTGGGTGTATGTTTGGCAGAGTTTTTTTGCAAATTAAAGGCATCTTCTGTCTATTTTAATGTATAAAATTGAAATAATGTGAAATTGTCAAAATTCTTCTTCTATTTTTTAAATATGTAGAAGTAAGTGAACTATTTTTAAAAGTGACGTTTGTTAAATATGTCACATCCGTAGATGTCATTTATTTGTTATAAAAGTTTAAATTATAGATAAAAATTATCAATAAATTAAAAGCGGATTAATTAAATATTTTTTTCTCCGAGTATACAAATAAAACCGTTAAAAAAGTTTATCATTCTCATTTAAACTAGCAACTATTAAAAAAAGAAGATTCGGAACATGTCACCTGTCACCAGTCATTTTCATTTCGAACTCGATCCCGCAGTTGTTGATATCAATTTATTTGCGTAAGTACTTTTAACTATAGTTTTTACAACTAATTTCAACATTTCACTATAAAATATGTATAGTATATCTAATCTACTCTAATTTTATCGAAATATGGGTAAGTGCAAATTTTTTGCAATAGGAGTTAAACAAAGAAAGATTTAAAACAACAGTGGGTTAGTCCTTTTTCCCTTATACGAGACTAATAGAAGTCCTCTTTGTTGCACTCATATACAAATACAAATTTGCACTTAAACCAATCCTACACGGTCTGTAGGGGTGAGTGGAGCAGCATTTTATATAATAAATACGCTTGCATACATTATATAATTAAAAGCACGCCTATAGTAACTCGCGGAATAACTCGGATTTAACGTCCTTTTGTCTAAATCCGAACGCCTAATGAGAAAGTCAAACAGAATTTAAGGAAGAACTAGCGCCATTAACGGACGACTATCTTAGATATTCCGTTATAAATCATCGTATATAATCGGCTTAAATAACTCACATCTTGATTCTATTCGGTTATATTCCGGTATTTTGAGGTGTAGAATATTTGTAATAACAACTTTTTTTCGTATTATTCTTCTAATTTATGTGAGGCCTCCACTACAAGGGCTATTCGGTCACCTCTAATCTTGATACACTTTGACGTTTGACAAGCGGTGCTACTAATCTCTCCATTATTTCCAATAAAAACACCGATTCGTGTTATTTCAATACGATATAAAAAAGTGGAAACATTAACGTGTGCATCATTAGAAGGAAATCGAACGCGAGGCGTCGGAAATATCGGAAAAAAAAAACTATAAATTTTTTAGTAACATCCATTTGACACGTGACCTCTACCTTCCCTAATGGACGGGCGTTCACGTGTCGCCATTACGCCTGCCGGCGGAAGTGAATACTTGTATAAATTCACTTTATTGTCTTTCGTATGAAGGCGATATACCGGTTATTAGTTTGTCGAGAAATTAAAATTGATATTTACGAGTTTTCGCGTGTACGCCGCTCGGTTTTGAATCGTCATTTTTAAACGCTTTTATTCGTTGTACAATGTATGGTTTAAAAAGGTTTCTGAATTTGATTAAATTGTATATCTTCTATCTCCCTTATATACAAGCGATAATATTACGTTATCAGTGAGATAAACTGTCTCTCTCACACATGTGGGTTTTCTATGTATGTATTTAAGAATTTTTCTTGTGACGTGATGGCTAGATTAATTGGCCTCTTTAACTTGACAGTTTTACATTGTTGTTATGGAGTAACCAAGGGCATTGTTTAATTTGACAGATTTACATTGTTGTTATGGAGTAACTAGGGGCATTGTTTACGTTTAAAGAGACTCGCTTTAATCGATTAATTATAAACTTTTGAGGGTACGTTTTAATGTAGGGTTGAATATTGGGATCATTAATTTATTAGGTTAATTAACTCCTCTATTATAATATAACCGCAACAAATTATCGCGCACAAAACCGGGATATGTAATTAATTATTAGATTTAATATACTAGATGCAGCAAAGCGCGCGCGGCGGAGAATAATATACATATTTAAAAAAAAATTACCAACTCTGTGGAAATTATTTACTAAACATTGACTTTCGCTCCCTTTTCCATCGCACAATGCCAACATTTACCGAAATAATTTATTTAGTAGGAAAATGTATAACTGTCGGCAAATATTTCCACGTCAAACTCTCTCGTATATAACGCTTTTTGTTTTCGTATGCTCTCCAAATAGAGCGTTTTGCTCTCGTACGAATTTTCCTTCTTCACGTGTATATTTTACCTCTGCCTAAACAGCATCCGCAAGATATATACGAGTTATACAGTGTATATTTCGGGCATATATTTAATTTAGACCGGCGTTACGTCAACACGCCTAAAACACTCTACTTTATTATTTGACGCTTTTCGATGATGAATTTTGATAATGAATGAGTTTCCTTTAAGGCTGATGTATCTCAATATATGCAAGATAAACCACACAAAACTTCCTGTAATACAGAGTGTCCCATTTAATGAGCTTATAATTTTTAAACGCCTAATCATAAAAACTTGCGGTTTTCGCAAATATGTTTTATTTTATTATAAGTTTTGTGATACAGAAATTATGCATTAACAATACAGGGTGTTTTATCGAAACCTCCTCGTTCAAATTCACAGTAACCAAATTAATTTAAATGGAACATCTCGTATATACAGAGGTATTTTAAAAGATACACTCTTCTACTTTCCAAAAATACATTATTTACAAAACGAGATGTCCTACTTCATAAAATTTAGTTATTGTGAATTTAGAAGAGGGGTTTTTTATGAAACATCCTGTGCAGGCGATACAAAATTTTTGTCTCACTGCAACAAAAAAGTTATAGCAAAATAAAATATATCTGTCAAAACCTCATGTTTTTATCATTAGGCGATTAAAAAATATTAGCTCACTAAAGGGGCTACTTTTCATTGGGATACCCTGTATTATTAAGTAAATGTATTATGAAAACGTACCA